TCTACTCTTTAGTCGCTCTTATATAAGCCTCGCTAGACTAGTATACTAGGGCGACGTAACGATAAATAATAAAGAATAAATTCTATATAAGGTAGAGAGAGAAATTAGATATAGAGTGAAGTAGTAAAGGTAGAGAGTAATATAGATAAAATAGATAAAGATATAAAGTAGATATAAAGGATTAGGGAAATACTATATATATACTCCTAGTTCTAATAAAATAATAGAAATATTATCTAACTAGCGTTATTATCCGAGGATTACTATATAGGAACTTTAGAAGTCTCTTCGGATTATATAAATATATATACTCGGGAGCTACCTATTTATTTATAGGCCTCGAGCGGGATACTACTATATATAACTATATAGTAAGAAGGAAAAAAGTGTATTTATATTAATAATAAAAGGAGAGGGAATATATACTATATTAATCTTATATCTATTAGAAATAGATACTATAGTCTAACTAGTAATTCTACTAACTTAATATATATTTAAATTATTTTTTTATAAAACGACTAGTTCGAGCCTAGCCTATTTCTTTTTTTTTCCTATAGCGTTAAAGGAAGCTATACTTCTAAACTTATAATATTTATAGTCTAAGATAGGAATCGATAGTAAAGTCTTATATATAATACTAAACTAAAGTAAATAATTAAAAAAAATTAATATTAAAGAATATATAGAATATATATATTTTTATTAATATATATAAATTATTTACCTATAATAAATATATTATAGACTCTAATAATCTTATAGGTTCACCGAGATAGCTAATATATTAAGATCCTCTAATAAGAGTAGTATTTACTAGTAGAAGTAACGCTAAGTAGCCTTATAATCCTCCTATATCTCGCGTTTAGTAAAACCCTATACCTTAACGGTTAAACGCTATAGCTCTACGCGAGGCCTATATAGAAGCTAATATAAATTACTACTAACGATTAGTAAAGAGTATATATCTAATATATATATTAATATTTACTTATTAATAACGTATAAGGTCGGCACGCTAGTATAGTTCTATAAAAGCCCGCGGATTAGACTTTAGTAGGTTATATATATACTACTTAGTATAGTAAAGATTAGGTATATATATCTAGGGTACCGGAAAAGTATCTACTTTACCTTTAGCCCTAGTCTATATATAACGCTTATAAAAGTAATATTTACGACTTAACTACCGAAGATACCTAACGTATAAAGGTATTATATAAGGGTCTATAAATAGCCTATCGCGGCTATAATCTATAAACCTATAGTAATTATACTTCGGAGTAAGCGCGTTAGCTTCGAGGGGATATCTATTACGAAGTTAGCTTACGTATATAATAGTAGCACTATTAACTTCGTCCTTATATAAAGCTCCGTCGGTACGAAATATAATCTTAGTAGTAACTCGACGACTTAGAGATAGATATAGTATAAAGATAACTTAGAAAGAGAATAATAAAAATTAGAAAAAGAGCTAAGACGTACCTACTTATAGGTTAAAGGTAGTAGTACTTCTATAGATTATCTAGTACGATATCGGTTAAAGCGCGGTATATACGAAATAAAAAAAGGAAAGTTAGTACGGCCGCGGTAGATACTTAGTAGATTAGCGTCTCTAGTATAGAAAACTCTATATAAGCGAGAGTAACCGGTCGTCTACTAAAGTATAAAAGATAGAGAGAGCGAAAAGTATAGGTTAGTAAGTTTATACTATCTACTATTATAGTATATTATAGCGAGAGTCGTTTTAAACGCGCTTTTCTTAATATCGCCGCCGCTATATAGGAGGTAGCTATAGTATAGAGGGAAGAGTGCTAAAATACTAACGGAATATAGTCTACTATATAGATACTAAGTACTTAGATTAATACGTAATAATAGACGTAAATATAATAATTAATAAATCCCTTAACGGCTATAATCGATACGTAAGATATTAATAATATACTAGCTATACCGATAGTAGAGATAGTAACTAGTATACCGCTATATAGAAGAGCCTCTATCTACTAACCGCGAACCTTATTAGATATTAATAGAGGTTCTAAGCCCTACTAGATAGACTAATCTTAGCCTACCGTTAATAGAAGTTCTAAGCCCTACTAGATAGGCTAATCTCGGCCTACTATTAATAGAAGTTCTAAGCCCTACTAGATAGGCTAACCTTAGCCTACCGTTAATAGAAGTTCTAAGCCCTACTAGATAGGCTAATCTCGGCCTACCGTTAATAGAAGTTCTAAGCCTAAGCTAAGCGTTAGTTAAGCGCCGCTAGTATCTAAAAATCTATATCCGCTACTTCTAGGTATAGAAGTTATATATATAGGTAGAAGAAGATATACCGCTATATATCTTTATTAAGGGCCCGCGGTAGAAGAAGTGCTAATACTACTTATTACGCTAAATATAATATATACTAGTAAGTTTATACTATTATACTAATAGAGTATACGCGACTAATATAACTCCTATAGATACTATATAGTATTATAGAGGCTATAATAGAGCGTAAATAAGAGATAGAATTAGCGTAAGCTAACGGATAGAGCGGTATATAGGAAAGTAAGCTATTTTTTATAGCGTATTAGGAGGTATTAAGTTAGTTATAGTACCGCCTAGTTATATAAGATAAGCGAAGGAGGTAGCGTCGGGAGGTAAAATAACGGAAGGAGTAGAAAAATAAAGCGGATATTAATATATATATAGTATTAATTTTAATAATAGATAATAACCTAAATAAATAAAATATACTCTATAAGAAATATAGGTAATATATATAATAGTAGCTATCTATAGAGCTATTCTATACCGTATCTATATCGTAATATTACGCCGAGACTATAAATAAGCTATAATAGTTTTATATTTTATATATATTATAGCCTTATATATATCTATAGTTAACTATTAGAGTATATATTAGGAAATAGGATATAGGAAATAGTAGAATACGATAATATACTATATAGCCGTCCTATATATTATCTTTATATATAAAGTATTTAATTAATAGTTCCGTATACCGTTACTTATCCTAAAATACCTAATAGTAATAGGTATTCTTATAATATTACTTATAGTCGAGATAATACCTATAATAGATATATAACCTTATAGACGTAGTATTACTCCGTATAATCGAAGGCTTTACTCTTTCGTAAAGCTATAAAGCCCGATTATATAACGGGGCGGGAGTCTCGTAAGATAGACGACGTATATACTACTCTATAATAGATATATAGGTATCCCGAGATATATTATCCGATAGTATTAGGATAGGCCGACGATTAGTAGGAACTATAAAAAGGGGCTAAATTAGAAGTTATAGAAGATAATAAAAATAAAAGGAAAGAATTATAAAATATAGATACTTATAGTAGTAGTAGTATCTAAGACCGGGTTATAGGTAGCTAGTTAATATATCTTAGATATAGGGGAGGGTATAGACTACGTAGTTAGCGGTATCCGAAGTATATAGGTAGTCTTAGGGAGAGGCTAAACCGGTAGACTCTAGTTAATAAGTTCTTTAAATTTATTATAAGACCGCTTACTAAGGTAGGTAGATAACGTTATAGAAGAATATATAATCCGGTATATAGTAGAGAGATATATACGGAGTACGTAGGAATATAGGAATATAAAAAGGAGTCGGAAGGTAAGCGGGGAATATAGGCGATATATTAGGGGAAATTTAGATCTAGCCTAATAAACTAATAAATACTAACTAAATATAGAGAAATATATAAGCTATATATAATTATAATCGTATTTATAACTAATTAGAGTAGGTAGGAAAAAAACGAAAACGGGCGGAGCGGGAAAAATATTAACCCTATATAGGATATAATTATATCCTACTAATACGTAGTAGATATATTATATATACGAATATACCCCTTATTATATACCTATACGCCGACGATTATATAATATACTAATATACTAGGTCCCTTAACTCCTAATCTAATAATATCTCTAAGGCCGGGAGATAGATAGACGGAATATATATTTATATATTATAGATATAATATAGTACTTAAAAATAGTATATAGCGTTTCGATAAAGTCGTATATATCGGATCTAGTCGTTATATAGGATACGAGTATAGTAGATAGAATAGCTTTATAATATATATTTATAATCTATATAGAAATATAATATATCTATATAACTAAAAACGATAGATAGTAGATAAAGCGTAGGTATATATCGCGTACTATCGCGAGATAGTTAAAAAAGAGGTATTCTACCGACTTAGTAAAGATATAGAGGATCTTTACTATAAACGACTTAATTAGTAGTAAGTGTAGAGGGAATAGGAGAGTAGGAGAGGGATAGATAGAGGGAGATAAAAAATAAGAATATATATATATAGAGAAATATATATATTTAGTCTAAATATATAATACTATATTAGATATACGATTTTATCTAATATATAAACTAAGATATATACTAAGATAAAAAGATTACTACGATAGAGGATATATAGAAGGACGTAGTACGTAAATAGATAGAAGAATGTAGGTAGCGGAAGGAGTATTTATTATTAATTATAATTATAGAGATAGTGTGGTATACGCGATACGAACGCGAGGGTAGCGATATAAGCGCGAAACGTACGCGAATTTCAAGGTTAGGGGATATAGTGCGGAGTAGAAGGCAAGACATAAAGAATAAATAGATAAGAGTATTTATAGAAAGAAGCGTATCATAAAGTATAGCCGATAGAGGATGAATATAAGATAAGAATAATATGAATATGAAGATAATCTTTTGATGGGGTGCGGAAGTGGGAGACTCGACCACCGTACCGCAGCGGGCAGAAAGTATGGACTAATGAGAGGATGAGAGAGCGGACGAAGGCGGTCTGGAGACCATAAAGTCTAGCAAAGTAGCAAGACCACGATTCATTCAGTAGATTCCATGAAGCACATAGATCCATCCACCTTATTCATATTGGTCATTATTCCAGCACCGGGAAAGCAAGCCATCTCCTCGCTTAGTTGCCCAGAATGACCTTGTGGTCAGCGGGCTTCTCCTCGGGCTCGCCGAAGATATTAATGTTCCAGCGAGGCTTGTTGGCAGTATAGGGGGTATTGTAGCGCTTTCGGTTCTCACCTAGAGCACTGACCTTCTGAATCTCCTCAGCGGTGAGTTCGATCTCCTTGAAGTTGTCACGAATGCGAGAAGGCGTGACAGACTTGGGGATAACACTGTGTCCTCCAACCTGAGACCAGGCGAGACTTCAAGACTGTTAGTTTTCACTGGGCTCTCTCAGGGAAACAGTATGGATAATCTTACATGACGTGGGCAGGGGTGACTTCCTGGCCGGTGCGCTTGGAAACAGCCTCGGCAACTTCCTTGACCTCAGGGCGGGTGATAAGGAGAGGAATGTTGAGCATGTTGTTACCGAAAGCCTGGAGCTTCGAGTCAGCATTGGCCTTCTTTGCTATCAACCCAAAGATGGATACATACGGAGTAAGCAGTGATGTGGATTCCCTTCTGTTGGCAGTACTCAATCAGATCATTGCTCTGGAGCACAGGGTGGCGCTCGATCTGGTTGGCAGCAGGGACGACACCGGTGGCCTTAATGAGAGCCTCGAGCTGTGGGCTGGATTAGCGGACAAGTAACAGATTCTGGAGAAACAATGATACGAACATGCTCGATTGTGTGGTTGGAGACACCGATGGAGCGAGCCTTGCTCTTAGGGAGCTGGGTCATGGCTAAGTAGAGTTAGTCATGTTTTTTTCTGCTAACCGATATTCACTTACCCTTCCAGGTGTCCACAATAGAGACACCATCGTCAATAATCACATCACCGCCCTCAACGGTGCTGTTGGCAACCAGGGGGAAGTATGAATCACCCTTCTGGAAGGCAACAGGCCAGTGGACAAGGTAAAGCTGAGTTGGTTAGCGATGCTTAGCAAGTTCAGTGAATAAAATCTCCATACATCGAGGTAGTCCAACTCAAGCTCGGCAAGGCAGGCATCCAAAGAAGCTTCAACAACCTCGGGGCGGTGCTGGCTGCATGGGGAGTCAATCCTTCTGTAATATCAATAGGTATTGTATCATAGCGTACCTGTTCCAGAGCTTGGAAGTCTGTAGAACCACGTATTAGTTATTTAAACGCTGCAAAATTATCCAGTATGATGATTTACTCACAATAAAGATGTCTTCACGCTTCAGACCGGGAACATCCTTGTAGGCACGCTTGATGCCCTCGGCCACCTCGCGCTGGTTCTGGTAACTGGAAGAAGGTGGAGGTAAGCATGGCGCATCTACAACGGGAGGGTTCGTGATGAAGTTATCGATGCTGCATACATAGTTGCCAAATCCTAGGATACGTTAATGAATGATTCGACATTGAAAGAGAACGATCAAAGAACGATCACGATAGAAGAACATACCAAATGGCGGTAACCGGCCTTCAAAGCCTCATAAACAGCCTCGCCGACCTGACCAGGGGCAGACTGCCAGGTACCAAAGCCCAACTGGCTAAATGTGTGTCAGTAATGGATTCTCTCTCCCTCTTTTGGAGCATCTACTCACGGGATCTGGTGACCGGAGTTGAGAGTGACTTTCTTGCCGAGAGACATTGTGTGATTTCCAGAGAGAATTGGGGGGAGTGAAAACAAAACAGAAAAAACTGGGGAAATCCCGCGTCTTAACTCAAGTTCTCCGGCGGGGCTCCAGACTGTCGACATCCCACGCTGCCCCTCTCGGAGTACACTCCACCGAGAACAATCCAAGTTCAAGCCAAGATGAAGAGACTATACAGCATGTGAGTATATTAGGGTATATTTCCATTCAATCTCTCTCTATAATATGTGTTCGTTTTTTGATTGCTGCCAACTAGAGTACTGTATATCGGCACATACATGCCTGTATGTGTTGTATACAATAGCTTCCCAAACGGGTTAGTGTACTTTCGGCCGTGGTGTGCTGACTCAGGAAATGATGTCATCCACGTCTCGGATTACACAACCAAAAGGAGTGGGGGATCACCGTAAATACCGCTTCAGACTGGTGCATGAGATGTGGTTTACGGAGTAGAGCTAGATATATATACACATGTGCATACGGAGTAGTATCTGCTGAATATCAAGGGATACTCACTCTCCAGCCTTGAAGGGCTCACCACGCTGAACCCGGCAGAATCCCGAGAATCGCATCAATTCTTCTGCCGGCTTGGCATCTCGGACCAACTCCGGCGTCGGCTTGTCGGCCGAAGACCTGGCACATCGAAGTTCTATTGATGGCTATGGGAATATCCAATCCTTTATTCCAGGAGTTTGCGTCAAAATTGCAAGTTTCGAGTCCATTAGTCGGATTTATATTCACAAAACGAGACTGTCCTTGGTAATGCTGATCTACTGGCCCATAAAAACCCTGAGAAGTTCGGGATAGTTCGGGGTACCCAAGCCGGTCACTGGATCCCAGCCCTCTGCCGCAGAGAAGCCATTGGTGTTGCAACCCGCATTGGTACCCTTGGTGACATCGAAGAAAGCCTCTGGATGGGCATACAAGACAGGGTTCACAAAGCCGACGGTGGATTTGCCAGCGGCCAGTCGCTCCTCGTTGATACGCGTGAGGATTGCAGCGAATACAGGTGCTGAGGCCGATGTACCCCCAATCGATGAGGGCAACCCTCTGTTATAGATGATCACCTTGTCCCCAATAGCAGCAACATCTGGATAGCCACGTCCAATGCGGTTGTAGATCCCGTTATTCTCGCCGAAGCTACTATTGTCCACGCTCTTGTAGTATGGATACGAGGGTTTGGCCTTCGCAAAGTAGTCGGCAACAGCCTGAGCCTGGTAATCAGGTGCCTTGTAGATATTGCTGAACCCGCCACCCGACGGGAATCTAGTCACAGCTTGTTCATTGTGATCTTCTGGCTCGGATCCCGAGGGGATTTCAGTGCCTCCTACTGCAGTCAAGTAGGGACAAGAGGCAGGAAAGTCGGGAGCGAATATTCTGCCATTCCCGCCAAGGCAGTTGCTCGGAGTGGGATCACCCCCTCGTCCGGCTACACCAGAGTCTCCCGAAGCGACGACCACCGAGACCCCCATTGTACCAAGCTTCATGAATTCAGCACACTGGCGGCGCTGGTAAGAAAGGGGGAGATCCGCCTCGGCGGAGCCATATGAAATGGAAATGACCTTGGGCGGATCATACACGCCACACTGTAGGGAGCCCTTGTAGCCTCCCTCGGCCGGATTCGGATATGAAGGGTCCAAGGGCGAGATAGTGCTGCAGTAAGAGCCATCGATAGCATCCAAAAATGTGTTAAGGAAGCCTTTGAAGGTATAATCATTCTCGTAAATCATATCATCAGATTGGAAAAGGATCGAGTTCTGCGGCCAGATGATAGGATAGGAAATCTGGAAATCTAGATCGGATTCGGCTCCAGCATTGAAGATCTCTGCCGGAGCCTTGCCACCATCAATTGACTTGAGCGTCGGGTGAGTGCCTGTGGGGATTTTGCTGCTAGATAGTCAGTTCAGAATTCATCTGGAACCGATGAAAATGTACAAGGTAACATACGAGTACAATGTGGAGAAGAACAAGTCCAGATCTTCCTGGGCGTAGACATCTCCGATACCTTCAAAGATTCCCAGTTCGTTTCCTTTGGTGGCGGAGTGGCCCTCACTGATGTTATACATCTCTATATGCTTGTCAGAATATCCGGCGCAAAAGGACTTGCAACGATATCATTTACTTTGGATGCATTGAGCTGTGATGGCAAGAGAGCAAAACGATGACGCCCCACTCAATAGCTCTTCAAATGGCATGAGGATCGGCTCAAGGATAGGGGGAAGCCCGTTCCCAAACCGTTTCTGTTTGACGTTGGATCTCCGGACAGCGGTCACTTCCCGGAGTGAGATTCCTGGAGTAATATAGTCGACATGTTCACGTACAGAGCTTGGGAGGTGATATCTGTACGTAAAAGTCAGCAAGGCTGCATTCTGCTGACATTAATTATGAAGGCCTTACTCTCGACAACCCACGTGCGATCGGCCTGTTTCAGCATGCAAATAGACGTAGTACTTTGTACGTAGCAATTCCTCCAACTCCTCGACATCCGCATCGAACTGGATCCATTGCTTGTTGACTGACTGTGTGATGCGATCGCCTGCAATTCCAGCCGACTCTAGCCATGAACGCACATCATTCACGCTCTTTTCAGTTGGGGCGAACAGGTCATGTACTTCATGAGCCGACAGGTGTTGACCATATCGGCTTGAGGAGGGGTTCGATCTAACCAGATCTTTGTCAGCCCCAGAAGATCAAACATCGAATGTGTAGGTCCATACAAATCCATGAGCAGGTCATGCCCATAGTCTAAGTTAGACTGGGTCAGCCCGATTCGCACAGGCAGTGACACATTCCCATCGAGCTTTTTGCCTTCAACCCAAGCTTTTGGGGTGAAGTCACGACGCTCGTGCAATTGGTAATTGTGGGCGGTTGGTACAGCAATCGCGCTCGCCGCCAAAGCGCAAATCAGGATGAAAAATTTCATGGTGATGATCTCCGGAGTTTGCCGGTTCAGCTTTCACCCTGGAAATTGCGATCTGATTCAGAAAGATCAGACTCATGGGGCCAGCGGGGACCGCATCATTTATAGGATCACCTATACCGCATCATTCTCCGCCTATAATCCATCTCCCGAATCATCTCACACTAAGAGAACAAATACGCCCATAGCGCATCTATTGTCAGCGAGCCTTCGGCCGTCGAACCCAAACTCCCATTAGTCGATATTCTCTCTCTTGGTGAAACCGTGATAAGCGTTTGGGGCTGGGCCTGGATGGGGCTTTCAGGGTCAAGGGTCATTGATTCGGTGGGCTGGGATCACCCAAGAGGAAATGCAGCCAGTCGATCACTGATGCTAAGACACCGACAGGAAGGCAGACGGGGCAATGATAGAGCTTGTCATGCTTTGGTGGCGTTAACTCTGCACTCGACCGCTCCCTGTCTTCTGATTCGTGTCTGATCTGAGAGTTGGCCATCCGGGTAAAGTTCCTATATTGTACGGAGTGCCATTCATCTACTCTGTACAAGCCCAAATCAAATCGGCAGCTCTCGGAAGGTTCAAAAGGATATTAGGGGTCACGAGGGGGGGCCATGTGAATATTATTGACACGGAGAGTATATCTTCTCGTGATGTGGTTGCTTTCTTCGGCGACTTTCAATAATCGTCGTCCCCGGTTCAATCGACGGCGGAAATTCACGGCATCCGCCGAGTGCATTGTTGGCCTCGTGAGAGATTCCTTTTTCAACCTCCGAGCAAACAAGGTCTTACAGTCCGAGAGGACAGCCTCGGGAGAATAATGGCCATCGCCTTATGTGAACAAGAATGATCATAGGCTATGCATAGGCCAATGTGTACCTCGGAAGAAATCCGCCCCTGGGGGATTGACTTGCGAGAAGACCATGAAATGCGACCGATTAAACACAAAATCCAAGAACCACTGATTCCCCGTGCTCGTCTGTATTTGGGTGTGGGGACAGTGCTTGGTCTCTCCTAAGAATGCCTCCGTTGAATCTTAATTGCAAGATTCTCACTATGATTTGATGCCGAAATGAGGTCTATGATCCTTATTCCAAGCCCCTGAGCACCCCCGCATTGACAGATGCCGATCATTGCATCCTAGCCAAGTGAACAGAGGGCGATGCTTTACTCCATAGGTCCAAGTTCGTTCTCAAGCTCACTCAACTAATAATGCTGAAGTATCGACTTCAGCTGAAAGTTCCAGAGCTATCAGAACAACCTGCCTTGGCGAAATGATAGCAAACCCAATGTGAGCACTCGAGATGACGTCGTACCGACTTGCAAGGGAATTATCCCTCACGGATACTACAGAAGACCAGATTGGCATTGAAGCTTGCATCGCAGCCATCATCCACCCACTACGCGGCTGCCTAAACTCCGCATACGGACGATGATCTCAGTGGCATTGAAGGTCTGATACAGGAAACCAGAGAACAGATGCAACGTCGCGGGCAGAAACACGGTTGCATGTGCCTTCTACAGGCATGAGTCATGCGAGAAAAGGAGGATAGCTCCATTCAAGAGAGAGTCCATTGTAGCTCTTGGGGCATTTCAAGCACCGGGCTACAATGTATAGTAACTGCGGATGGCCTCGGCAGTTAGGACGCGGGTTAATGATGAACGATCAACTTGAGATCTCAATGTGAATTAGGCGCCAGCACCCAAAGGCACTTGCAGATCAGATTTGAGGTCCGTTCACTCAACTGTCATCCAAAGTTCCACTGTAAAGATTCGCTATGACCATCGAGGCCCGAATTCTCTGTTCCATGACCCCGGCACGGGTATATTTCAACTTCCGTGTCTTGGTTGCGGGAAGAGAACATTCAAACCGATGAAGTGCTATTCGGAGGGGATGGGGGTCATGGTGCCCCCCTCGACTGGGGGTAAGCAACCATTCACGACCCGCACCATTTCCATAATAAATCGACCAGCTGTTGTCGATGCAATGGTTTAGCAATGTAATCGTCCATCCCCTTGGCCAGATATGTCTCTGCATCCCCTTTCAGGGCATTGCCTGTCAGTGCAAGAATAGGCACGTCGACCTTCATCTGTCGAATGTGTTCCGTGGCGGTCAATCCGTCCATGACTGGCATGTTGATGTCCATCAAAATAACATTGTAGGTCAAAGGCTTCTGCTTGACCATTCGCACTGCTTCCGCGCCATCCCAGGCTGCGTCAACACGCGTAAAGCCCAGGCTGCTGAGAAGCTTCAACATGATAGTTTGGTTAACTTTGTTGTCTTCGACTAGGAGGATGTGTTTATGTGGGGCGATCTTTTGGAGCGACGCGGAGTGATCGGACGCCCCGGGTGTAACAGGTGGCAGCCTGGGCTTTGTTGACGATATCGGGGAGGTAATACGAGACAGCTTAGCTGTCATCCAGAACACACTACCGGGTCCTTCTGGGTTGGCATGGAACCCAATCGCTCCATCCATCAATTCTGCCAGACTCTTGCAGATCGAGAGACCAAGACCAGTGCCCTGGTATCGTTTGGTGGCGGTGTCCGCAAATCGAGTAAAGGGGGTGAAAAGGGTGCTTGCGGCATCCTCTGGCACACCGATACCAGTGTCTACCACTTGGGTAGAGATCACATACAGATCCGGGTTCTTTTCATCGATTGCATAACTAGCATGGACTCGAACATGACCATTCTCGGTGAACTTCACCGCGTTTGTGACTAGGTTTTGCAAAACTTGGCGGAATCGTAGTGGATCACCTTTCAGATTCGCAGGGAATCCCTCGCTGACATCGCCTGAGATTTTCACTCCGGGTTTGAGCGCCGACTGACAATTCCGAACCACGGCAGTGATCACATTAGGGATGTTGAGAACATCCGGGTTCAAGGGAAAGGTTCCCGACGAGAGTTTCGAATAGTCCAGCACATCGTTGATAACCTGTAGCAAAATAGATGTTGAATCTTCAAGGATAGTGGCAAATTCCCGCTGCTCATCATCCAACTCGGTCCTTAATAACATCGTCAAAGCCAAGAGCATCCCATTCATCGGGGTGCGCAATTCATGGGACATGTTAGCTAAAAAGTCAGACTTGAGCTTGGCGGATTCTTCAAAGGCATTGATCAAACGGGCCTCAGCCGCCCGGCGTTCTGTCAGGTCGCGAGTGACTTTCACAAAGCCCACATGGCTGCCATGCTGGTAGATGGCGGTGATCATGACATTAGCCCAGAATCGGCTGCCATCTTTTCGATACCGCCAGCCCTCATCCTCGACCTTTCCTTCTCGTAGACAGACCTCTAACTCGCGGGCCGGCTTATTGATTTCGCGATCGTCGCGACCGTAGAAGATGGAGAAATGCTGACCGATGATGTCGGATGACGTGTATCCCTTCAAAATAGCGGCTCCGGAATTCCAGGTCGCAATATGGCCGCGCGTGTCCAGCATGAAAATGGCATAATCCCTGACCGTGTCGATCAAGATTTTATAGGTTTCGTTGAGGTAAGTTTGTTCGCTAATGGAGCGCGACCTTTCCCGTTGGCGGTGCTTGGCCCGCTGGGCTTCCAGGAGTACGTAAATTAAAACATCATCTTCAAAAATTGGCGTCACGCTGAGTGAAAAGAATGCGTCGGGTTCTACCACATAAACGCGTTTAATGACCTGTGCTTCGCGGGTTGATATGGCAGTGCTGAGGGCACCGCTCAGGGATGCGATGTCGGGGGCTGGGAGGATGGAGGGGAGGAGGTCGTAAACGTTCGAAGTCAACAGTTCTTCTCGCGGCCTCTTGAAGACTTCCACATGACTGTTGGATACTTCGACGACTCGTAGGGTGTCATCTAAAACGAGAGTAGGTTTGCTGCGCAGGGGGCGTTAGTAATTGGATCTTCTCCACGGGGAATCCCAGATTTCGATGTCACAGAGGGCGATTCTCACGGTGTCAGTCGATATATGCGACTCAAGGATATGTTATTTGGCTGTTTAGCATCGTTGTCCGGTTTCTGGAGCGGTTGCTGGATGGCAAGATTTAAATCGTTTTCAGCCGGAGGAGTGAGCACCATAGCGACATTGTTCGTAGGGCGGCACTCGGCGATTCTCAGATGAAGCATCTGATCCACAGGCATATCGCTGACAGCCTGGATGAATGTGAGGATGACATTCAAATGGTGATGTCGCGAAGGGATATGAAAATGTCAAGAGACGCAAAGCAAAGCGAGTGGACGGGACCGATCCCCGGCGGGGTTCCAGACCGAAGTGGATAAACGAAGCCAAAAATGTCCAAAATCAAGGAAATCCAGATGGATCGATCACAAACCGAGGGTAATTTTCTCCATGTAGCCGAGATTCACAGAATCCACGTCATTGGAATCCTGCAATATAGCTTTGGACAATTCTTATACATGCAGTACGTGTAGAAATAGGAGTATCAACGGTATATATCTCCCCAGTACTCCAGACAAGGCCCCGTCCAGGCACACGCCCCTCTGGTGGCGAAAAATGACGAGGGGAAACGACTAGAGCCTGGCCCTACTACGTTTTTGATTCAAGGATATCCCTGCACGTTGTCTTACATCCACTACGCTGACTCTTCCCGTGGCCAAAATCCCAGGTTTATACTACATTGTAAGGGTATCTAGATGGGCTTACAAACACCCTTACATGGGTGTCTCACAGTATCTAGACTTGGGTATTCGGGAATAATCTCAGGAGCTAACTAAAGCGCGCGTGCAATCTCCATTTGACCAGCTAGGGGTGGCCCAAAACGGGTTGGACGACTCATACCTCCACAGATGGTCTTTTTGCTTCATTCCACCCAAGACCATCTCCTTAGAGACGGGGGAATCACATCGCCATATTCTTTGTCATTTAGAAAATAGAGAATACCGCATGGGTTAATTACTAGAAACACATCTGCCCTCGAGAAACAGCGACCATCCAACACCATGGGGAAGCCATTCATTCACCCATTGCAATAATAAGCCCTAAAGGTTCTCGGGTGACCAATGGCGTTCGAAACCCCCCAAAATCCGGTACAAATCTGCCCCTTGGGAGAATGATCGGCCTGTGTGGTTATGTCCTTAGGGTAAGACCCCCAAGGTGAATGAATGCCTCTATAGAGGTCGTGGGCGGGGGCGCGGAAGAGGACGGAAACAATAAGTACGAAGGACGAAGGACACATCTAGGCCCCGAGGCACTTATACCTTCAAATAGCTCGTCCAAAAGGGACTCTCTTGGTATTCACCTTCATCCTTTGTCTGATACCATCATGCGAGACATGAACCACGATGGATTCAGAGAGGTCTGGGGGATCAGGGTATGGGCAATAAAGTGGGTCACGTCCTCTGGCACGTCTTTTCGCTCTTTTCTCCTCATCCGTTGCCCAGTCCTTCGTATACAACATATAATCAGACGAGAACGCGGACTCTAACAATCCAGTCGCACTTCCATGGGGTACTGGACCATCCGCTATTGGTCTTGATTCCTGCGGGCTCACCACCCTGCTCCATGCAGCGGAAGTGTCCCAGTGACGCCTTTTAGCTCTCGGTCCAAGCCGACTCAATACTGGACGAACTTGGGCTCGAGATATTTCTGGTTTGTCCAGAATGGAGACTGAGAAACGTCGGGGATATTCATGGAGCCAGGTGGGTGTCATCGCAGTTGATCCCCACTATAGTCGAGACTGTTGTCTATTTTTATCTTATTTTTTATTCCTATTCGTCGATTAGAGACATACGCATCAATTTGAATTAATTGGTTTCATATCCTAGGACGTCCCTGAAGATCGGCGTAATGAGATCGCCATTCTTCAAGACCGAGATGCCGAAGAGATCTTGCCCTATGACGCCGATGATTCGCCTTTTCCAGAAGTGCGGGCTGTCATTCAGCCAGTCAATGACTTGACGCTACCTGTAAATACAGTCCGTATGTGGACTATTGGTATTGCGTTTACTATTGTATGTTGCGTCCGACCAGGCGATTGTCAAGGCACGCTAACTCCTGCAGGTCGGGAGTGGACTAAACCAGTTCTTCAGCTTACGACAGCCCAGTGTGACTATCAGTGCTCTAGTGGCACAATTACTGGCCTTTCCAGTAGGATGTGCCTGGGCGAGGTGGACTCCTCTCGGAGTGCTGAATCCCGACCGTCGTTTCAATATCAAGGAGCATGCCTTGATCACCATCATGGCGAACGTCTCAATTGGCTCTGCTGCTGCTACCCAGGTAATTGAGGCCATTGTCAAGTTCTATCACATGCCATCGCAAGGCGGGTTTGAGGTGCTATTGTGCATTACCACGCAATTATTTGGTTTCGGTTTAGCTGGTCTGGCCTCGCGGTGGCTGGTCGAACCGGCATCGATGCTATGGCCGCAAGTTTTGTCCAATGCAGCACTTCTAACTACTCTCCACTCTCGCCGCAATACTATCGCAGATGGATGGCGGATCACTCGGCTTCGCTTTTTCCTTTATGTGTTCTTTGGGAGCGCAATCTGGTACTTCGCCCCGGGATATCTCTTCACGGGTCTCAGCACCTTCGCCTTTATTTGCTGGATTGTGCCATCCAATGTGGTAGTAAATCAGCTCTTTGGGCAAACCACCGGACTGGGTATGTCGGTATTGACCTTTGACTGGGCCCAGGTGGTTTATGCCAACCACAGCCCCCTATTAGTGCCCTTCTGGGCTGGTATGAATGTGATGGGATCATTTGCTCTCTTCTTCTGGCTCGTGTGTCCCCTCGTTTACTATACCAATACTTGGTATTCCGCACACCTGCCGCTTCTAAACTCCAATACCTTCGACAACACTGGGAGGCCTTACAACACCAGACGTATCATGGGCTCTCGGAGTGAAGTCAACGAAAGTGCTTATCGGGACTACTCCCCGATGTTTCTCCCTGCCGGCTATGCGATCACATTTGGTGTCGCCTTTGCTAACCTGACAGGTATTTTCTTCCATGTCATGCTATACCATGGCAAGGACTTGTGGGAACAATGGAAAGGCAATAGCAAACAAGACGTTCATAGTCGACTCATGTCTTCGTACCAAGCTGTCCCCTGGTGGTGGTCCGTTGCAATCACTGCCGTGATGTTTATATTGAGTATTGTGACCAACGAAGTGTGGCACACGGACCTACCAGCATGGGGTGTATTTGTGGCTTTCGTATTACCAGTGGTCTACTTTATTCCTGTGGGCGTCATCAAGGCCCTGACGAACATCAGTAGCAACCAACTCAACCTGCTCACGGAATTCATTGGTGGATATGCCTTTCTCGGACGACCAGTGGCTAACATGGCTTTCAAATTTTACGGCTATGTCGCTGTCCAACAGGGATTGGAGTAAGTGCTGTTGATGCCACACAAAAGAGATTTGATTAACACCATACTAGATTCGTCGCCGATATGAAATTGGCTCATTATATGCACATCGCACCACGGCTTCTCTTTGTGGCTCAAGGCCTGGCCACACTTATTGGCGCCGTTGTTCAATGTGGTGTGACAGTCTTCATGATCACCAGAATCGAGGACGTGTGTACCCCCGAGGCAGCTGGAAATTTTATCTGCCCTCACGGACAGGTCACATACTCCTCGTCTCTCATTTGGGGTGAGCTATATCGTCTCTTCACTTTCCTTCCACCGGTTCATAGCTGACATATTTTCAGGTGCTGTTGGTCCAGGTCGATTGTTTTCTGCCGGGCAGATATATAGCAATCTGCTTTGGTTTTTGCTTGTTGGACCAGCAGTAGTAGTCATTACCTATCTCCTGGGCCGTCGGTGGAAGTCCCTCAACTATATCTCCTGGCCCGTTGCCTTCGGTGCAATGAGTCAAGTCCCACCTGCTACTGGTATCAGCTTCTCCTCGTGGTGGATCGTCAATCTCATATTCAATGGCATACTCCGTCGCCGGAAGCCTGCATGGTGGTCCAAATACAGTACGTCGACTTTTCCTCTTTCTCCTCTATTTTCGCCTTCGTTGCTGATTGCCTGCAGATTATGTCCTATCCGCCGCGCTGGACTGTGGCGTTGCAGTCGCCACAGTTATTATATTCTTTTGCATCACTCTCCCAGCTGGTTCATTGAGCTGGTGGGGTAATAACGTGTCTCAAACCACAGCGGACGGTAGAGGCACACCCTACAAGGGCTTACCAGCGCAGGGCTACTTTGGGCCTCCGAGGGGAACATGGAACTAATCATGAACCCTTGACTACTGCTGAATTTTAGCTTCTCCCGACACATATTGCTATCGTTCTTTACCTTCCTTGTTTACACACTATATGTTGAACATACAGGAGGCGGACACAATCTTTTGGATACCCCTGCACATTCGGCTGTTTGGCATGACGTTTCTTCTCATTTCATGGCTCATGGACACGTAAAATATCGATCTTCACGAAGCAAATCTGGCTATCAAACTTTGACCGATCGCCCACCTACATAGACTTTGGCAATATTCCGATCATCCCCAGTCATCAGAAACTTCTCGAATATTGTTTGAATACTATCTTCCTCTTCAACCGGGCTCATCACTCCTGGCTGATCAAGATCAGTAGTGTGAATTTCAAGCGCATCGAACTCTTTCCCAACGGCAAAATTACCGACTCGGTCATCGAGCCCACAAACTTGGGCACCACCTAACGTAGCAAGGAAGAAGCCTTCATTCATGGAAAGCGCAGGATCCCGTCCTTGGGTCAACATCTGCTGCGCATTTGACACAATAAAAGCCTGCTTCATAGCATCCAGTATGGATGACGAGTAACCACCGCCGCTATCGGTGCCCAGACCAACTTTGATACCACGGCGCAGATATTCCCGCACAGGTGCCACCATGAACTCTTGCATAGTTGTATTCGCGATCGGGCAATGAGCAACGCCACAGCCAAGTTCCTGGATGCGGCGAATTTCACTCTCTTGTAGGAAGATGCAGTGGGCAAGAATGGAGCGATCATTCAGTAGACCGTATCGCTGATAGAGATCAGCTTCTGTGTCAAACTCTGGGAAAAGTTGGCGCGTGAACTCGATCTCCTGCTTCGCTTCATTGAAATGCGTTTGGATTGGGAGATCAGGATGTTCACGCGCGATAGCACCAAGCCCATCCAGCAACTCCGGCTCACAGGATATCGCAAATCGTGGGGTCAGTATCGGTTTCACCAAATGGTATGTTGGGTCAATCTTTTGAACGTGGTTGATGAACTCTCTCGTCTCGTGCAGCGAATCCGACACCGACGCATCCCGATACCAGTCCGGGGCATTCCGGTTCATGTTACACTTGCCCACCAGCGCGCGCTGTCCTTTCTCAAGGCAGACATCGGCCAGGATCCGACTTGCGCGACCATGATGAGAGCCGTAATATGATGCCGTAGTAATGCCTTGTTGCAAAAAGCCTGACACGCAAGAGGCGTACATTCGTTTGGCATATTCCGGGTCTTCAAACTTCGCCTCGTGGGCAAACGTGACCTTATTCAACCAGTCAAGCAACGAGATTCCTCTTCCGACGCCACGCTGTGCCCATTGGGGTGCATGGTTGTGAGTATCAACAAAGCCGGGGCATAAAAGCTCCCCGCGCTTAAGATGCTTCACCGGGAAGACGTCGGGCGTGTAGCCATATTCCGATGCAATGGCGTTGATCTGTTGTGGTTCCACGCCCGCTTGTAGTGCCTCAATCTTTCCATCTTTTCCCACCAGTACGAAGCAATTCTCTAGGATCTCGAGGTCATCCAGACTTTGGGAATGGATAACTGTGCCGTGAAAGGCGAGGGGAAGTCCCGATGCCGGGGTAGTCCTCGTATCGAGTTCTTCCATATTCGATGGAAATTCAGTAATCAACGCTTGTAATTATTCCGAGGTAGCAGCTAATTTCCCACGATGTCCATTTACAAAGTTGATGTCGAAGGAAGAGTGTGGATGCCCATGTGTCCAGGTGAGTTGAGGGGCATTAATAATCGGCATATGCACCGGTCTCTGCCCAGACAGCCGGAGGGAGTTGGGCATCTTCTTTTCTGGCCACTGAAGTCTTCGCAGTCATTGGGATATATCCTCAATTTAATGGAGTCTGGTTTATAATTGTAACAAACTCGCAGAATATTAACATGAAAAAAGAAAAACCTGATATAAAACTCCGTCTACCTCCAATAGAGCACGGTTTAATATACAGAGAAAGAGATTCGTTCAAAGGGTATAGTAGGATGCCATCTCTTCCTGGAACCAATTGTACGAGTAAAGGAGTTGATCTGCCATATGTGGATCGATCAATGGAACAGTTCCACTGTCATCAACGAGTAAGACGTCGTCGAGGACAGGAGCGAGTGGGACCGGGGGTGGAGGGGGTGGAGGGGGCGGAGGGGGTGGAGGGGGTGCAGTCAAGGACATTGACGGATGAGATGGTATGAGTGTAGGGGATAAAGCTGGCGGCTGCGGTTGGTAAGGATGATGATGATGTTGCTGGTAAGCCATTTGGCTGAATATCATTGTGCTTTGGTGCCGGAACGTCTCTGCCAACCGATCAACCCCAGGCCGGCGCTTGCCAAATTCTTCCAAAAGTACGACGACCGCCTGAATGCCACGACGCATAGTCTGTTCTTCGGGCTGCCAGGGGGGGTTCTGCGATTCGCGTAAGGAGCGCGCGTTCTGCTCAAGGCACCACAGGATAGTGATACCTGCAAAATACAATTGACTCAATGTTAACCAGATCCATTTCAGCTTGCCTACCGAGTAGCTATCCCAATAAGATCGAATCACCTGGATGCTAGAATCACCGCAACTGATAATACTGATTATATCGGGAGTCGGATTGCGAGGGCTAGGACGGTACATCAAGAGAATGGTGGTGTAGTAAAGATAATCGTAATAAGAAGTGGAATAGAGAAGTGCCGATGGATACACTGGAGCCATCATGCGCCAGTCATCGACCTCTCGGCGGAATTGACTGAGCATAGCGGTAGCTTCTTGGGGTGGGAGTCGTGGCAGGCTGCTATATACTACCGGCGAATGGTCAGAGTAGGAGAAAAGGAAGCATATCGCACTTGGGCATCACTTACAGTATTGATAGATGCGCGAAAAGATCCGCCGCAAGCGTATCACCTGCAGAGGAATCGTCGTCGCGCTCGCACCAGGCACCTCTGTTCCATCGTCATTGAGCTCTCGCAAGAGGCTTACACTAATATCTTCGTCGGCAATTCCCAGTGGACGCCCCAGGGTGCTGGCAATGAGGCGATCCAAATTGTAGAGGCTCCAAAAAGCACGCTTAGCCATCTCTTCTTCAGCAATGCTAGGGTATGCCCGCATTTTATGAAGACCGATGCTAGTCGATAACCTCATCGCCGCACCGAGGATATGCCAAATGCTGGGCCCAGCAGTCGCAAACATTGTATACAAAGCCAATCCTAGGAGCGCCCGCACAGCTGCCAAGTCTTCATTCTGCAATGCCAGTGGGAGGGTCTCCTGGCTGGCATGATAGAAATCGGCAGCCTGCATCGGGTCCGCCGACCCAATCAGAAGCGAGATGGCAATGACAATATGATAAGTGTTATGTGTTTCCGGCGACGGAATACCACCAGTATAGATGTGGCGCAGATAGCTCATGAACTCCGGACGGGATAGGAATGGGTATTGGTAGCCCATGCTATCAAAATATTGTCCAGCCAACCGTTCAGCTTCCTCCAGCGACGACAAACGTAGGACCCGTGGAGCGGAAGATGGTCGCGCGACCGACGGTCGGCGATGCTCGAGCTGATCGCGGAATATTTCACCCACGTTGGGGAGCTCTGGGCATACTCCGGTTGACGCCTCCGAGGGTCCCGCCGTCACAGAAGAGCCAGTGCCTGCAGGGCTAGGTATTGAGGTTGTAGAACGATTTCCCCCGGTCGCAATCATTGTGGGCACCTGGTACCACCAATCCGGATCTCCCTCGCCATCTAGTGGTGTGCCGGTGGGTAATTCCGCCACAGAGAGGCCCGACTTGCGTCGGACAACCTCCTCCAACCATTGTACACGTTTCTGAAGATTCTCGAGCTGGTCCCGGGGCACGGAGGCGCTAGCGACTTGAGGACCGGGCGGGGGGATGGTGCATCGGACTCCGGCGCGAGTGCAGGCCGAGCAATTGGGGTATCGGAAATCGCATTTCTTCTTCCTTTTGCGACAGAAATCACAGGCTGTCGACACACGTTTGCTGCGAGAATGACCGGGCACGTCTATATGTGGAGGTTGGGATTCAGAGGGCCAGGTACAATTGATCGAGTCCAAACGGAACTTGCCCAGTTGATCGCGGAAGTCCTTATTGCCAGATGAGCTCATGGTGCCACAGGGCCACTCAAGCTCTCCATCCCAAACACATCGACCAATGTCATTGAAAGAATATAGTGAAGGCACATCAGAAGAAGAAACAAAAAGTGGGGGCAAAAGAAGAGCTTGGCTTCTTCCAAGTTACTTTCGCTTACGGAGTAGTCGACGTGCCGATCACCAGAAAAGAAACCGGTGCCATTCTGCGAGTTGATTCGAGTAAATGGTCAATGGATATGAGAATATATTGATCTTGCATGATCTTCCCCTGTTTCATCAGGACTTTTGTTTCTTAGGGTTACTTTTTCGGCACTTGATGGCTGAAGCGATCTGCAACGCCCGGGGCCTCCATACACGGACTCCGTACTCCAAAAGCAGAGATTCTTCAACGGCTATGAAGGCTTCTTGGTGGGAAAATCGGTATGCATATCTATCATCTCCTGATAGACATTCCTCGAATCAAATCCTCTCTTTCGATATCAGCCCACTGCCGGCGACCTCCGGATGCTGTACGGAGGACTGGGGCCTGAACGACCCTAGAAACTTCACTTGAAACGTTGGGACAACATCCAGAACTGATCGACATTTCCCCTACCTGAGTGGGATGAAGACTATGCTTTGGTGTTTCTGCTATACAACGTTACTACTGCACTATGCTCCCTGTCCCCGTCTTATTTTGGGAGGCCAAGGATGCAACTATACTCGGCTTATCTGAAGCTTCATGGCCAGGAGGAACATAAATAGGCCCATCTCCCTCAGATTTGGATATAATCTATTCAAGACAATACATCCTTTCTTTTCTATCATACCACTGCCACCATGAAGATCAACTTCCTCTCCGTCCTCTTCGCCACTGCTGCCAGTGCCGCCGTTCAGGGCTTCGATATCTCCGGCTATCAACCCACCGTGGACTTTGCCGGTGCTTATGCATCTGGTGCTCGCTTTGTCATGATCAAGGTACGATTCCCAAGGTTCTTCATGCAAATACTTCCTCTGTCATCATACTAACCATACCAGGCGACTGAGGGTACCTCTTTCATCTCCAGCTCTTTCTCGAGCCAGTACACTGGTGCCACCAAGGCCGGTCTGATCCGGGGTGGTTACCACTTTGCCCACCCCGACAGCAGCTCCGGTGCCGCGCAAGCCACTTACTTCCTTGCCCACGGTGGTGGTTGGTCCAACGATGGTATCACCCTGCCCGGTATGCTGGACATTGAATACAACCCGTCCGGTGCCACCTGCTATGGGCTCAGCGCATCTGCCATGGTCGCCTGGATCAAGGACTTTGGTAACACCTACAAGGCCAAAGCCGGTCGCTATCCTATGATCTACACCACTGCCGACTGGTGGAACACTTGCACTGGTGGCAGCACTGCCTTCAGCGCCGACTACCCCTTGGTCCTGGCTCGTTACGCCTCCTCTGTTGGTACCATCCCTGGCGGCTGGCCCTACCAGAGCTTCTGGCAGAACTCCGATTCCTACAAGTATGGAGGAGATTCTGAGATCTGGAATGGCAGCGAAGCCAATCTGAAGATCTTTGCCACCAACGCTGCGTAAACTTGGCCAGTTTCGACCGAAAGTGCCCATGATATGTATATATATTGTGTACATAAACCCATTGGATTATGATCTTTCTTTGTGGAGATCAAAGCCCGTTCTCTATGCTATTCTCTCCCGGTCGTATATGATATGATAAATTTGATCGTAGATGTGCGAATGTAACTACGCCGATATCGTGACCCCAGAAACAAAGTCTTCGAAAGGCATGCACCGTTCACCATCCTCCACTCTGCAAGAGACACATTGAGATCAGAGGGTGGGGGCCGACTCGGGGTCCCGACGGGGATTAGTGCCCCTCAGACAGTCCATCTGTGGCATTTAGGCTATCTTGTATTCTTGTATTCTTTGATTCTGTCTCCCGATTTTTTCCCTTCTGCTGTGAATACAAAGGAGATGGATCTCATTCAATATGCCACCGAAGCCGATGGGCCAGGACTGGCCAAAATCAACGTCCAAAGCTTTCTAGGCCGTCGTCTCCTGGAAGAAGTTTTCCCGGGGACCAGCCAGGCCAGAATGCAGGAATACAAGGGCATTGTGGCAATGAAACACTTGGCCACCCCCAATACACATGTCCTCAAGATCCATGACCCAGCCAGCGGAGAGCTAGTGGCCTATAGTCGTTGGCACCTTCCAGACTCATTCGGTCAGAGTCTGGTTCCATTGAGTGACCAGGCGGCCCTGTTCGCCAAGGACCCCCTTCCGTATGCACCGCAGCCAATGAATGAGGAGATCTTTAGGGCCTTCAAAAAGCTTCTGGAAGACTCTCGCAAGCGATATACCACAGAGAACGATATGAGTAAGTGGCTTAGCCCCCGCATTCACGCTTTTGAGGATCATGACTCACATACGTCATTAGTCCTCGATTTATTAGCAACCCTGCCCGGATACCAAGGGCGAGGCTTCGGCTCTGCTGTTCTGAAATGGGGGACGGAAAAGGCCGACGCCTCTCAATCGCGCATTTTCCTTGAGGCAACGCCCGAGGGTATTCCCCTATACCTCAAACATGGATGGAAGATATTGGAGGAGGTAACTATTGACTATGCAGCATTTGGAAGTACAGGAAGCGAGTCTTTCTCCTTGATGATGAGGGACCCATTGCCACAATAGAACCGTCCATAATCTATCTAGGACATGTACCTAGGTAATGTACATATCGATCGGCCATAGCCTCTTGCTTTCATATTTACCTCAGAGATTAAATGTCCTATGAATGCACTTCAGTATATACATGTCTCGCCTATTCTCATAGTTCGGGTTCGTAATCTTCGTCAACTCCGGGGGATAAACGGACAGCCGGGCACGTCATTTTCCCCCGCGGGGAATTGGTCGCATTGATGAGCATTTGGCCCCCTCGCTTTTACTCTGAACGACCACTTTTCACAATGGCTCAACTCAAATTTGCAATCCTTGATGACTACCAGGGCATTGCGCCTGCCTATTTCACTCATCTCGAATCGCGAGTTGAAATTTCCAGTTTTCCCGAGACCCTCGACCCCCGCGATCCCGCACAGCACGATGCACTCGTCCAGCGACTCCTTCCCTTCGATGTCATCCTGGCCATGCGCGAGCGAACACCCTTTGCCGCTAAAACAATTGCGGCACTCCCCAATTTGAAACTCCTTTTGACTACGGGAACCCGCAACTTGGCGCTCGACCTCGAGGCATTTACACGTTCCAACGTGGTTGTTGCAGGTACTGAGGGTCGTCCCCCTGGTGTCAATTCGACGGTGCAGCACACATGGGCGCTGATCCTGGGACTTGCTCGGAATATAGCCCGTGACGATGCTGCGGTCAAACGTGGTGCGTGGCAAGGCTCTCTAGGTGTCAACTTATCTGGGAAAACACTAGGGGTGCTCGGCTTGGGAAAACTAGGATCGCAAGTAGCCAATATTGGAAGTCTGGCATTTGGAATGAAAATCCTAGCATGGTCGGCCAACTTGACTCAAGAAAAGGCCGATGAGCAAGCGAAAGCTCAAGGTCTGCCGGCGGGAACCTTCGCTGTTGCCGCATCCAAAGAGGATTTCTTCGCACAGGCTGATATTGTCAGTGTACACAGTGTGCTATCGGATCGGAGCCGTGGAATTGTTGGTACAGCTGAGTTGGCGAACATGCGATCCTCTGCATTTATCATCAATACTTCACGTGGGCCTTTGATTAACGAAACGGCGCTCCTGGAGGCCTTGAATGCGGGCCGTATTCGTGGCGCTGCACTTGATGTCTTCGACCCTGAACCATTGCCTCTTGATAGCCCGTGGCGTACTACCCGCTGGGGACAAGATGGACGCAGTGAGGTGCTGCTTTCGCCCCACATGGGATATGGAGAGGAGGAGCTATTACGAGGCTGGTATCGCGAAACAGCCGAGAATTTAGAGCGGTGGTTAGATGGACAGGAATTATTGCGCAGATTGAATTGACAGACAAGAGCAATACGTTGTATACAAAGATGGAAATATTATTGCGTCATATCACATGCATGTGGCATGTAGATCAGGAACACTCTGAAACATTCTGGAATTCTACTGAAGAACTGGAAGACATTTTGAATTTTTACCCATTCCCTAAATCCAAAGTCCATCAGGTAATCCCCTTATCATACGTTTCAGAGGATCAAGCCGAGAATGTGACAATGCGCTGCAAGTTCTGCGTGTGGAGACTCACCGAGTAACGAATGTGTACAATCGTCCGTTAGAACAGCATCTCCCCACACTCACGAGTCTAAGCACAAGGATATGAGTGCGGGTTAATATCGCTTGAAACCCCTCCAAGTGTCGTCACCTGTAGCCTCGGCCGCCCGAGGACAAAGAGAGTTTCTCTATTTCCCTCGGTTGAAGGGAGCAATGTGGTTTCTTCGACGTAATAAAAGCCCTGGTCTCCCCTCAGTTCCTATTTCCAGTTCCCATCTGTGATCACCAATATCCCAATACCCAGAAAATCCCAACCATCTCTCTTCTCAAACTATGGCACCATCCGCTGACCCCATTCCCGTGGCACCCCTTGCCAACGACTTCCCTCCTCCGACTCATCCCGAATGTCTGCGTGTGGATCGCAGCACCAAAGCATTTGGCAGCGGGGCTTACTCGCTGGTCGACCTCCCCGCAGGTGCGGTCTTCGCCAAGATCACCACGGCTACACCCGGAAAGAAAGCCTACACGAGCGTGCAAACAGGCCGCGACACCCATATCGAACTCAACTCCGACCTAGTCTTCTGCAACCACTCATGCGCCCCGTCCTTGGTCTTCGACATGGCTCGCATGGAGGTGCGGGCCGTGGACAATCGCCCTTTGAAGGTCGGTGATGCGCTCACCTTCTTCTACCCCAGCACCGAGTGGGAGATGGACCAGGCATTCCAGTGCAACTGCGGGGCAGGCGACCAGGTCTGCAGAGGCTGGATTTCTGGGGCCAAAACCATGTCCGCCGACGAATTGGAGGGCTACTGGCTCAATGGCCACATCTCGGAATTATTGAGCGAGCGCAAGTGAGAACAAGTTTGGGGCTGGCACCCCAAGCAGTGGATTAGAACACGGGTTCAGAGCCCAAAAGGAAGCGTGGATGATATCTTATAAAGAATAGATTCTAGCGTTAAAGCGAATTGACTATCTAATCCAAGAAACTATAACTGCAATATACGCGCGCCATACTAGTAAACATTCATGAAACCCTCAATTGCCAACCGCCCCCGCAATCACTGCAAATTGAGCCATCCTGCGTCGATCAATCTCCTTCTTCAGCATCATTAGACAAGTCGCAACGATGATCGTCTCGTCAATTTCAAGGGCCTGTGCTACAGCTTCATTGATCTGCAATTCACCCCCATTGCCCGCAGTACACCGCGATGTGCCCGGTGTCCGAGTATCCTGACCGCGAACCAGCTGCGCAATCCTGCGATCCTTGCGATCTTTGCTCTTTTCTCCGGCTTCATCCGCTGCGCGGAAAATAATCAAATTGATTTTCTGTCCATCTGCTCGTTTCTCCTTGGCATATCCCCATTCAAACTGTTTACCTGTAGGCATAGCGAAGCGCATCGTCCGCGAAGTCCATTTACCGGCAACAGTCACTTCCTCGGGCGGATTACTAGACGTCTGAAGTAGGTGCATCACAGGATCACGGCTCGGACCGAAGAAGTATTCAGTTCGGATAAGGCTTCCGCGCTTCGGGTGAGACAAAACTGCATTGCCTGAGCAGCGTTTGTCGCGTTTGGAAACATAGGCCTCGGTGCCATCCGGATTATAGACAAAAATTTCTGTCTGCCGAGGTGGTAGTGGGAGACGAAAGGCGCCGATCCCTTGAGCATTGACGGTCAAGATTCGCGACGGGCAAAATGAGCTTGGACTATCGATAAGCGTGCATGAAGTACTGGTGGACCTCACAGACAGGGCTGAAGAGTGGATCTCCTTGTCCTTAGCCTGAAGAAATGTAGTTGTAGTAGTCATTCTCAAGTATGTTATGTCTGAAGGACCTTTCCATGTAGCTTCTTGGGCATCTATATATTGTCTCCTTTCGATACGAGAGTTGCCTATTTGGGTAAACCGTTTAAGCGTGATCCGTGGTTCAAACGAACTCTATAACGCTGCTTGGCGCTCGTATTTCCACGGCTCAGCCTCGGTACAATGACATCACCCAGCTATCTACATCCTCGTATCTACCTACTCCGTACAACAATGGCCAATATTTTCTCGTTTGATCGAATCTCAATACATCCTCGAGTGGTCAAGGCAAACCATCTTGTATGGCCTACCACGTCAGCCCACACCAGTCATGGGGACATTTGATATGTCCCTCGTTATGATGAATCTGACCAGAGGCAAACGCTCGCTGGTAAACCTTCATGGAAGATTCTAATCTTAGATCCCATGCCTTTTCTTTGTTTTGTTTTGTTTTGTTTTGCAATGCCGCCGATCATGTGTGAATTTCCTTGAGCCTCGCTCGCATTGCCCCATCGTGTCAGTACATGCTCCGTGTCTATGGAGTAGGTACTTAAGAACAGAACCGCAAAAGGGATCCCGCGTGGCCCATCGGGTCACCAAATCTATTGATAAAAATTCTAAGTCTTGAGGAAAGGGACTTGCAAGTTGCAACCCCGCTGATCAAGTAGCACTGCGCTGGGTTAACGAAATCTAACCGAATCCTCACCCTTTACTTTGGCACTCCCAGGCCCCTACGGAAAGGCGCCCGACCAACAAACATGTTAGATTGCCTTGTCGGAAGACACGACAATATGCATCTGAGATTGTGTCTAGGTACTTTGTACTTCGTACACCGGCTTCGATTTCTAATCTGTCGGGGTTGATGTTCTTCCTGATATGGTATCAGGTAGGCACATATCCCGGACAATTAAGGTCCACTCCTGTCGCCCTGACGCATGTGATTGGTGGAAGAGTGCATTCGGCTAAGACCGGCACACAACAAATCTGCTCTGTCTGATAATGCCATCCGAGGCAGTCTCTTCCATCAAATTGGGCTTGTGGTTTAGTGGTATAATACTCCCTTAGCATGGGAGTGGTCCGGGGTTCGATTCCCCGCGAGTCCATTCTTTTTTGTTTTTGCTTTTGCTGTATCATGAGTCGTCAATTGACTACTCCGTACATAAAATTTTGTTTGAGGCGGGCTTACAGCGCGTTTGAAAATGGTTGAGTACATAAGTAGTATAGGCTGGTCATGATTTAGGTACCTAAATAAGTCTCTGAGATCCATGGATATAAATCTAAAAACCCCTCTCTATTGACATCAACGAGACCATTTCGACTTTTCAATCACACTTGAGCCCAGATATCTTGGGCAGTGAGCAATGTGCTCAACACCATGGTCGATCCAATGACCACGTCCCCGGTGGGCATCCATCCCAGATGCTGCAATGGAATAAGCAAATCACAGCCATCAACTACGACCCGCTTAAGCTGAGAGGCAGTGACAGCCTTGGCCGGGGTAGACTTCTCCGATACAGCCTTCTGGTTCTTTCTCTTGCCGGTCTTCTTCGGCTGTTCGGTTGGGCGGGAAAGCAGAGCCCAGATGCCTCCGGCAATCGAAAAAGAAAGCGCATAGAACCAGAAAGTATTAGCCTGTTCCATGATCCGGTCATTCCAGGGTACTGCATGGACGCCCATTGCCTGAAGCTATTTTATCTTTGTAAGTGCCGGTCGTCAAGGAAGGCCATAAGCAACATACCATAGTTAGGTCCTCGAGGAAAATATAGAGGCCAAAGCAAGTACATTTCGCGAGTTCAAGGAGCCCAGCCACAGAACTGAAGCCATCTTTGCCCAACAATGCAGCCATGCGGCGAAAGAAGTCAATGAAACCAAAGAAGCGGAAGTATCTCCGCGCTGCACAGCAGATCCAATACATATCAGTCTATATTACAATCGAGTGGGGCGGATATCCATGAATCAGACATGGCCTCCAACTTACTCAATGCCAATTGCAGTTTAACCGTTGTCAATTGCACTGCCAGAACGCTGCTCACGGTGAGTGCCGCGACAACCTGTGACACGCATTGGATCAGACGAAGCGTCTTCTCGAGGCCAGCCCCCGATTTAACAAAGCTAGAGAATTTTTGGATCATCGCCGCGGCTCTGCTATAATCTCTGGGGTTTATACGCTCGGAATGGATAGGGGGTTGAGATTTGTGTGTCGAAGGCTTGGAAGTGGGCTCATCGCACCTCCAGGCTGCACGGGCTGGCAGCTAGCAGTTTTGCTTAATCAGCTTCTGCATGTAAGTTCGAGGACTGATTAATATGACTTGAGTTTAATGTGCGTGAATATCGATTATCGTCCAAAGTCCGCTTAAAAATATTGCGGGTGAAATTGAAATTATTTGGTTGCTGGGTGTTGGTTGCCGGGTGCTGGAACTATATATAATGCGACATACGCAACCACAAACGCTAGCAGAAAAGGCTTTGTTCTCGAACCCAATAGGAATGATTCAATTGAAACGCAAAATTGACAATGCTTGCAAAAGAAAAAGGATATATGAGTCAATCGGTTATTTATCATGAGCAGGTTCGTCAAAGCACCCGCTCGACAATATTTCCAAGTTTGCTTGCTCTATCGCCCTTTGCCGCCAGAAATATCCTGACCCAGACGATATCCACCGACCTTCTCCCACTCCACCTTCTGTCGTGTAATGGGAAGTTGTCTGCGCAAACCCTTGAACACGCCTTCGGACGTTTGAACAAAGGCCCGGTTTAGCGCCTCCTGATAATCGCGCTCCGCCGCAGCGATTCGCGAGACAATTGATTCGGCCGACACAGAGGGGATGTTGATGTTGATGGGCTTAGTAGTGTTGAGTGCCACGTTGCCATCTTCGTAGTAGTGCACATCAACGTGAATGTTACCGGTCAGGGTAGAGGACGAGGAGGAGACGGGAAGTTGGTAAATTGCGCGGAAACGACCGTTCCTGTGCGATAGAGCGGACAAACATCCCCGAATGGGGAAGCGTCCATAATGATAAGTTCCCACCCAAAGTATTATTGACAGAGATTGTAACTACTTACCAGAAGTTGTTGGGAGAGTATCGGTTGGCGACCAAGATAATGGCGACGGCGGAGTCATTCTCAATGGGGTAGACACCATACGAGCAGTTGGGATAGTGTTCACGGGCGTGAGCACCGAACGACTTGAGGAGCGATTTGCTAATATGGTAAGCGGGATATCACGAAAAGTCCATTGGTCGTCGTTTCTTACATCAAATCCGCATTCTCCGATTCCAGAGGGTATGATTGTGCTGCAGAGGCAGTCTATTGTCGTATACGTGGTTAGCATTACTGTATTGTTCCACCCGGTCAGACCAGACATACCTGTGTAATGTGATCGACCTCGAACGAGGTTTGGCTTTCTGGATCGAAGTATCGGTTGTCGTCTAGCTGGTTAAATTCGCTAACGATGACCTTTCCAGTCAAAGCATCAGCTTCACCGCAGAGACAGATTACTTCCGGACGAAACCCACCTCCTGGCTTGATCCCGGCAATTTCACTGTGGCGAGCTGCGTCTCGTTGTATCTTTTGAATGCGGGAAGAAGAGATGGAATGATATCTTCACCCTCGGACGTCAAGGCTTGTACATCTAAGCAAATGGCAGGGATCAGCAACACCGTTCGTATAAGGATCAGGACTGCGAGAATCGAGGGGAGTGTAGGATCCAAAGAGCGATTTACCGGCGACAACATCAGCGAGCTGAATCAAAACATGTTAGCGATGTTTATTCAAGCTTCCGGCGGATGAGGACTAGGAAGCGGGGGTTCCTGGATCAGTGTTGACGTGCGTACCTCTCCGGGCGGGGCACCCTCGATGAAGGAGGATGCCAGTTCAACGGTGGAAGCCATGGCGTAAGAAAATATTATCGACGTTTGCAATATCAAGCAAGAGCTTCGAGTTTCAATTGAAGTCACTGAGAAGCACTGTGGTCAGAAGTGGTGATTGGAGTCTGCGGAGAGAAACCGAGCTCTCGGAGGCGGAGAGTGATAAGCACGTGGCCTCCACGACTATACAGCCATGCCATTACGCTATAGGGATTTAAGACCTTCAAGGGATGTGAATGTTTACGAACGCAAATTTAATAAGCAATGAATCATGTCCATCCGTGTACTATTAATTGAGGTATCTGAAAATCGCTAGAATAACGAGGGTGTGTATCTTAAACATTCGTATCCCCCTCCAAACACCATGGCCTGAAACCCGAAAACAAACGACCAATATGCTCGTGGACCAAATAGTCCGAAGAATAACAAATTATGAATCGCGAACCTAAAGCTCCTTTCAATCAATGCTCATATTCATAAAGCCATCACTAGCTTCGGTCATCCCCTGTAGACCGACACGTTTCATACCTCCAGCATGAGGGGTTGTTCGGCTGACGGATTCCGCACTGAGTCGCTCAGAGAAAGGTGCACCAAGCCCCGGCTTTGGTGGTGGACCCCAGATGTTTGGGCCCATGTCATTGACATTGTTGGAGTGGGTCATCACCGGGCTACTCTGAGCACTTACACTGGGCGAAACAGCCCGGCGCTTGAAAAGATTAGGATCAAAGTCATCGTCACGACGCCTCTTGCGACAAATCTCCCCGATGCTTGGCATAACAGGCGCATGGGGGGTAGAGGAGCGGGAACGTGGCTTGAATGAGTCTGCCGTGATAGAACCAATGGTTGTAGATGGAGTCATATCCATGCACATCTCGTCATCTGCCACAGATGAGGGGCCACCCTGACGAGCCGGGGGTGGAGTTCGATATCGTCCATCGAACGAGTTCCAAAACTCCGCGCCAGAATTGCGACTGGCTTGCTTGCCAAAAGTGTCCGAAGATGATGCATCTATCTCCGTCTTGATAGCTGGTTCATCGGCCTGGGCCAAATCAAAGGAAGAGGGCTGCAATGATGTGAACTCGCCTAGTGCAGGAGTTGGTTCAGGCTCGGTGTCACGGACCTGCCGGACGACTTCTGCCTCTCGTTTCATGTCACTATCAACTGGAGCACCTTCCTCCATCAAAGCGGCGCGAATACGTGCGAAAGTTTTGGTTTTGGGCTGCCATAGAAGTTAGCTTGCGCATCTTTGAAGCAAAAGTGCAGCGACTTACGAGTAAGCTACTTCGTCGAGTCACGGCACGACGGATTACTCCTAGAGGCCCACCACCTTCCGAATGTGGTGTGAAAACTGGGCTTCCACTCCGCGTCACGCGATTTTCACTATCGTCACTCATATCGGACAAACGGAGGTCGCGGGTACCGAAGCTGAGACTCTCTCTTCGGGAATGCACAGTATTTCGTGGGGCAAAATAGCCTCCTGTGGAGTTCTCAACACTCTTCAATATGGGTGGAGAGTGGGGGGTAGGGCTAGGCTTCGAACTGTTTCCGCTGGCACTGCTGGAGCTGTGGCGGCTACGGCCTTTTCGAAAGCGCGCACGTTGGAAGCTCATCAAACTGGCAGCGGCTTGTGAATATCCACCCATCCATTCGTTGCCTGGGCTCTGGATATTACTAGCGAACGGACTCGGTGCGCTGATGCGCGTTGCCTGCGGTGTGTTGATCATGATGTCGTCGCGGTCCCCCATCGACTCATCTTCCTCGCTACTGCTCGTGTCTGACTCCATCATATTTACACTCGACATAGAGCTTGATATCGTGGTACGGTCTACCGGGCCTGATGTTGAGTAAGGTAGGATGGATGTCGCTCCGATTGATCCGCGTCGTGGAGGAATTGGCATGCCCCGCCCTCCAACGATGGGCGATGAATCCGGCGACGATTCGGCGAGCGTAGAATGGTGAAGATTTGTACATGCGCGTGAGAAGTCGAGGCCCCGAGATCGTCGTGGAAGTACAGATCCCGGTGATCCGTAGGTATGTGATGGGTCGAGTTTGGGAGAGAGAGGGGCGCGGTTCGTAAGTGAGGGTGACACGGCGGCGGGTTTGGTAGGCAAGTTTAGTGAGAAATTTGAATGAGGTACACTTGATCGTCTAGGAGTAGCGGGAAGAGAGGGGATCGCATTATCGTCTTTGCTCTGTGGACGACTGAGGTCACCGGTAGATGGTTGGGTGGAGGATGTCGGCCTGGACGCATCAGACAATGATCGCGATTTTGGGGAGCGCGACGGTTCAAGTTGATTTTCCGAATCAGATTGAGGTTGGGCTAACTGTTGGCTAAGCTTGCTTTCAAACCCATGGACCGATGCGCTGCGCCCCGGCGCTGATGGTCGCACCTGCGCCATATTCAAGTTAATTTGATCTGATTTGGCGATATAGAGCAAGGGCGCGTGGCGAAGGGCATCATCCACCTGCACCAAGGCTGGAAGATGGAATCAACACCACAATTGATGCTCAAAGAGCACATGCGACGTGCTTTATAGTCAAATATACACAGTATCCGGATCGATGCGAGGTCTACATTACACTGCAGGTCGCTGGCTCTGGGCGGTTAACGAGATCAGATGACCCACGCTAACCCGATCCGGCCACACCCCTCTGTATAAATCCTTCCTCCAGTGGGCAACAGAGAATGCCGGTAGAAATTCTATACAAGTATATATCCAATGTTGGAAGGGATTTACAATCAGTTGGAGAGTCTTTATTTGAACGGACGTTCAATGTTTGCCTTTTAATGTACAAGATTGGCCATATCCTCGCCGCCTCACGCTAGACTCATAGCATTGCTAATCGGCACTACATGCCATTCCCAATCATTGCAATCCGTCTGTAGCAAGGCTACTTTGTGAAGATCCAGATCGCGTCTCTGCCATAACTTGGTGATCACGGCACGTGTTCTGGCAATGTTCGAGATCGTTGAATCTGCCATCATGGCCAGAGAGCGTAGCACAATCGCTCGTCCGGATCCTGACTCCGATTGAGATTCCGGGAAGAGCTCATCATCAGAAGGATCAAGTTCAACGGCTGCCACAAAGACTGGCCATGTGACATTGACCGGCAATTCACGCTGAAGCAGGTCTGATATGTGTTGCAAAATTTGGCGCACATATCTTTTCACCAAAGGTGTGGTAGGGCCAGCTCCATACAGAGCACAATGTAGGTAAAGTACTGCAGCCAGCCGTTTAGTATCTGCGACCAGTGCGAGTATTTCGTCGTCGCCCTCTCCCACTTCTTGTACTAAGTCTTCAAGCTGGCGTTCAAGGGAGGCTGCACGCAGTGAAAATGATGCCTTGTCCGCATCGGATGTATTTTGTCGCCTTGTTCGACTCATATCTGTGATTTTAGCCAAAATCGACACCAACTCAGGACTGCACCCCATCCAAAGATCAATATTTCGCTCATCCGGTTTCCAGTAGTCAGTACCAAACAAGACCTCTTTCGCACAAGCAGTTCGACCCATGACATCTTGGAAGGCGAAGAATTGCTCTGCAAAACTCGTTACAGGATCTGACGGGGCTTTTGGCCGCGCCAATGTGATTTGCTGTTTCCGTCGAAGTCGAATTAAATCATTGGCACCTTTGAGATGGATTGTCCATTGCTGATCGCACTTATCCACTATCTCATATAAACATAGCATGATCATAATAACCAGTACTTCTGGGTCCATGGAGCAAGTCAGATTTCCCTCTGACGACAAGCGTTGACGGAGGTCCCTCAAAGCCTCTGATTTATAACGTAGGCCGAGGGCACTATAGTTTGGATTAAGCCGTGACCAGTGACACGCCCCTAAAGCTTGTATAGCCTTAAAAAGTGTAGGAGAAGCGGTTAGGCAGAATGGCAGAATCACAGAGGCAAACGGCGATGCCAATGTAGAGCTGGCGGTTGTGCGAGGGCAGACTTGCTGGAGGTAGTAATCAAATAGTTCTCCATGTCCAGATTGAGATAGCTCTGGAAACAGTGCAAGCGACGGCGGAAGGCTTGAGTTGGAATTTGTGGTCAGCCATGTGAGATGTGGAAAGTGTTGCAACCAGGACCATAGTTGGTCATTTTTTGAAGACGATGCGTTTTGGGCAACAGGGATTAGTGCATTGAGCTCATCGAAGTCAACAGTCACTTCATCCGGGCGTTCGAATGTCGCAATACCACTGTTTATGAAGCCCCATAAGCTAACATTTGATCCTGGACACCACTCGTACTTTTCCGCAGAAAGTGAAGCGGGCGTAGGCTGGTTTGCGTCGCCAGATTTGCGCCATACACCTGCGCGACCAAAAGCTATTCCACGACTGACAAATTCTGATTCCCATTTCAGGACTAGATTCTTCGTGCATGGCAGTCCTTTCTCGCTGCAGCGCGTGCAGATCGGCTTTTGGGTGTCACATCGGACGCGACTGGCTCGGCATTCTTTGCAGCCATCGCGGGATCGGGTCTTGACCGGACCCGAACGGTCGGCAGCTTTCCTTCGTGGCATCCGGTTTATATTATATTCAACTTCACATGGTCTGATGAATTAACCCTGTTAGGGCGATAGGAGAGCGCAGTTGACAAAAAAGAGTCGAGGTCCACAAGGTGGCGGATAAAAGGTAGCCACCCCACAAGGCCCGGAAACGACTTTTATACTCGATTCACTCGATTCACTCGATTTGATTGACATGAGCACATGGGGATATTCTACTAAGGCTCGCTTTGATAATGCATGCTTAGTGCTTGCTATCACAGTTTTCTTTACGAGAGGTGACATAGATGCGCTGACTCCCCTAACAAGAATCGAATTTTGTTTCTTTTGTTTTATTGATACATACTGTGTTTAAGCATCCTGCTTCTTTTTCCATTCTGCTGCACATTCTCCAAAGGTAATGAATTCCACCTCATCGCCCTGCTGCTTGAGCCAAGAGATCATCCGGTCGATCATCCCGACGACATGGGCCATTCCGCTGGTATCGGGGTGCAGGATCAAGGGGAACACAAAGCCTTGCTCGGCATCTTCCTCGAGTGCCTTTTCGAGAGCTTCACTATAGAGAAATTCAAATCGCGACTTCCAATTCTGCTCAATGGTGATCGGACTCACGAACCCATGCGAGTTCTCTGCTGCCGGGAGGAATTGCATCGGCGTCATATCCTCCATATACCAATTGCAGGGAATCTCGACCAGAGTCTGGGGAGTTCTAGGTGCTGGGGTGGGGAGAGGCTTCATCCAAGTAGAAGCAGACTTGGTAGGAGAGAAGTCAATGGGCTTGGGTTCTGACATCCGAGGGACAAAATACAGCGCAGAGTCATGATGCGTGAGAGATGAATCTGGATAGGATTTGAGTAGTCTGGTTGTTATAAAAGGATAAGTGAAGCTTACCATATAAGAACCCGAATTCTTCCAGAACCTGTATGGTGTGCGTTCGCAGTTGATATAACGGCGCTCTCCACCCTCGAGGTTTCTTCCCCGTCAACTCGGTCGCCAGTTGCACACATTTGGTGATGACTTCTCGCTCCTGTGATTCGGTCATTTGGCTCGATCCCTCGTGGGCATATCCATGGCAGCCAATTTCGGCGCCCGATTGGACAATCGCTTTTGTTTCTTCTGGGAAGGACTCCATGGAATGACCGGGCACAAACCAGGTCACCGACGAACTAATTCCATGTTTTTTGAAGAGACGCAGTAAGCGTGGGACTCCCACTTGAGCAGCGAAAAAGCCACTGCTGTAGTCCGCCAAATTGGTTGTGGCCGACGCCCCGGTGCCTAGAAAGCCGGAGACAGCATCGAAATCCACGGAGAGAAGGACTTGGACTCTAGGCTTGCGCTGGGCAGGGAGTAAACTTGGATCTGACATTGTGAATCACAATAAAAGCTATTCCGAGGGCTTATAACACAGAAGAAAGAGTCCGAAAGGGAAAATGAAAGCCAACCCGATGGTGGATCCACCCCCGCCATCCTTCATCTGCGTCTTTGTGTTCTTCTCTTCCACCTCTGAATCATCGCACTATATTAATGACCCCGAGAACAACATGCCGCCGACTCAGCTTCATCAACCAGGGTACTCTGGTTATTTTTTTGAGTGGACACGGCAACATCTAAACTGGGGTTTCCTGTAAAGAAGTTGACGGGTTTCAGACCAACCACCATCTTCTCAGAGGGCATCACTGGCCAGTCCTCAATTCTCGGGTTATGGGTCGAGCCAAATGTATGCCAAACAACAATGTCCTCATTCCGCACCGCTGTCTCGGCATCAGGGTCGTTTTTCCGTCGAGAAATCGACGAGTGGATTCCTTCGCCGCCAAGAGACTGCATAGTATGCCTCCCGGCTGGGAAAAGCTCATCATCGCGGTACCGAGTTACCCAGACTGCATGTTTCGTATATTCAGATCGCTTTGCATGGAACGATTCGGGATGGGCTAGCAGCATTTGACTATAGCATGGGAGAAGCTTGAATCCAACCGGCGTACCGGTAATTGGATTGACTTTCGCCTCGTTGATGATCTTGAATGTACGATTCTGATTGAAATCCAGATCCAGTCCCCCTTCCTCAGTCACAATATTTGAATGTGTTTTGTATCCAACTCCGAAAGGATTTTGAACCGATGGATCATTGAAGGGCAAAGGATGAGATTCTTCAACCTGCAATGAGTTTGCAACTCCATCAATTGCAGGATCAATACGAAGGGAGAATAGGTGCTGGTGGTATGGCGCAAGGACACCGGGGGCAACAATAGTGCCATAACCGACTTTGTCACCAATGTTGATGGGGGTAGTTGACAAGATTCCAGTGGCTCGAACCTCGTAATGAATCGAAGCATCCTGGCCAAAGTGGAAAGCAAAGATGTACTCATAGTTGCTGACCGTGATGATCGTTTGCAAAACTAGGATGCGTGACCTGACTACCGCGGCATTGCCTGTACGGAAGTTTGTGTGCTTCCATAGAATCCCATCGTCTTGTTCATGGCAACAGACGACATTGGGCAATTTCAGTGGCTCACCGGACGAAGTGTTGTGCCATCCGTCGAAATATTTGATCGTTCCAAGACAGTCACATCCAAGAGATAAGTTGTTGGCGTTTATCCCAGCACCATCGTTCCCGAGATCAAATGCTGCTTTACGTGGGAAAGGAGCCCGAGGATCACCATACGGCACAAACATCTCTGACAAAGACAGACGATAGAAGAGACTGCGACTATCGTAACGGATATCATGCAAGGTGAGACCCTCACGATAGTTGAATCCCACGCGCATCGTCCATTTCTCCCAAGTCAACTGATTTCCGTGTGTCTCGAAGGACACACCTTCCGGTTGAACGACCTGGTAGGGCTTGGTGGTTGTGCGTGGCGGTGGCCTTAAACTGGGATGATATTCACTCATGGCAGTAGAATGAATCTTACAGGAGTCGTAGGGGTGTGCTTCCTCACGAACACTCTCACTCTCAGAGGAAGGTAAATGATAGACCTTGGTAACCTGGAGTTGCTCCGAGACCTCTGCACACAAGTCAAGCGGGTAGGCATAGTAGTTGGCGTCAGGATTATCCAAGAGTCGCATATAGAACCAACACTATGCATCGATGTTAGTTGGGGTTGGAGTTGTTGAGATCTTCAGACCATTGAGTGTATTACTGACCATGCTAGTCCGCTCCGACATGTCGTTCATACCGTCGGTGGCATAAGCCCATGGTTCAACAACGACCGAGGCACCTTGAGGTAGACGCAATTTCTTGACCTCTAGTTGCACCCTCTCATCTGCCATACACGCATCTTCAACCGCTTTCATATAAGCCGAGTCGATGAATGAGTGCTTTCCCACCAGGATCTCACGTTGGGTGACAACGCCGCGGTCGAGATCTACCAGCAGCTCAGTGAGTTCATTTGGGCCAGAGTCGCCGCAAACGATCACTTGGACATAAGCGATACGAACCGGTCGGGAAAGCTGGGGTTGCCCAAGATGTTCTGTGTCCAAAAAGGCTATCATCTCGCGCTTAGGTGGTTCTTTCAAGGTGATGACGCGAAAGTTGAGGCATTTTCCCTGAAGTAGCTCTCGTACTACTTCTGCTGCCTACAAGCTGGTCAGTTAAATATTCAAACTTTCTAGAAGAGTTCCTTCGGTATGTTGTATACCCACCTTGGTGATTTCCGAGGGACTAAGAGGGTCAAAGGGGTGCGTAGCGGACATGATGGACGCAGCAGGTAATTGGAGAAGAAGAAAATAATTTCGTTCTCACCTGCATAGAGAATATATACAAGGACACACGTAAAAGGTCCACGATGCATTCCTTCGAAGATATAAGTATAACCGACCACCTTGGCTGGTATATCGCTAAGGTAAAGAATAGCCGGACCACCGCTTATCTTCGACTCCAAAGGCTAGAGCCAGTGGACATGCTATTATAGTGGGATTCTCTGCACTTGTGGATATGGAGGACGTACGATCGGTTCGAAGGAATATATTAAATGCTGAGGCTCATTGGTCTAGATCATATCTTCGCAGTGACATAGGGAATTGGCAGTTGACAGGCAAAAAAGAAGTAGAAAATAATTGAAAAGACCGCTGAACAAAGACATTGAAAATAGATAGTTACTGATAGGGCCTAGGATCCAGCATCTTACATAGTAGGTAGCAGATCATCATGAACTCCCTATGGACAACATAGCGAGCGGTACTCCATGAGGCAGATCCCGTACCCCGCCATTCCTCTCCCAACCCATTCAACTGGCCATGGCTTCCACTCGCACCGTTCTTACATACCAGCATGATGCGAGTCTGCACACTCTGGAAACCATCATAACGGCTGTATCCCCCTTCAATGCGGAAGAAACCCACCAACTTTTCAAAGATGCCACCGAGAAACACCATGTCATTATCACCGAGAAGACCATCTTTCACCCTCAAGGCGGTGGCCAGCCCTCTGATACGGGTCTCTTGAAAGGTCCATCAAGTAGTTTCGCAGTAACAGCTGTTCGCATGGATCCCAATGGGCGAGTACTGCATCTCGGTGTCTTCGAGGACTCGGCGTCCATTTTCAAAGAGGGCGACACCGTCCAACAGACAATCGACGCGGAGAAGCGTCTCCTCTATTCTCGTTTGCATACTGCAGGCCATGTGCTAGGGTCTGCAGTCCGACATTTATTGGAAAAAGAAATTGAGGATTTCGATGAACTGAAAGCCTCGCATTTTCCTGACTCGGCAGCCTGTGAGTTCCGGGGCTCAATTGAAGGCAAATGGAAGGACTCCATCCAACACAAGCTGGATGGGTATATCGCTGCCAAGATGCCGGTTCAAATCGAGTGGTGGGATGAAGAGGATTTCCGCTCGCGGGGCCTGGAGCGATTGATCCCTGATCGCAGTTTGGTGCCCGCGGGGGAGAAGTCTCGTGTGGTCAATATCGTCGGCGCGGAAGTGTATCCCTGTGGAGGCACGCATGTAGATACGACAGATATATGTGGGCCGGTGACGGTGAAGAAGATTTCAAGAAAGCAAGGAAACTCACGAGTCAGCTATGTGGTCAAATGAGCTTGGCTCATTTAATGCTGTTCGAGTATTCGGATGACCCTTTTAGACTCATATAGAAGACCCCCAATAAAATCCCAACGCCATTTGGCTTAGATCTCAGCCTGAGTTGAGCTTCTACCTCGATAATGTGATATGAATTCTACGTGCGAGAGCAAGAACCCGACAAGGATCCCACGGCCAAAAGGTCTTTAATAATGGCAAGTAAGTGTACAAGGTAGGAACATGATCTGATGACTATAAGCAGATCCTAGGTTCTGGATGCCTCTATGTCTTGGAGCTGATAGCTTTCCTCCAACGAAGGACCAGCCCGTGAATTGAAAGGGCTCACGAGAGCCTCTTCGTCATTCAACTTAGCAAAGCCGTCCGGTCCAGCAAGATCGGCTTTATCATAGGGAACATCACATAGGACCGACCGCAGTGGTGGGTAGTAGCGGCGATACGAGAACCAGGCTATCAGCATGCCCAAAAGCCCGCCGCACGTCACATCATATACATCATGTCGATAATCAGCCAAACGAGAAATGGCGACCATCAAAGCACACAGCAATGGGAAGAATGCGAGTAAACAGCGCCCAAGATCGGTGCGAGGTCGGAAGACGTGCATTTGACCACACAAGAAGCTGTAGGGTTGCTGTTGTTAGATCTCATGTGACAAATGTTTGTATTTGAAGAACCACGTACAGATATAGATAGCCCAGGCCACCAAATGAGAAGCTGCTATGCCCGCTGGGGAAACTTCGCCAGCCCTCTTGTAAAATGTGCTGGTTGGATTCTGTACAGACAGTCCATGCGACCAACACATTGTTTGATGTCCCCCGGGAAGGTTTGCAGCGCGACAAAAGATCAGGACGTGGTCTTCCCACCGCATTCTTAATTATATCCGTCAAGAACGAGGTCAACATCAAAGCCACAAACAGGCCGAGTACTGTCACTTGTGTCTTTTGCACCCCGGCCCGAAACATTGCGGACCAAGCGAGGATAATGAGGAAAGGAATCAAGCCAGCGAATACGATGGACCATACTATAATTTCCCATCAGAACCAGAGGATCCAGACTATGCTGTTAGTAATTGACTTACAAACAGGAACTCGTTCGTGGACAGCGAATGGGTATTGAATAGCTCTGTTATCTAGCGAGAACATGCGATGGAATGGGTTCACAAATAATTGGATCTATTAGATTGTCAAAAAGTGGTCACATCCAGCTCTTATTGCGTTCACGACCTACCAGTACCCATCCTGCCACTAGAAACCCCAATGCAATGTAGTCGGCGGCATAGGAACGTTGCGCAAAGCGCGCTGCAGCGCCTGCAAGTCCAACGCGTTGTAGAATTGGAGTTGGCCCGTTCCCCAAACCGGTGTTCGGCATCTTGCGCAAATGCCAAAGACTTTGTCTTCAGCTGAGCATGTCGTAAATTGCGGAGGTGAAGTTGGCATTCGACATTGCGGAAGCACAGACCACGTCACCGCCCGACCTCTTCCTCCGGTCTTTCGCAGACAACGACAGTGACACACTTGACTTTGTTCTTACATTTCCAACTTCCTTCGCCGTTGAGCCGATAGTCATGGCTGAAGAGGGCCAACAGCGACCCGTGAACACGGCATTTGCGCCACCGCCGCCCTTATGGAAACACTTTACGCGCGAGAATATCGACAAGCTGGACGAGATCAAAGCCGAAGCTTCCAAGGGTGAAGACGGGCGGCCGAATAAGAAAAAGCAGTGGACATCAGCAGAATTGCGCGCTCTAGAGCTACCTTCAGAGCTCCGATACCTCGTGCCGCCTAACATCCCTGACGGGCAATACAGTGTCTTTGGCGAATTGCAAACCGTTCGTTTCCCGATTCCAGAGTCCTGCACCCAATAATGCTAACTCTAGATCAGCTATCTACTGCACTACCCTCACTACAGGAACAAGGAATTGAACAGCTCTACCCAGAACCCTCTACAGCCGACGATTCTTCGCAGCCCTCCCCTCCCCTCAACCACGCATACTACCTTCTCAAAATCAGCAAATCTCTGCTGCTCAACTTCCTGGAATTTGTCGGTGTCTTATCCGTATCACCTGAGCAATTTGAATCTAAAGTCGAGGATCTGCGCAACTTGTTCATCAACGCCCATCATCTTCTCAACCTCTACCGTCCCCACCAAGCCCGCGAATCACTCATCATGATGATGGAAGAACAGCTCAAACACAGCCGAGAGGAAATGAACCAAATGGATAAAGTCAAAGCGGAAGTGGAAAGCGTCCTAGAGCAATTACAACTAGAGGGTACTCGTGCGGACGCAGCTAGGTTAGAGCAGGATACCGACCACGCCAAAGCGCTGAGAGAAAAGGCCGATGAGCACTCTCGACTGATTTGGGATCTATTGGATAAGGAAAACTGAAGCGAAAACGGGTCGCTTTTTGAAATTTGAATAAAACCATCCTCCCAAGTCGAATGGCTGGATTTTGCTTGGCTATGTGTTCAAGCGTGGCTCTATCGTGAAGATCAACTTCTACTTGCACGGCTCGGCGCAGCAGAACTGCAAACGGAGAAATCGCTGTCATTCAATAAATTGCCGCGCAGAGTCACGATTCCCAAGCGTCTCAGGGCCTTGGAAGCTCACCTGGCTTTGGATTGGCCCATAACACAATGCTCGAATGTGTCTGAAAAAGGGCTTGAACTGCCTAGATATTTTCGGGCATCCGATCTTTTGCCAACCCGGCTATTACCAATGGGCCTTCATAATAGACCACCCCGACTATCTGAGCTCGAATGCCTCAGTCCCATGAAATTCACTCGGGCAGCCAACAACATGCCGGGTTGCCATAGATCTGTCAGGGAACTATGCATGCAATCCGAATCTGCATCACTATGTATACTATGTATACTATGGAATATAGTTCGATATAGTTCTATCGAACATTGCGCTCATCTCTACCCGAATGCAATACATTCAGATGACCGAGCGTCTTTATTTCTATCGAATTACATATTTCTATTAATCCTAAGTATCGTAATCCATGAGACTCCCCACGCTAAAATGCAGCCAGTGACATCAACCCACAGAATGGGGAAAGCGATGTGTAAATCAATAAGAGGCAGCGCGCTGCTCCGCCCACGCCTTGTCAATAGCACATTCAGCCAATCGCTTCAATTCTCCGATGAAATCAGCAACAATTTTGAAATGCACAAGCTCATTAGCAGGCAATTTTCGTTTGAAGATACGCTCAATCATAACAGTGGCGACATTCAATCGGCCCAAATCTTCGCGCGAGTGTGGGTCCAATGGGTTCTGGAGGATGCTGCAGAAGATTGTGAGTAGCGCAGACATTGGATAGAAGATGAGAGTCCTGGGATGAGGTAGCTTGATTAGCTTGAATTCCAAAGAGCATGGTGAGGATAACATACCAAAAGACCCCGTCGGCCACAACATGTTCTGCCGCCTCGAGGTAGCATAGACTTGATCGACTGGCTTCTACTGAGAGTGCCATGCTTGAACTCACTCCATCCATCATGCCGCTTTGCCCTTGGACCCACGCCTTGCACCGTGCACTCGCTTGGTGAATGATTGTCATGCATAGGTGATAATTTAGACGCAGCATGACGGAATGCATGCCCATGTTTGGATCGGACGTCTCGGATGAGAAAGACATAGTTGGGCGCCACTTTGGAGGGACTGAAAGCCGCCATTCTTCCAGGCTGTCATCGAGTTCTCGGATGGACTTGAGCAGCTCGGCATCTGATTTTTGGAGGCTGCTGACTGAGTATAATTCTCGGTGTACTCGGGTCTTGATGATACTGAGACGCAAGTCGAATGGAAATACTGGTCCATACCATGGGGCATCCTCATCCTCCACGTCTAAGAACGCCCGATCGAGATATCCCGCTGGAAGTGACAGATCACAATTTTCGTCCGTAATAGTAGGGGGTTGTCCGGTGCGCAGTGCGAGATCTTTATCAATTGTGTAGCAAATCCAAAATAAATTTCGTAGTTGTTGGTGTTGTTGGTGGTGCTGTTGTTGGCTGTGAGTGTCCGTTGAGACGGCTGGACTACTAGCAAGATTGCCACCAAGCATGAAAATGAGTCGGGCAGCAATCGCCGCATAGTAGTTAGTTGCCCGCATGTTTCCCGAAGATAGCTCGAACAGAGTCTAGTTGCTGGTCAGTCATCAATGGCACGCCCGAGTGAGTCACTCACCAGAATCGTCAAGGCCTGTGCTGCGTCTAGACTGGCAGGCTCTTGTAATACTTGCGGCATGAAAAATTGCGCCTTTGTGGCGAGTATATCATGGTCGATAGGTGGGATATTAGCTGTTGCCCTAGCAAGGTCATTGACCGGAGGGAGACGCGAAGCAAAGGTAAGAAAAGCAATGACGCAAACTCTGGCGCTAGCTTGGCCGTATTTGAACGAGGAGGATGGTTGACGGTAAGCCCTGTGGATAGTCTCCGCGAAAAGTTCTGGATCCATAATCGGAAAGATGCGCCGCATCACCTTGCACCTCTCAAAAGCCTTGAAGTACGCCTGCACGGTGTCCCAGTCAGGAAGCTCAAAGGAAGTCCGAGTGTTCATGTTCATCAAGAAAGTGTTATAAGTTTTCCCACGCTCTTTATCCCATGGTACTCGGGTCGGGCTGAGTTTATCAACTGCGACATGTTGTCCTGTACGAGCTTTGATCCATTCCTGTCCCTCGGGAAACAACGACGGCGTCCCAGTGATTAAACTAATGACACCCAGCTCTTTGCCAGCAAAGTGAACTCGTACTGACGATGGATCTGGGGCCTGATTGGTGCCCGGAGAGCTGCTGGCTGTCGTGGTAGCCTCAAGAGATTGAGGTGAGTCCCCAGGCACTGCTGCCAATTAGTTCAGGTTCGCTCTTGGATACACACATCTAAAGAAGCGCTTTACCAGAAAGTTGATCGCCTACGAGATTTCCCGCAAGAAGCTGCTCGATGCGACTGATTCGCTCTGACAGCCGTGAAACTTTGGGACGTCTAGTTCCAATGTCAGTTCGAAAATCTAAAACCAAGCTCGAGATATAGACTTACCCTCCATCATCCGGATTTTTTCTTTTCCTCTGCACGACCCGCTGGAATGTACATGGAATATTATGGTGACTACACCAATTACACTTTGGCAGCTCGGCATCACATTTGATCTGGACCAGTTGAGCGACAGATCAGGAGTTGATGACGTATGACTTGCCTTTCTTTTGTAACAGGAGTCACATGCACGAGCCGTCCGCTTTGGGGGCTGATCGGTTGAGGCATTGGATGGGGAATACATTGCAGGGCATTGCAATGACTCTGGCCATCGATGTAGAGAATTAAGCTCAAAGGCCTGGAGGAGGCAAAAAGGCCCGGGGCCGCTGACAAAGGTTCCGCTGACTCAGCCACGGGGAAGCTGGAGGTTCTCCCGATACAAGGTCTAGCCTCGTGCAGTCTACGTCCTAAGGGAACAAGGGACTGGTTAAAGCAGTCGAGATCAATAGATTCATCTTCCACGTGAAGAGTTCTATGTATCTTGAGGAGGATGAAGCTCCATTGCTGCGTCAAATCTCGTCTTATTGGGGAGTACCTATGCCATAGGCTCCCGACCGCCAGAAACCAGAACAGGAACCCCATTAAATGCCAGTCTCCCCAATGTACTGAGCCCTGATCCACAGGTGCTCGACAGATAATGCCCCCTATTTGGATCCCTCATCATGCCATTGAATCATCCTCGATCGGGAATCCCAAATATGAAGTTAGAGGGAGGATGCGGCGGACGGCTCGCAGCTCACATCACAGTGCATATACAACAATCGCATTCTTCGTCGCCACAGTCACAGCCAAAGCACGGCTTGGAGACTGATTTAATGGGTTTTTTGATAGAGCTGCCGGAGCTGCTAGAAGGAAGGGTGCAATCGAACGGGAGTGAGATGGAGGTGACGGCCATGGCGGAGGTAATGCCCGATTACCTGGGTAGATCTGGGAGAGATACGGTCAGATTCAAAAGATTCCCTTGAGAGTCGGAGTCTCAGATATAGCATACCTTCAGACAAGGAAAGAATTACAAAGATCTAGCGAAAGCAGCGGAGGTTGGGGGAATGAAGACTGGAGAAAGTGAGGACCGAACAGGCAGCCATATATCGAATGCACCAACTTGCAGAGCCCAGGGATTGAAAACCCAACGAGATGCACGAGACACAAGCCCAACATAAGCATTAGATCATTGCCTGAAACAAGAACGTTGGAATCTCGATGTTATACTCTGCATCTTGATCGGACTGGAGCCACCCACGTCACAGGATTGAGCTGAACGAAGTCCTAGTACTCCACGGCGAACACATAAATCTATACAAGGAGCTAAGGATTACTCGTGAGGCGCTACGTCTTAGGAAATTCAAGGTAGAGTATCAAAACATGTAGTCATTGACAGTATGTACAACAGCAACTTTTGAAGGGGTTCGTCAATCATCGCCGCAGTGACTGGGGTATCGTCTAGTCATCTTGGGCTTCCAAGCCATCCGTCTATCCATTATATAAATCCTTTTTGGTTCATCAATCCATAACAAAGCAGTCCGCTTACAGCTGCTCAACCCAGGGAGCGGCACCGGGCTGCATCTGGTTCAGCCACTTGACGAGCTCAATGAGCTCAGCACGGCGCTCTTCCTCCAACTGGTCCTCATCACCAGTCAGGACGGACTGGAAGACGGGAAGGAGGCTGGGAGTGAGCTCGCGGATGGTGGCATCCTCCCACTTGTACATCTGGCAAATCATACGGTAAAGGGGCTCGTTCTCCTCAAAGTCGTTCTTCAGGGGAAGAATGTTAACCAGGGCAGGAAGAACATCCTTGGTGGGAACGCTATCGCGGTAACGCAGGATCATGCGGCTAACACAGCCAGTAGCATTGTCCTGGAGACGAGAGACATTCATCTGAAGGCAAGACTCGAGACGAGAAAGGATGGTGGGGATCTCCTTGCTGATCTCAGCCTCAGCGTTAGAGTGCTGGATGAGGCGGCCAATAGCATAAGCAGCGTTGGACTTGGTCTGGGAATCCTCATCGGCGAGGCGGTGAAGGAGCAGCTTCATGAAGACAGGGGTGAAGGGAGTCACGGCAGCGCCCATGCCATTGATGCACTCAGCAAGAACACCGACAGCGGTGGCGCGCTCAAGGGACTCGGTGCTACCGGCATAGCGCAGGATAGTCTTCTCGAACACTTTCCAGAGTTCAGCGAAACTTGGGCCCATGGCAGCAGCCATGCCGGAGACAACATCCAGAGCAGTGTCAACAACAATCCAGTCAAACTCGGAGCTTTCCTCGCCGGCCTCAAGAGTCTCCTCCTCAGGACCGAACTCCACCTGGCAGATATGCTGCTTGGTGATGATATCAGTGACCATCTGGATAACGTTGTGGAGCATGGTCTCATTGGCAATGAGGGCAGGACCGCAGAAGCGCAGGTTCTCAGCCATGTTGCGGTTGATGTCAGCGACGGTAGAACTATCATTTAACAGTCAGCAATCAGGTCCTCAAATGTATGAGTGATAGAGAACAAGATGATAGAAGAATTTCTCAGAGTGTAGACTTCGCCGTTTACATCAAGTACGCCTTTGGCGTATCAAAGTGAGCTGGGTTAAGCGGAAAAACATCATCATAGAAATTGTGGGCAACGTAACCAAGGGATCGGGGAAAAAGGGTTGAAACATACCGGTCATCCTCTTCAGTCCACATTTTGACAGTGGCAGTCATGAGAATCTCACCAAACTTCTGGACCTCCTTGGCAGGCTGGACCTGAAGGGGGAGACCAGGCTGCCACTTGGGCATCTGGCCGTTCTCCTCGGCGATGGCAAAGAGCATGGCGTAAGAGCGGTGCAAAGTGCTAATGGTGCTCTTGCGGACACCCTCATAAGGGTGCTCACAGAGGGGCATCACATGCTCAATGGTCTTCTCAAAGTAGGGCAGGAACGAGCTGCGGGTGTGGGTAACAAGGTCACCGATGACCTCAACAGCGATTTCCTTCTCAAGAGAGATAGGAGTGGTGGCAGTGATGTCATCCCAATCATCCTCATCTTCGAGATCAATATCTTCAATTTCACCATCATCCTCATCTTCAGCACTGGCGATCTTGATCTTACGGCCATTGAAGGTAACCTCTTGGCCAGCAAGATCCTTGCCAGCGCTGCCGAAATCGACATCAAGGTCATTCTCGTCCTGCTCGAGACAATCATAGAGGCCCTTGACAACACCTTCGAGGAAAGGAGAGAAGTGGTCACCGTACACCTTAGCCATAGCACCCCAGAAGATGTAGGTGCTCTCCTTAAGACGGGAGTGTCCAAGGTGGAGAGCCTCTTCAGTGGCACGCATAAGGGGCTCCACATAGGGCTGGTAGCGGTCGGGACCAGCAGCAGCAGCCATCTCACCCATAGAATCGGTGACACTGGCACGGAGATCGAGCTCGTCTTCGCTGTCCTTGACGGTAGCGAACTCTTGGAGAAGGTGCATCGACTCATCGAAGAACGAGAGGAATGAATCTCCAGCAGAAGAGGCGAGGGAGCCAAGAGCACCGGCAGCGAGGGCCTTGATCTTGAAATCGGGGTGCTTGAAAAGGTTGTGAAGGATAGGGACAAGTTCGGCCTGGTAGGGAGCAACATCCTTCTCGTCCAAGCCATCGACAACGGCATCAATGGCACTGATACCAGCCTTGATGATATCGAGTGTGGGGCCTTCCTCCTCACCCTTGTACTCTTGCATGGCGCTGGCCAAGTTCTGGAAGAGCAAGGGCATGAGACGAGCGTGCTCAGTGCTGAGATCCTCAACGAGGTCCTCGGCCAGACGAGCAACAGCGTGCAAGGAAGCTTGGCGCACCTTGGGCTCTTGATCAGCAAGGAGCTGGAGGACCATGGGGAAGATGTCCTTCATCTGGGTGCTGATAAAGTCAGGGGCACCCTCAACACACATGCCCAGCGCCATGATACCGGCGCGACGGTAGTCGGGGTCGGCGTTGTTGAAGTATTGACCAAGCGCGTGGAGCAAGGGAACAACGACCTGGCTAGGGGGCAAGCTCTGGGAGAGCATGTCCAGGAGACCGAGGGCAGAGCGGGCAGGTGTGATATCATCATCACCAAGAGCGCTATCGCCCAGCTCGGTAACGATTTGGAGAGCAGAGCGGGTGAGCTCCTCACCAATGCGCATGCCCTGAACCTTGAGCTTGCGGTATTGGATAGTCTGCATCAGGAAGCTGATGGCCTGGGTGCGAACATCTTCATCGACTTCAGTATTGGCAGCGATCTGGTTCATCAACATAACCAGATCCTTGAGGTGGACGGTCAGCAAGGCAGGGTCACAGCCAAGCAAAGTCTGGAAGACCTCAAAGGACTGCAAGATGTGATCCTCCTCCTGCTGCTCAATGGAGTGCTTAAGGATGTCGACCATGGCGGGAACCAGAGCCTGGAAAGCCTTGACAGGGGCCTCATCCTCCTCAGAATCAAGGTGCATACCCAACTTGCTCAAAGACATGAGAGTGTTGATGCGGACTTCGGCACTCTCGGGGTCTCGGATAGTCTTGTTGAACAAGTTGAAGAGGTCCTGGAACTTCTCCTCGAATCCTTCACCGAGAGTATCGAGAATAGTGAAGAGGATGTAGATGGCGACAGCGCGCTCACCGGCATTGCCACTGTTGCCAGCCTGCAGCAGGAGGTTGGGCAAGTCGGCCCACTCACCATCGTTCAGATCGATCTTAGCGATAGCAGAGATGATTTGAGCGATAGAGTGCTGGACGAGGGAAGAGCTCTCGCCCATGGTAGATCGGAGCAGCTGTTCACGGATCTGGGGCTTCTGATTCGCGGGCACCTTCACCCAGTGCTTGGCAACTAGGGTCCGGGATTCCACAGAAGCGAGCTGGCGCAGGTTCTGATCATCATGGCTTGTGCAAATCTGGATGAGGAACACAAGGGACTCTGGCTTGTTGTAGAATTCCTTTTGCAAGACTCCGGTGGCCTCCTTGAGACTTCCCTGGGAAGCTACATGACGGGGTCAGCGAGAAGAACATTAGGTTCGACGTTGCAAGACGACTCACGATCCAGGATAATCTGCAATTGTTGCAGGAATCGCTGTTGATCCATGATGGAAGCGAGGAATGTGAAAGGGTTTTCTCGGTCTTTTTCTTCTCGACGGTCTCAGTTGCCCAAGGTCTCAAATAGAGACGCAGGCGGCAGAAAGAAAGATTGAGCAGTCTGTCTCAGACAAACAGCTCAAAGGGGGTATCACAAAGCAATATGGACAGGAAAGAAAAAAGAAAAGAGAGATGAAAAAAAAGGAGAGTAGTGGGGGAGAGAGAGAGAAGAAAAGAGAAGGACAGAAAAAAAAAATTTAGGGGAGTGGGCTGGTGCCTAATTGGGCTTAGCGCGGGAACAATTGTCAACACGCGGGATTTTGGGCAGAGATTTTATGACTTCATGTTCATTGGATATCAGTCTGGTCATTCTTTGTTTCTTGGGCAGTAGTTGATCATGAAGACTGGAATTGAGATATGATCGTTTCCCGGCTATGACTACATACAAATGCAGCTTCCATCCAACCTAAAAAAAAAGATGCAATGATATCATCCACAGGAACAAAGACAGAGAAAAGAAAGAAGATAGTAGAAAGATCCTAAGCCCGAAAACTCCTATTCCATACTACGTCGTTTGTAAACCAAAAGCAAACCCCAAATTATGGCGGCATGTCCATGATGACACCCGTTGGCAATAGCTCGTGCATATACGTCCCAACCGTCGTGCATCCGGTGAGTTCCAGAAGACCCACTGAGTGAGGCCCCAGGCAACCGGGTGCTAATATTCATCAGAATCATAATCATCGTTCAGTAGCGATGAGCGATAGCCGCGGGAAGCAAGATTGGCCTCGAGGCCACCGTCCGATGCAGGATCAAAGTAACCTAGGTCAATTAGTAAAAGCTCTGGGTATATAACATCAGAAAAGGGGGCCAGTTGCACGTACCACCACCACCAAAGTAACTGAGGGCGACGGGTAAGAAGATGAGAGCATGGACAGCCGCAAAAACGACCAAGGCCAGCCATACGCGGAAGTAGTAGATCTCGAAAATCTTGCTCCGAGTGAACGCCAAGACGCACACTCCCAGAAGTTTTGTCACAGTGATACCGCTGAAAACACTCCCACCAACGTTGACCAACGCCGTCCATGCTCGAGCATCCTTACCACGGAATTCGGCAGGCACCTTATCCATAATAGGTCGAGCGGGGAACATGAATGCTCGGGCAATGTGAGCACAGAATTCAACACCGATACCCACACAGATAACCAGATTGACAAGAGAGACGGCATTTAACGAGACGCCGGCGATTGCCATCGTGCCAATGATGTCCACGACTATCATTACCACAGTGGTTGTAACAACAGCGCCTGTGGCCACAGACCCAAGGATCACAGAGGTCAGGATGAAGATGATAGCCACGGCTGACCCAAGAAGGGTACCGGTAAGTCGTACAATCGAGACATATTGATCGAAGAAGATATAAAACTTCGAGTATGGGAAAACATCGATATCATGCTCTTGGGAGATGCTATCTGCAATCCGGCGAGCCGCGATATACGCCTCGATGAATTCACTCTGGCTCCGGAGGGGCGTGTGACTAGTACGGAAATGACTGGCATTTATCGTCATGTGCTCCTCGTCAATGACCAAAGCATTGCTGTAGGGTGCTTTGCCACCAAGAGGACAAGAGGCATCGGTGGGAGCACCGATCCATTTCTTTGCATAATGTACGAATTCAGACCCTTCTGGCATCCCCGAAAGAGAGATATTCCACGCAGGAACACGATTCTCGAAGCAGAGCTTGCCATCCTCTTTGCAGCAATCTTGCTGGGGGTTCAACCAATAGAAGAAATCATCGACCCAGCTGGCGGCAGAGCCTGCAAGATAAGAAACATCTGCGCGCTTGGATTCTTGCTCGAGAATGAACGGCAGGGAATATTCCTCGCAGGTGGTAAATCGCCCACAAAGCTGTTGCTGGTGACTTCGCTTTGTGACGTTCACATCCCGAGTCACAAAGTAGACTGGAGGCCCTGCGCCAAAATATGAATCCAGGTCATTGAAATATGAAATGAGGTACGAGTCTCTAGGGAGCGCAATCCGCTGATCTAAACCAAGAGCAACCTCGGGAATAAGAGCAAGACCAGCAGTCAAAAGGCCCAAGAAAAAGATAACAACGCCGACCTTTACCCGACGATCCAGCAGGAAGGGCGCGTATACCCGCCGGATGAATGTCTGTAAAGTACCTTCTGCCTCCTGACCATCATAATTTTCCTCGGGAAAGCCGAAGGAGTTTGCTTTTCGGACAGTCAGACAAGGAACACAGTCCGCACGAAGACTTTGCACACGCCTTTGATTCAGAGCCAGGACGGAGATGAACATGGTCATTTGAAGAATGGCGTTGATAAAGACAGCGCCGGCAGCATAGGCGGCAAAGTTTTTCACAGCAGGCATGCCAACGAAGACGCCCAAGGCAAAGGCCACGGTCTCGGTCAAGGCAGACAAGAAGATGCTAGGTCCGATCCGACTGACTGCTCGGGCAACTCGCTCGTCAACTTCTTCGTCGGGGTGGCTGATATTGACTCGCTCGAACTCGTGAACGATCAAAAAGATATTGTCTACTCCAACTGCCAGGACCAAGAACGGAATCACTTCAGCTATGATCAAGGTCACCTTGACTCCCGCCGCAGAGAACAGTCCGACTGATGCAGAAACAGACATCAGAACAATGAGGATCCCCACAATTCCCAGCGTGAATTTAGACTGAACGAGAGCATTGGACGGGTTGGTCAACAGAGACCTCCAGGTAATCGTGACGGAACCCAGCGCCATTGAGGCATAGAAGAACATAATCAGATAACTGATGACAACAATTCTTGCATCTGTGTTGGTGGACTTGTTCAATTCTTGCTCCAAGCTGGCCTCGGAGTTGAAAGACACGCGAAGGCCTCGCTCGGCAGCTTCTTCTTGGACCACCCCGAGAACGGCTTGGAATGTGTTCTCCCAATCGATGGCTCCTGCCTCTTCTTCTGTTCCTTGTGCGTAGTTGTTCACTACCCAGGTCACGATGAGTGCTTGGGCATCCAAGACATTCCCTGTATCTTCATACCCACCAAGAATCATTTCGGGCTTGAGAGGCTGCGAGAAATCAGGAAGACAGCTAGGGTCTCCAGGCGATTCTGTACAGTGATTCAGTCGGTCCTGCCATGTATCCGGGTCAAGATTTGAAACGGAACCACCGAAATACCCAGTGACTGATTGCACGACACAGCCTTCTCCAGTGGGGTTAAAACAAACGTCGTCTAGACTGAGAGCCTTGTTTAAGGATATCACGCGCCGCACACGGGACTCAACGTCGAACCACCAATTGAGAGTTTCATAGTCCAAAAGAGAGCGGGAGTCGTTCTCTGGGCGGTTATTCACCAGGAATACCTGCTCGGCTCTATAAAATGGACCAAAGCTCTGATCGAAGAAATCCTTTTCCTGGGCCGCCGCAGATGACGGGCTCACCCAGAGTCGCACCGGGTCAGTTTCTACGGCAAAGCGTAGCCACCCTAGGCTTAGAAGCGCCACCCCAATGATGCTAGAGGATATCGTAATTGCTGGGAAGCGCGCACAAGCTCCACCAATTCGATGAAACAAGACTGACAACAGAGAATTGAGCTTGTAAACCCCCTGTGGCCGTTCCATATATCCTCCACGGTGCACGATTTCCCCTTCGTCCTCATCGTCACTGGGCGTGGGATCCTGCAACAAGCGCACTCGCTCTGGTTTGCGGAACCGGCGTTCCTTGTATGTAACATAAGTGGCGAGAGCAATGACAAACAAAAGGAATATCGAATAAACAAGAATGACCGCAAAGGACAGACATGGTAGAAGGCCTACATAGCATATTTTGTGGGGAGAGATAGTAGGTAATTCAGGACACACATCAGGGCAGTCCACGCAAGAGCATCGGAAGGATTCGTCCTCGTCATTGCAGGCTTTCGGCTTGATTGACAAAGCCTTCATTCCTTGTGCATCAGATCCAGTGGGCTCTGTGTGATAGTTAATCTGGAATGGGCTTCCAAGAAATTTCTTATCACCTAAGAATTTCAGGAACTGTGTATAATCTTTCGCACCACCACCGATAAAATCAATGGCTTTGCCACCCGAAGCACCGTTCTTGACATTCTTGCAGCTATCGAAGAAACCGCTCTGGTACTCCTCAGACCAAATATTGTCCAATTCGGTCACCAGTCTTTTGCCGGAGCTGTGTTCTTCCGTCTTCGTGACATTGACGAACAGTGATTGATCGGGAGAGCATGTAAAGGTACAGAAAATGTTGAAGAAGTTATCTCGGCAGGCAGGGCAGGATGCGATAATTCCCTCGGCTAGTTTGAGGTTACTTGAAAGCGAATCAATCTATAGGAGGTTTGTCAGCATCTCGATACCCCCATAGCGACTATGAATCCGGCGGTGTTGCTAAAATGCGAGGCTGTTGTTTCTCACCTGTTCATCTCGACAGCAGACCGGTCCTTCGCTCCATTTGCTGCCACACAGATTTACCAATTTCTGGCGTACTGTATCCTCCGGTTGTTGTGCAAGGTCATTATCGGGGCAAGGCAGTTCTCCTCCGAAAATTGACTGCTTTCCACAATGACCACGAATAGCACAACGACCTTTCTCATGGATTTGGGTTTCGCCCTGTGCACCGACAAGCGTGGGCGTGACAGAGCCCAGCCCAACGATCAGAGCAATGGCCCTAGGTAACCACATCTTAAGGGAAAGGCAAGAGCAACCCAAGTCGGAACCCTGTATATCAGTCTCCCAGTCGCGATGTCTAGGAGAGCAACACTTTTAATAGTCGTAAGGTTGGGCCATGCACCTGTTGGTCGGTGTGGGGAAGATTGTAGGGCCAGGCCGAGCTGGCACAAGGAGGGAATGTGAATTCAAAATAGAATAATTCGATGCTGAATACACAAAGTAGACTAGAATCAATTATCAAAGCTTCACAATGGCTATGGCGGAAGGCTGAGATAGAGAGAGCAAAGAGAAGGGGGAGCCAAAGCAAGCTTTCAAGGGAAAGAGAGTGACGTGAAGGCGGAGACCCGCGGTACATTGATCCCCCGCACGGGCTCGCAACCACCCGTAGTACTGGACACTAACGTCAGGCACATCGATGCGAGCGCCTGATGATTTGGCGATGTCGTGGCGCGAATTAGCGGACATTGGTTTACTCTGTCTCCTTGGCATCTAGAACCACCAGGTTTTGTTCTAATGTGCTGTGTTCCTTGTCGCCACTAAAGAGACATGGTTGCTGATCCATTCGACTACCATCAGCTCTAAGCAGATGTTGATACCTAGGTAGAGACCTACATGTTCCTACATGGGCATGGCCTCAAGTTACTTTTCAATTAATCATGACTTCATTGTAATAATACAAAACATAGAAAAGATTGACTCCGAGCTGAACCCCCATTCTATGGACAGGAACTCCGAGTCTCAAGCGTAAAGAGACAAATATGCTTGTGCGTGCATCGCCAATGATTCAGTTAGCGACGAAAACAAGTATGAGAAAAACTCAAAGAGATATCATCAAATGCAACAATGGAGGAAAAAATGACATAGCCATTTGCCCGAGCGGGATCATCACAATACGGGCCTGGCAACGTAAGATATGCAACCTAATAGCCCTCATCTTCGGTCTGCTGGTAAACATGGCGAGTACGGGTCGGATCTTTGCGCATGGTCTGACCGGATCCTGTGACACCCACTAAGAGAAGAATAATATTAGTATCCATTGAATAAAAGACAGAGAGAAACCTTGATCTGGGAATATCATGGTTCAATAGGATTTTCCCATACCTCGAGCGTTGAGACCTTCGCCCGTGCGGAACATGCTGTCCTTCTTGCCAAACTTGCCCTTGCTTTTGACCTTGGCCTTTGCAGCGAAATCTTGCCATTTGTTCTTGCCTGCTTCGAGTTCCTTGTTCGCCTTGACCTTGCGAGGCATCTTGGCGGGACGAACTAGTCCGTCACCTGCCTTGTTGGGTTCGTTGCGAGCCTGGGTAGCCAGTGCGGGATTGATATCTGCCGCGGCGGAGATCACACCGGGGTGAGCGGGGGCGGGCGAGGGAGACGCCGAACTGCCTGGGGTTCCATCAGCCTTGCGCTTTCGCGAGTCAGTGCCAGAGATGGGTCGGATATCCTTGGCTGTCAAGTTTTCCACCGTTGCATATGACTTGAATGAGACAAGGTACACGGGGTTGGTAGAGGAACCGGTGATGGAGGTAATTTTGGCTGGGTAGAAAGCATTGTCACCAGAAACCCAGCGCGCCAGGACGGTATCATTTACGGAGAAGGATAGTGGGATATCAGGGGCATTTCCCACAGCTGTCTCCTGCAGGTGTTCAGTGGATTTCTGGGCACTATTCTCGTTGAATCGGCTTTCCTTGGGAGCGGGTTTGGTCGGCGCGATTCGTTTATTCTCGGCGATTTCAACTTCGGAAAGGGCAATGAGATCCTCAAGTTCAGACTTGAGACTCTGCAGTTCCTGATTCTCAGGATCTGCCTGCAAGCCTGATGCAACCGTCTCAAGCTACTGGTTGTGTTAGTGGCGTGTCGCACGCGTGATGGTCGCTCATTTGATCATTTACGGCAACTGACCTGGTGCTTGTACTCCTTCACATCTGCCTCCATTTGAGCCACATCAGCCATGATGAAAAATTGATTCTGAGTCCCCTACAAAAATAGAAAAAAAGATCCGATAAATCAGGCGAGCAATGTTCGAGTTGGATGAGGAGTGAATTGCGGAGAAATAATCTCCATGGCAAAATCGATCGAACACAAATCACGTGCATTTTCTCACCGCCTACTATCAATGTATTCCCTAGATACAGCACCCGAGGTTCTTCTACGATTGACGAAGTATTGACGTGATGATATTGGATGTATTTTCAAGGATGTATCTGGAACAGATGGTATAGCCCTGCATGTAGAGTGATGTACGTGGTTGATTCCTAGAAAGTGTGTTATATCCCCTACGGTGACCCTGTAGGTAAGTACATATCCAGCCTTGGAGCTGTCAAGACCGAGACCTACGATAAGCAAAAGTCCGATAACCCACTTTCTGCGGATCGACAGCCGGATATGCATGGGGTTTATCCACGGAGCACAATGTATGAAGTACCTAGTTATGAAGTATGTGATACCTACATCTCTGGCGCTAGGTCCTCAGTGTACCCCATTCTATAAATTCAGGCTGGATCTAGGGATCCGGAAGTGGTAACGTCATCCAATGGCCTCCCCGACGTTATGTATTTGGAGACCCGTGGGTCCAGACCCCAGAAAGTCGGAGCCAGATCGGTGCAATTATGTACGGAGTATATAGATGGGAGACGGTCTCGAAAACACGCCAAGGTGCCAAGGTCGTACTTTAATGAAAGATGAGTCAGAGTACGGAGTAGCTTGAGGATCATAGTTCCATGCTGTGGCTCCATACACCGGAGATATCGTATCCAGGACAAGAGAATGTCCTCGTAGAAGTGGAGAGAAAAGAGGGAAACTGATTTCAAAGCAGCAAACCTGAAGAGGCAACCCCGTCGGCCAATCACATGTTCCAAACTCCTCACCGCCGGCCGCCGATCGTCCTCCCCCCTCCAATCCTCCAGTCATACTCTCTCGTTCATCGTTTCTCTTGGATTCTGCAACGTCCCATTTGATTTGATCTAACTGTCCCGGCTTCATATCAGCCTCGTGGTTGCCTGAGCCACATTCGACCGCAATCTGACTAGCGGGGATTCTATTCTCGCCTCAGGCCCCTCTCGAGAGAGCCGCTGGAAACCTTTCTTCCTCTTTCCCCTCCATATCCATTATCACCCCATATCACCACAAGTTTCGCCTCCCAGTGTGTCATTCTTACTCGCAACTGGGATTGAACAGATAATCGAATTTTTGATCTGCCTCACCCACTCCAGTTGTGAAGCCAAATTGGGAAGATTGCATTATCCATCCCGTCGTTTTACGGCATCTATCAATACTTGTCACGGGCGGGAGGCCCGGTTGGATCTTGCATTGAACTCCATTCATTTCTTACATCTCATCTCCTACGACCTCTGTCCCCTCGTCTCTCGACCCCCTCATTCGCTGGAAGTAACTCGTCATGGGTGATTACGATCAACGATACCAGCAAGGTCTTTACCTTTCTCCAACCCAGCAAGATCTTCTGCTTGCTGCTCTCACTTCCAATAATCCTAGCCAGAAGCCTCAAAGTAGCACCCCTCACATTAAGAACGATCAGAGCCCCGATCAAAATTCCTCCACTGGCCTTAGTGCTCCTCCTTCGGGCGGCTTTGACAATGCCCATGCCAACAATTTTGGGTTCGGAGATGAGGAAAGTCCTTTCTTGGAATTCCCCCCGGACCTAGATTTTGATTTCCCGGGCTCGGCCAACTTGATTGGTGACCTACCAGGGTCGACCGACTATGATATCGGCGAGAAGCGGAAGTCACTCGACGGCAAGTCGGAAATTGAAGGCGAAGAGACCGGAAAGAAGCGCAGGGAAAGTGAGGCTAAGAAGCCTGGTAGGAAGCCGCTGACTTCGGAGCCTACTACGGTATGCCACTCTTGCTACACACGCAAGTTACTGGGAGTGATGTCATATACTAACTATGAGCAGAAGCGCAAAGCCCAAAACCGGGCTGCCCAGCGAGCCTTCCGTGAACGTAAGGAGAAGCACTTGAAAGACTTGGAGGATTCAGTGGAAAGGTTGCAGAAGACATCGGACATGACAAATCAAGAGAACGGTTTACTGCGTGCTCAGGTCGAGCGATTGCAGGTCGAGCTTCGTGAGTACCGAAAGCGCCTCTCTTGGATGGCATCGGGATCAGGAAATGGCATTTCGGCTTTAAGTTCCAATTCCATTCCCAATGCACATTCCAAGGGAGCATATGGCCTTCAGAACAACGAGTTCCTCTTCGATTTCCCCAAGTTTGGGGATTTACCCGGTGGCCATCTTTTCAACGGCCAAGCCAATAAGAACGACCAACCCAAAACCAACGATAGCATCAGTCGGGCCCCTGGTGTGTTGGCTCGCGACAATCCGAATACTCCTGTATCCCGATCCAACTCGTATGCCAACCCAAACAGCTCGAAGTCCAATGGAACACCCACCAGTACCAGTTCCGCCAAAGCCCCCTACTCTGGCTTCAAGTCTTCCGCAAACGAGAACTCCGCCTCGGAGAATTCTCCATCATCTTCGTCTGACTCGCATCAAAGCCAGTTGTTGTCCTCCAACGGTACTTCCCCAGAACCGAGTCTGAATTCTCCAGATGGAAAGTACCGCGAGCTAGGACCAGGCGACTCTTGCGGCGGACATGTTACGTCCGATGGCGAGAAATCCTTCTGCGAGCAACTTGGTATGGCTTGCGGCAACATCAGGAATCCCATCCCAGCGGTCCGCGACAGCAAGTCAAAATCCCACAGTGTTACAAGCAGCCAACCGACACCAATTGATGGTCCAGCAGACGGTCAAGCCATTCACGACTTTGGTATTGACTGGATGGCCCATCAGAATGGCGGCCAGTTTGATCCAGTGCTGTTTGGTGACTGGCGGGAACCTCAAGACGCCGTACTATCTCAGGACTTTGGCTCCTTCTTCAATGAAGCCTTCCCTCTGCCGGATCTGGGTAGCCCCTCTCACAACCTGAGCGAAGTCGCTAGTGACGCGGCAGTCCCCAAAAAGAATCTCGTCGCTCAACTTGACAGCAAACTCGAGGAGGATGAGGTCGTTCCAGGCGAAGACCAATCGCAGATGCTGTCATGCACAAAGATCTGGTATGTTCATTCCAGGATCCAGCAAACCACTATCCCAAAGCCTACTAACCTCATATGTCTTTATAGGGACCGTCTTCAATCCATGGAGAGATTCCGCAATGGCGAGATTGATGTCGACAACCTCTGCTCGGAACTACGTACCAAAGCACGATGTTCTGAGGGTGGTGTAGTCGTGAACCAGAATGACGTCGATGACATCATGGGACGAGTCAAGTAGCGGCTCGCTTTTGCAATACTCACCATCGCTTTGCTTCAGCTCGCATTCGGGCTTATTTTACGACTCACGGACCACACAGCAACCCACTATATTCGCGCTCTATTGTTTTCTACGCATACCCACCATCGATTGTCATTTATGGGAGGAATCCTGCAGGGCGTCATGCATACAACGCAGGATCGAAAGAGTTAACTCATTTGGGAGGGGAGAAATGATTCCGATTCCGCGGATTTTTGGTGTTGGAATTGATTTATGAAATGCCCATAGTTGGCAATTTATCACTGTCTCATCTTGAGGGAACACCTACATACATTTTGTTTCTCTCATCTTCTCCCATTTAATTTCCTTTTTCTCTTTTTTTTTGGTTTCTCCTTGTGTTCTCTTTCATGAATTTTTCTTTTCTTTTTCGACTGCAGTAATTGCCATTCATTTGTTTGATGCTTTCGTTAAGTTCATCGAGTTTGGCGAATGGGAATGCTTGGTTGGTCTTGAGATCTAAACCAATGCAGGACATGAGAAGGGCACTTCCCATGTCTGTTGTACGGGAAGGAAATATGGCAGGTTTGATTCGTTGGCGATGCACAGGGACTGGATGGCTTGAACTGCTTTTACAATGTTCAATGTACAATTTTTTCTATCATAAACATTCTCCTTGACTGTAAATTGACCAAGCGTCCCTCGCCCATCTACATTCTAAGATGCAGCTGGAGGTTAGCACACAAAACAACCTCGGGGATCTACAGTCTCAAGAGCTAAAAGCGAAGCTGTAAGGGTATCGATATGGTCCAGAGAAATAGAACTAAAGTACAAAGAGAAACTGGGTGAAAGGGTGTAATCCGTTTGTTTTTTTTTTCTTCTTTAAGATGGTTTCTGCATCTTCCACTCATGCCTTCTGCAAACAACAGAACACTCTCTGAGGCTCACTGTAACACCCATTTCAGTCTGAATCGACGCTTAGATTCCTGTTCAGATCCTTTCGTGGCCTTGGTTAGACCTGGGAACAAAGAACAGAAAGTGAAGCAAGATCAGACGCAAAACACAGAAATTTTGCAAATGGGAAAAGATAAAAAAAAGACACAAAAGAATTAGAGTATCGAGCGGTGAACGTGAGACATGTAAAACCAAGGCGATCGCGAATTGTCGATGCCCGGGCAAAAATATGGAACTTGAAATTCCAGGATCACCGATTAGGCGTCACCAGATGCAGCAGGCTTATCGCTTGAGGGGGCAGATTCGCTTGCACCCGCTCCGCTCTTGAAGCCACCACGAGCCCCTCCACGTCCGCCGCGTCCTCGCTCACCGGTGCCACGGCCGCCGCCACGACCACGACCACCGAATCCACCACGGCGACTGCCGTCGCTATCACTGGCGCTCTGGTATCCACGCTGGCCGGCAGAGGCTCCGCCACGGGTGCTAGCCTGCCACGTTCCAGCATTGCCGACAGCACGACTGCTGCGGTCCTCGAAGAACTTGAAGTTGGGCTTACGGGGCTGACCGTGAGGAGTAGAACCAGGCTTCTTCAGCTCAATGGGCAAGTGCTCCATGGCAGCCTTCGCCTCCTCGGGACCCGAGAATGTCACAACGTGATTGTATTTGCCAAGCTTTTCAATCTTGGTAATCTTAGATCTGTCCTCCTCAGCAATCAGATCCCGGACAACCTGCTCATTATCGGCACTTGTCACGAAAAGGGCATTGGTGGGCTTCTTCTCAACCCGGGGCACAGGTGACTCGCTTGTCTTCTCATGTGGGGTGGTACCATTAGTATCGACAGCTGCGACCTTCTCTTCTCCGGCAGGTTGGGCGGAGGCGGCAACAGGCGGCTGTGGACTAGCGGACTTGGGAATCACGGGAACAGGGGAGGCACGGGGTCCCTTCTGGCCCTGGGGAATGGGTGCACGAGCGGGAGGGGCTTGTCCGAATTGCGGAGCCACAACGGGGGTTCGAGCAGCGCCGGTAGGAGCGGGCGAAGCAGTGGTCGCCGGGAGGCCGCTAGAAACAGGTTGAGGGGCACCACCAGCCTGGGGCTTGCCAGTGCGGTGAGCGAAGTTGAATCCTTGAGCCCGCATCTCAGTCGCGATGCGTCCGCCTTCAATTTCAAGAACGAGATAACCGAATGCAGCATCGGCCAAGTTAAAGTTCCACATATTCTTAAATGCACTTTCATCGACCTGACCAGCAGCGTTGCCCGCAGCCACAGGGCCACCGAATGGGTTGCCACCATTGGCAATGGAGGGCATCTTGTTGACAACATCCAGGGCATTCTCCAGGAGAGTCTTTTGGCCATCGTTAGAAGAGATAGCCGACTCAACCTCGCCTCGGACGGTCTCCCAGACATCGGTGAATGACGCCTTCGAGGCAGCAAGCTTTCCACGGTAATGGTCCAAAGATGGGTTCACAGAGAACTCATTGTACGAGGAGCCGTAACGGAAATGAAGACCAGCTGAAATGGAGAAGTCGGCCTTAAGTGTAACGGAAAGCTGATTCAGCATGCCCTCACGAGCAGGGGAAGCATGTGTGACGAAGACACGAGTCTCGGAGGGGTCGTAGACACGATTGGCAGTGTCTATCAACTCACCCATCTGCAAGAGAGTTGTCCACATGGTACCCTGGCCACCGGCAATAGTCGTCTTTCCCTCTCCGTTGTCAAAGAGTTTATGCATAACAACGGCGCCTCCCAGACCAAGCAAACGTAGCTTAACACCGCCAATATCGAGGAGACGGGAGTTGGCTTCGTCGATAATGTGTAGCTTGTCGACCTTGTACTCGCCTGATCGGAACTTCTCCAATACGCGCACGTCTTCGCAAGCACCCCAAACTGTGTACACCGGAACATCAAGAGTGATGCGCTTGTCGAGAAGCATAGAAAGCTCGGAGAGGGGCAGCTGCTCGGGAGGGAAGCGTTGCTTAATTGACTGTTGAGGAGGTACCTGTGCGATGGACCGTTTCACGTTCTCGGGAAGGAGAGGGGAGTATTGTGCCACATGCTTCAATGTCCTGTTTATAGGTCCGAGATTAGCTGATGCTGTCCATTACATTTCGGTGTTCAGCGAGCGGAATGCGTTGGGTAATGGAGACGCGCCACTAAGCTCGGGGTGTTGACACTCACTTATCTGCGATGCGCTCGAGGGAGCTGTCATCATAAAATCCGAAATCACCTGTGTGGATGATGTGGTCTGCGCGGGCCTGCTTCGCCAGCTCATTCAGAGACTTCAGGTTTCCTGATTCATCAGTCGGATTAGCATCGCTTCGGCAACAAAAAATAAAACCCAAATATAATTACCTCGCACATCCGCGATGCACAGGATCCTGGTAGGTCCATTCTGAATAACACGGCCGTTGTTAGGAAGCAGCGGCGTGGCACCGGGGACAGGGCCCGCAGCCGCACCATTCGGAATAGGGTACCCTTGGGCACCAAAGTTGGGGCGGGGCTGTAAATAGACAGGAAATGACAAGATTAGCTTAACTCTCAAAGATCTCCAATGTGGACATTTGTCACGCGCGATTAGAAGCTGGGGCTGATCGCAAATGCGAGGGGACGAGGTTAAGGAGCCACTTACAGAAGCCATAAGGTGTTGGGTGAGAATCAAAAGGGTGTCGATGAGGAATGTGGGGATGTGGTTAAGATGAAGGAGGGGCGGAAGAAGAGAGATGAAGGAAGGAGGACGATGAAGCAGGTCGAGGGGAAAAAGATGTCGAAGATGCACTTTCTCGTCGATGAAGCAACAGGCGTGACATGGAGATTAGGTAAGCCGCCCCTGGGCCCGCACCTTAGATCTACAACATACAAACAACACCGTTTGTCCCCATATCAAGCTTGGTTTGACGGATTCAATTGCGTCTGTTTTGTCGCATTTTATCGAGGTACTCTTTTTGACTACGGTGAGTATATGATGCTTCTTTTCTGGGCAGAGTTATTATCACCCGAGACATAGGACAATCTGCTCTTTGAAGGTCGCTTCTATACCTCATCGAATATTCAGTTTAGGATAGACTCACTACGCGCATGTATACTTCTAAATGAGCTCTAAGTGAGCAGTACCCAGGTAGGTTGATAGGTTTGAACCTTCAAATTTTACTTCTTAGGTCGCATAATGACATGGGATGCTCATTGCCTGACGACCAGCGTCTCAACATTGCTCTGGGTGATCACCAGAATGCGATCATGGTATCTCAAACATCTCGCTGATAAGCTCTCATGGTGCTTCGCGATAACTAGATTGAGACTCAAGGGATCGAGGACCCTCAAGCGCCAGCAACGCAAATTGTTCACCGACGGTCGGACGGGCCCAACACAAAATCCGGTTCCCAGGCTCGTTTCCATGGTCAGAACTCGCAACATATCGATCAGAGAGTGGCCCTGTGTGTTTCCCACTGGTCATGAATGTCCATAGATCTTCGATGAGCCCGTCCCTTGTGCTCATATCAAAGGTGCCAGCCAGCCACATGTTCCAATCTGATTTGGCCCAGTATTGACGATTATCGAGGGGCACACCTCATTCGCCTCAAACAGATGTGAAAAAGTCACTCCCCATCTGAGAAGCAATATCCGGGAAAAGATGCTATGGGGTCTTCCAGGTATCTGGCCGGCCAGGATATTCCAGAACGAAATGGGTCTGGTCTTCGTCTGTTCCCGACCCCCAGTGGAAGAAGGGATCCGCAGGTCCATCGCTAACATAAGAACAGAGACTATTTCCACCCATCTCTCCAAACGCTTTGAGACCGACAGCGGCCTTGATCGCTAGGTTCGTCTCATTGGCGAGGGCTCCCGCTGCATCCTTAGACGATAGCTGGCACACAATGTCAATTCTGTTATCCACTAAATAGTCTGCATACTTCGGGATTATCTCCAGATACTTTGGGGCCCCGCGGGTATTGCCAGTGACCAAAGTATAGGCAGCAGCCAAAATAAGCAGATTCCCACACTCCTCGATGGACATAGGCTCTGCCATCTGGTCATCGTGGCCAACGGCATGAGGATAATGAGTGGCTCCTGGCCAGCCCAAAACTGGGGCTCAGCATACGGTAGATGTTGTACCCGGTCGTTAGACATCCATGCCGACAGATACGTGTTACGTACTGCCAGCGGGTAGGACGGAGGAAGTACAGGGTGATGCGTGAGTCGTAACAGAGCCGGGGTTCGGGGAGAAAAAAGGCAGCGCCAATGTATAGAGCGAGCTCAAACTCACTGGGCTCAGTAGGTCAAATCGCATGCTTGACAGAGCGCAACTAATCAAGCAGCATGAATCAGAAGGACAACTTAAGTACTGCTGTCAGTTTTCGGACTCGCATATGCTGCAGGTTTCTCGACTGCACAGAGACAAGACTGTTGATTTTCGAGCAGCTGAATACAAAATCATCTAGGACTACCGATCATACCGTCATATATGGGGAACCCCCACATTCCTCCTGTTTTCTCGCAGAACACATGATTCGGGGGCTTGTTTTAGAGTGAGAGCGTCGATATCAATGGGCATATATAAACTAGTGATCTGCTAGTATGGCCAGGAGTCTCTGCATTGGACCTGGGTTCCAACAGCCGATGTACTATATCCAGTCTCTCTTCCAGAGTAACTTTTTAAAGGTCTTTTTCTCCTGCCGCTCCAACGACTCCATATCATGGGCTAGAGTTGCATGTCTCATCCCCAGAGTAGATCATTAGCTCCTCATTGGAGGGCTCACTTATTCCGCCGCGCGCTTTTCCCGATCGTCTGTGATAATGATTGCCAACTTGCCCTGTGACCTCGATAGGACCAGCACTAGGCCGAACCTTGAGACTTTTGTAGAAATCACAGTAGTCAGAATAGCTGGCGGCGATGGCAATCTGCACGTGCATGAACGGGCACCGCTTGGAAAGAAGCCTCAGTGCCGATGAGTTTGATTTGAGAGGTCACCATATAAGCCAGGGCATACAGGGGGGGACTTCGGTGGATGCTCCAATGCCATTAATCAGGACATGGCGGGTATATAATTGCCGAGCCCCTACAATAAAGTCGATCTGCGCATCCAAGGAGTTTCTCGCAGGCAGGATACCTCGAAAAGTTGCCAAAGATGAGAAATAAGGGGCAAAAGCCGACTAAACTTCCAAATCAATACTACTAATGTTGACGAGATGAGGAAGTTTCATTTTTAAGTGTGCCAGTAGAGGGCATCTCGGCGCATTTGGTGGCAGGAGGCACGAGGTCCCACCCCCTGGATTTAACCCCCCTCTTTGCTTCTTTGATCATTCGACTCCCATCATTTCTATCACTTGGACGGAGTACGGAGTACATTCTACTACAGTACATACAACCCTGTCTGAACCAAACAGTTTTCGGTACTTGACTCCCCGCAAATTCAACCGCTTGCCAAAGCGGAGCCGTTTCCCCAGTGCCGAGGACATTCGCAGATTGGTTCTGCCCCAAGTTGTGCTCGCATCAAACACACCTTTTGGGTCTTGGATCTGCTGAAAGTTGCCAAATTACTTTAATCAAAAATCTTTGTCGAGAATGGGTGCAACCAAACAGCACGAAAGCACAGAGCCGCTGCTTGCGCTTGCCAGTGGCGTTCTGCCCTCGTATAATGACGTGAGCGACGCTGTCATCATAGATCAAGATGGGAAACCTCAATTCTTATCACCAGAAGAAGAAGCAGAGCGCCGGCAGCGACTGGAGCAAGCAGTGCGCGAGAAGATGTTAGGGTTACCACGGACGACAAAGTTCGAATGGCATCAGGGAACTTCAGGCACTGGACGAACTGCGAGCGAAGAACTACAGCTGCCGTTGTATACGCCCCGGGAAGACAAGCATGAATGATTTTCTGTCAAGCGCAGCTTGGATATGCCAGATTGGCAAATTTTTGGGTTCCCTACTTGTACATGAGCTTGTGCGAGCAGAGGATGACCTTGCAGTACACATCATATATACTGCCAGAAGAAATTGTACCATTGAATGCACAGAAAGTTCGCCTTTTGAGATTGGTGGCCGTAACCACTTATTTGTACAAAATACGTATGTGAATGTATGCAAGACTAGTTCCGGAACAGTCTCAAGCCTCCTTCCTCACGATCAACCTCATCCTCATCGCTGGCATCCTCATCACCTTCGCCAAGTAGTCCACTGGCTGTTTTGCCGAGCAGAGAGGCAAAGAACTCATCTCGTGCGCGCGTAGTCCAGGAACCACGGTCATCGGGGGCCATGAAGTTCTGGAGCTTTTCATGCACAGTGTACTTCATCTTGCGACCTTTGGAGGCACGGGTATCAATCTCTCGCTTCACCTTATCGTTGCGCATACCAGTGATCGGGTGAATGGGCAGGCGGGAGGGCAGCTGTTGCAAGTTGTCAAAGCCGCTGGTCATAGAATCGGATGAGGACATGCGTTGTTCAACGAGATCACGCAGAAGAGTCTGGTAGAAAGCACCGTCATCGTAAACAGGTTCTTGCTTGTCAGAAGTGCGAGAACGTTTGGAAGATCGCTCTCCAATCTCTGTGGCTATTTGAGCATCGAGGACGGCTGTGATGGTCTGTTGGCGACCTGAGGTAGAACCGAGGAGCTTGCCTCTGGCGTTGGGGAGAGATCCAGAAGTGCCTCTGACTTTCGAGGACCACTTGTCGAGGACAGAGCGACGGTGCGAGGTGGACTCAGATTCCAATTCAGCCATACGTTCCCATAACGAGGCGGAGCTAGTAGTAAGAGAGGCGGGGGAGGGTCTCTTGCGTTTTTTGCCCTCTTTGGTGGCGGCGTCTGCCAGAGCAGAGCGTAAGCCTTCGAGGGTAGACCATAATGCCATTGCAGCAGACTCCGCCGACTTGATTGCTTCCTCATCAACCACTTCTTCTTCATCAATCTCCATCGACTTCTCTTCGCTTTCATCACTCTTCGATCCCAAAGCAGCAGCAATACCGTTGATAGCTGTCAATCCACCTTGAAGCTTGATCCGCGCGTTGAGGAGGGCGTCAAAAGTGGTACGTTGTTGCTTTACAGCCTTTCCCTTCGTAGCATCGGCCTTGGCTGCCGAGGATATTGTTGCAGCAATGGCTTTCTGATCAGTCGCCATTAGTCTCCGAATCTCGTCTCGGTCTCCGGACCTTGCGCCGCCATCATGCCGGCCATCCTTATGGGCCTTCTTGGAGTGCTGTTCCACTACCTCCTCGTCATCCTCGAGTTCGTCCTCTTCATCGTCGGTGCTCTCGTCGGTGTCATTGCCGCCACTGTCGTCTGCTTCCTCGTCGGAACTCTCCTGGGCAAGGGCGCTGTCGTCGCTGACCAGGCTCTCGGAGGCAGAGAGGTCATCTAGGCCCTCGTCTTCCTCGTCGGAGTCGGCTCCCGTGCTGCTCTGATCTTCTTCACTTTCAGCGCCAAGCGCCGCCCGGCTCACCCGGGCACCGTCATATTGTTTCCCCAGCGGGATGGGGTCGTCTTTGCGCAGCTTTGCCTTTCTATTTGATTATTAGCGCAATGCCAATAGCAAATTTTTTACTTGACGCACCCAACAGTCTCATAATGCTCTCTCCCAGTAGTCACTTCATCTTTATCTTCACCTTCCTCGTCACTTGATTGTTGACCATTATCAATATCCTCGGGATCGAAGTCTATGCTACAAGTTAGCGCTCGATGTCCAGCATCAGGGTCAATCTGTGTAAACATCGGTTTCTTACCTTTAGGAGTTGGGTCTTCAAAATCAGCGAGCTGCTCAGCTAGCGAACGACCTGCGCGTGGTTTGCCCATGGTGCCTGGTATGTGGAGAGAGAAGATGGCTACCGCGCAACTTTTTTCTACAATTTGCCCGGATAACGGATAATCACTCCTATCTAGGTTTAGCGCCCGAAGGCGGTACGGCTTCGTGTGGGCGGTGTTTAACAGTCCGCTCCTAGCCCGACGGGCGGTCGAGTATTCTGTCGGCAGTATCGCTGTGGGTATCTTGCACTGCATGTTTTGGAGCTTCTTGTGTTGCTCACCGATCAATTGGTATATCGTCCTAACTTCTGGCTTATATCGTTAGATTTGCCAATATGTTGGCTTCTCCAACTAGTGTCATGCCTAAATGCGCAAGGTTTTTTTCCACTTGCCGAATGCTTCAGCATGATAATCCTCTGGTCAGTCTCACTTTATGTCTAGGGCTTCAGTGATAGTCCTTAAATTCGCTGGCTGCCCACTAGAGCCCTTTTATTGACCTGTCCCCCAATTACCTTCTCCTGCATCGACTGACTGTTAATAGGGACTCCCACGCTCTGGTACTCCGCCAACTTTCCGTTCGCGCCGAGGGCTTCCCAAAAAACGCAAGATTCGAGACGTCAAGAAAGTTGTTGCCGTCTCCTCGGCAAAAGGAGGAGTTGGAAAATCTACAATAGCTGGTGGGTCAAAGCTCTACATCTATATCCATGTTTCGATCCGAGTCGCCGGAGTGGAAGGTCTATGGATAGAACAATCGCTAAACATATTCTACCAGTCAATCTCGCGCTATCATTTGCTCGCCGTGGCATTCGAACAGGCATTCTTGATACCGATATATTCGGTCCTTCTATCCCGACACTTTTAAATCTCTCTGGCGAACCCCGCCTCGATGAAAGTGAGAAACACATCACCATCCTAGTGTTACCGTCCTCTCCATACTCATAAACATTTTCAGATAATTGCCTCGTGCCTCTAACAAACTATGGGCTCAAATCTATGTCAATGGGTTACCTCCTACCCCAAACCCAAGCTGACAGCACAACTGGCGAACTACCCATGGACACAACACCTATCTCATGGCGCGGACTCATGGTGACAAAAGCCATGCATCAACTCCTCCACTCTGTATCATGGGGTCCACTTGACGTCCTCATTCTCGATCTTCCCCCCGGAACAGGCGACGTCCAGCTTACAATCAACCAAGAAGTGATCATTGACGGTGCGGTCATTGTATCAACACCACAGGACATCGCACTGCGCGACGCAGTGCGCGGCATTGGGATGTTCCAGCGAATGGAAGTCCCTGTGCTCGGAATGGTGCGTAACATGGCTTATTTCGCGTGCCCAAGCTGTGGGGAACAAACTCGTATATTCTCGCATGGAGATAGTCACCACCACGCGCACGGTGAAAACCATGGTGTTGTGGCGGAGTGCAAACGGCTTGGAGTCGACTTCCTTGGTGATATCCCTCTCGATGCCAAGGTGTGCGAGGATGCTGATCGTGGTATGCCGACGGTCGTTGCGGAGGAGAGTGTTGAGCGCAGTGCGAGACGGCAGGCTTTCCTTGACGTTGCAGAGCAGGTAGCTCGGAAAATTGGTCTTGATTGGCGCTGAAGGGTTAGTTTGTCTTGGTCGTAGACGTTCATTCAAAACTACCGTGTATTATTATTCTAGACTTCAATTATCCGGTGGCTGGCTACTGGCTATTCCATCATCGACTGGATTTCTATATGAGAACTCAATGTGTGGATATTTCTGCTCGCGATTAATCTAAAGCTAGAAAGAATTGATCTACTCTCTAAATTGGGGTATGTATTGTATGTGATCTCCAGCATCATCCCATCGATATATGAGGGGTTTAACCACCAGAGGCTTGGAAGATGATTGTTCAGATCGGGTATATCCAACGCAGCAAAACATGGAAATAACAGATAGAATGCGAGCTCAAAGGACAGAGCTATAACTGAGCGAGCGATTATATATCAACGAAAGTGGTTAAATATCATGGCAAAGACATTTCAAATCCTTCAAAATCAAAATATAGATGATGGGTAAATGTTCATAGATGGCAATGCTATAAGCCTTCTTCGGCGGTTTTGAACACCTCTCTGTCCGGCATTTCAGGACGGTGCGACATGGAGTCACGACCAGCAGCAGATAACACAGACAAAGTATCTGTAGACCGGCGACTGTTCTCACCAGCCATCATCGGGGGCACAACACCCCGTGCACCCGTCACAGCGCGGGTGCTGGCAGTATCGGATGCCATATTCGCGCAGGTAACTGAGTCCTTATCGCCACCAACGGTGCTGGCAGTTTCCGATACCATCTCGCTTCGACCGGCGACCGAGCCTGCAGCGGATGATGGCCGAGTCCTGCTGTGAGCTGAGATATCCGATTTCATTGGGAGAGTCCCCGCTGCGTGGAAGAGAGCTCTTGTGCTGGCATTCTCGTCTGTGAATTTGTGATTATTCACCTCGGGCAATACAAGAATCGGAGCAGCGCTCTTCTCCGATAGCGGTCGGGACGCAGTCTCAGGGTCCGTGGATATTCGCGCAGTGGAAGACTCCCTATTACTGGGGTGTTCCTTTTCATCCCATGTAACTGCTGTGGGACCAGTAGTCTGCGATCTGTCTCGGTCGGGACCTTCGTCTGACTCCTTTTCAGTTTGTGGATTGGTCGCCGGGGTGCTAGACCAGGTTCCAGCCTGCCCAGCATCAACGCTAGGACGGGTGGAACGTTGACCTGCTTCTACAGCCTGTGCCTCCCTTTCCATCGTGCGCTCGTCATGCTTGCTTCCCCAGCCACTCCAAAGCATCATGCCATAATTCTTTTTGGCATGTCGTTGCGGTAATACTCCAGGAGCAGCTCGTCGGGCGGCCAAAGAGCTCGGTGGAGGACATTCTCCATCAAAATCTTGGAAGCCATGCGCCAGTTCTTTCAGACGTCGGCTTTGAACCCGAAGCTTTTCCTTTGCAAACCTGATGTCCCATTCGTGCTTTGCATCCAACCACTTTTTGACGAGATCGGGATTGATTGCCCCGACTTGGCCCGGGGGAATCTCTAGCAATGGGTAGGAAGAAGGAGGTCCTAGCGGGAAAACATGTCCGCGTTTATCGATTCGCTGACGTATCATATGTTCATGGAATGCTGGAAGGGGATCCCCAGCCTTGCCGACTGAAGAGGGCCCAGGTCCCTTGGGCGAACCGTTCAATGCGACTTGAGGCACCGGAAGATCTTCATCTTCTGAGCTGCTTGACGAAATAGGGGAGAAGGCACTCTCATCCTCAATTTCAACCTCTCCATTCTGCGCACGTGCCAAAGCCCAAGATCCAAACTGCGAGATGGACCTGAACATGTATTTAGCCGGCTGGGTAAAGCTCAGGGTGGGAGCCACATGGCATAGATCATCCCAGACTTGGAGTTGTACATAAGTCGGTTTATATTTGTTCAAAGCCTCCCGATTAGGATCATTCTCATCGAGGTACACGTCACTGGGTGGGTATGCTTTCGGGTTTGCTGCTTTGTGGGCGATATAAAATTGCTCGTCACGAAGCATCTCACCACCGCCACTCAATATTTGTAGAGGAGGAAGACCACCTAGGGAGGGTTGAAGCACGGGCGAGACAAGAGGGTGGGACATAAGTTGGTTGGTCGTGTACATCTGAATTTGGTCCTTCAATTCAACCGTCTGCCCATCCAAAACAACATGAATATTGTCGGGTTCGCCATGCAAAGTGGCAGGGTCTGTGGTTTGCTGTTGACCAGGGTATGCATGTTCAGATGGAGGTGGGGTATTCTCATGGACAGTATAACCGCGGATGGCAGTCTCTCCAGCAGTGCTGTTCGCGTCGGGAATAGCCTTGTTGACATCTTCAGCCGTGATCGTTGGTTGGCGTGACAATTTCTTCATTTTCAGTATATCATCCGCGTTGGGAGGGGGCCAAGCAGCCGAGGGTTTATGCCGGAAACCATGGGACGGAATATAATCGCCAGGATTATCCGCCACAATACTTGGGAAAGAGTGTGTCAAATCGACCCAAGGCGAGATCAAGATGGCGCCTGCGGGCAAGGGAATGCCTTGGTCTCTCATGACAACCAGCATCGAAAGAGCCATGCCTCCGCCTGCAGAGTCACCAGCAATAATGATTTCCTTCGATTCATATGACTCGAGTAGCCAAAGGTAGGCTGCTATGCAATCATGTAGGCCACATGGAAAAGGGAACTGCGGTGCTAGTCGATAAGCCGGTGCAAAAACACGCCCTTTTAGCTTGCGTGCATGGCGCTGCATCATATAACGATGGGTGTCTACGCTTCCAAAGAAATAGGCACCGCCATGGACATAGAGCATCACGCGGTTGCAGTGCTCATTGGTCTTTTGCGTTTGGTTGTAATGGCTGCGCATCTCTATCCACTCTCCCTTCAGCTCTTCAGAGGGGCCGCGCCATTGCCACCACTTCTCTCCTCCCACACGTATGACACCTTTGGGTCCCAGCTGCTTTGTCACGGCACTTGCAGCAGAGGACAGGTAAACATCGGGGATCGAAACCGTTTCCGTTCTCACCCAATGTGGACTTGGGACCCATTGACGGGTAAATGCCTGGAAGTCTTCGATAGGGTGTTTGGATGCATAATATAGGAATTGACGAACGATCTGGATACCTTCATCGTAGGTAATGTGCACAGTAGGTTTGTTATGTCGCGATTTGCGATGCAGGTACTATAAGGCCATACGCGATCAGTCAGACAGCCCTAGCCCTGCACTCTGACAAGAACTCACATGACTGATCAGAGTCTGAAAAACAGTCGGGGTCAGTGCTACACCTAGTGCGACTGTATGTAACGGCATAATGGCTCTGTTGGTAGGGAGTAGACCGGTTGTCGCGAAGTCTAATCAGCTAATATTCGCGTAGATTTAAATAACCAAATGTAAAAAAAGAGGGTCCGATCGCAAAATACTCCGACGTCATTAAGGAGAGAACGGTATTAAGCGAATGTCATAACGGAGGGAGGTAGAAACGTGAAGTACCCAACCAGACAACCAGACCGACGAGGAGCCAGACAGGGGGGATGATGTCATAACGTGAGATGGCCCGATCGGGGGTTTATGTCTTTTTATGCTTTTTATGCTTGTTTCTGTTCACTACGTACATATCGTGCAATTATGCAATTTTTATGTTTCTCTTTGCTCCCCTGTCCTTACCAATGGCGTCTTCTGGGTCTTGCAGTCCACAAAATTATGCCAATATAGACCACCCCGACGATACCAGCCACAATGCTGGTTGCGATCATAGCCCCACGCGGCCCTTGCGCAATCCTAAACCCAAGCCCAGCATTGATGATTCCCAAGAGTATCATCAGTCGTCCAAACCACCGGTGAATATAAGCATAAGGTCCTTTCCCGCCTGTCTTTCGGAAGAATTGGTGCTGCAATAGGCCCATTGCCGGTTGGAACAAAACAAGGCATGTGACAACGATTATCCCGAGGATCGCATGGTAAGAGTCAACCAATTCCAGCTGTCGGGCCAATGAAATACCAAGGCCAAAACCAACAATCACTAGTGCCAGAGTGATGACTTGGAAAGTTCCATGGATTCTAACGGGCCATCGCGAGGGCGATATATGAAGTCCGAGTGCAAAGAAAGGGAACATGACCACAAAAGCCAACACCATGAACACAGCATGAGCCGTCTTCTTCCTATCGATCGTGTCTTGGAAGGCTGCAAAGCTTGGATCCTCTTTACCGGAGGAGATGGTCGAGCGGGATATTTGGGAGAATGGATTCGCTGAGCTCCCACCCGTCGCCTTTTTCAAGTCGATGGACACTACGCCGTGATCATCATGGTGGATGATACTTTCAGTCACACTGACAGAGTTCAGTGACGGTCCGTACCTCACAGCCCATATCCATGAACTGGAAGAGCTATGCACATTTTCTGCTCCCCCATTCCATTTCATGCATGTATCACATCGGACACTGGCGGTAACGACTCCGTTGTGCACACCGCTCCCATTCAGAATCGTGATTTGGGCGTCTTTGTTATACAAAGGCTCAATCTCACTGACACCCGACCGCGGTGAAACCGTGACCTCGTTCCCAGATGTATATACGACAAAGATATTAGCACCTGCCATCCGCGTTCCTTGGCCCAAGCCAAACCACTGCACTCGGCGGGTAGCGTTCATCTGGAAATACATGGGACCCGATCCCGATTTAGCTGTGTCCTCAGGAACATTGATGCTATAGGTGAGATCATCGTTGCCTTGAGGGTGAAAGCTCTGGACTTGAGCCAGGACAGGAAGGGCCCATGAGAGCCAAAAGAAAAGGCGGACCATTCTTGAAAATTGAGGGTGAGCTCAAGAAGAGAGACCTGCTTTTAATAAATAATGACAACTCAACTCCAGTTGTTGCACGGTTGACATATGAACCAGGCTGGGGCCAAGACTTCTGATTGATAATAACTTTCCCATTTTCTGCATTGAAGTGGGTGCCACCTGTCCAACCTCTGGAAATAGCCCTGAAAATAGCCCTGGAGCATCTTACGAGTTACCTATTGGAGTAGCTTCAACTGACAATCTATTCCCTTTTTTGCGGGAGTCCAAAGCCCAAACGAATGATGATACGCGCGCTTTGCTGCGCCCCCAGGGATGTCAGCTTCTGGAGTGGCGATCAGGCGTTCAAGGTGCTTCCCTGTCAGCTGACAGGACTTTTCTCATTCAAGGGCACAGCTGCTCTCAAGTACGGAGTACGGAGTATTGGAGTTGCTTTTTCTTTGTTCAGGGGAAGTGTAGTCGATCCAATCGCATTGCAACCATGTAATCCTGCCAGGATTTCTTTGTCCAGTTCCGACTGGTCAAGCCTTTTGAGAGAGCTGATGCAGATTACTTAGGTGTTATAAGAACGTATAGCTATTTAGCTGCCATAATGTGTATAGCTGAGCAGTGGCTATGCTTTAGTCTTTACGGAGTATGTAAAACCCTGTCTCGGTGCAGAGTGGCTTGAGGATGACCTCGGGATACGCGATACTAAGGTTGACCCCGCGGGGTAGAGGGAAGTATAAATGGCAGAAGAAACCAAGTTTATGATATCTACATTTTATTTAGCAGATTACCTTTCGACTGCATACTCCTTCGACCGAAATCATGAAGAACAAATTGGGTTTTCTGCTCCTAGGACATCAATCCATCAACGCCTGAATGCAAACTCGGACGGTATCAGTAGGATGACTACCACTGCTGCATCATCAACTGCTACATTATCGGTATCGGGAAATCTCAGCACTTTCACTGTCGGTGAAGATGGTGTCACCTTACCCGCATACATCTGCTGTCTCCCTGGGGGGAAGGTCGAATCCCATTCCGACCTGCAGAGTCATTCAGTAGTAGAAGCCTCAGTTGACAACCCTTGTCATTCAAGGGACACCCCCGACTTTTCAAAGAGATGTGCTCCGACAATCGAAGAATCAGCGGGTTATGCACTGCCTCCAGGGTCAGTCAAACATTACAAGTAGCCGATTCTAAGCTGTGAAATCCAAAAGAGACCTGCCGTGTCCCCTATAACCATCCATGGCCCAACTTCTATTTGGTACTACTGCGGTTAGATTGGCCAATTCCAGTCCAATGTAGTTAGTGTTATCAATCCACCGTAAGCATATCATCATTTTAGTGGGACAAGCTTGGCATACTCATGTCTTGTCAGCTCCAATGATCAAGACAATCTGAATGTTTTCAGAAATGCTGCTGCAAATGCAGAAGGCAGCACTATATCTGAAACCTTTCAGGACGACTCTCTTGGGACATCTAACAAGTAGCCGCTAGGCAGCACGATCAGTGAATTGAGAAGCATAACAACAGGCTCTACTTTAAGCCCAACGAATGCTCCTTCTACAATGGGTACTGCTATAGGCATGGGTGTTGTTATGACGTTGTCTTGCATTATCTCTCCCTATGATATAGGGTTATTTTCAACACTCACATTGGCCCAGATTCAAACAGGGTGGTTCCTACCATGGATATGTCTCCCGTAGATCTCTGTATCATAATTTGAGTTCACTCGTTTCAACGGAAAGAGATATTCATGCTTCTGTCTCGGGTTCTTGGCTCGCATGCTCTGAAGTGTATTCAAGGTGGCACAGATGGGACAAGCCACGTTCGAACGCCCCGATTAGTCGGTGACTTGTTTTGTCGGTTCACAGCAGGCTTGACGCGTAATAATTTGACAAAGGGATATATAGATTCACTGCATACGGCATAGCCACAAGACCTTTGGGGCAGGTGCAAATTTAGACTTCGTCCGCAGGAATGCATGAGACGCCGAAAACGAAATTCGACATGGCTAATACCCAATGGCAAATACGCACTGAACCCTCGGCCCAAACCCGATCCTCAAGTCCGCAACCATTGCTTTCCGGGCAGCCCGTAGTACACATGCAAGGACTAGCCACATGATTATGTTGGCAGAAATAGCACTCACCGAGGTCTGCAATTTTTGGCCAAACATGTCAATAAACAAATTTAGCATTGCTGAGAAGCAACAATGTAGTCTACTCAGGTTCCTAGTAAGACGATTTCCCCCTATACTATCAAGTGTTATAAGAGAATCAATAGTTGAGACCCCATGGTACGTAAAGGGAGCAAAGGAAGTACAGTGTATTTATAAGAGCTTACTAGCAGTTTCAAGTCACTGTAATGGATGAACGAGGTGGTATCGCTGACATTGATGTCGAGGGTTTGATCGCGGGAAGAAGGGACCTATACATTCACATCCATGGATTATGTACATGATGGCCCATCCATGACGTCAGATATAGCCGTCTAGCCGAATGTGGCCTAGTGGCCGCTGGGCCCATAAATTCATTGGGCGCTAGTCGATTTTGGGCGACAGCTATACTTGGAAAGTTGAGGGCATCATTTCTTGTCATTCTTTCCTGCTTCATAGTCCGGACTCTATCTCTTATATTTCACACTCAACTTCTTCCGAAAAGTAATTACCAAGCATTTTCCCCTTCCAACCTACAAGTCCTTAATTCTATCCCTCACACTGGGCTAGGCTTGAAACACGGGGTTCGGCCTATCTCATAAATTTAGCAAATTGGATTTTTTGCCCATTGAAGGCCCGGATTCCAGCCAGAGAAAAGAAAAAGCCCTGGTGGAAGCAGATCAATTGACAGGAGTCCACTGATGAGAACGACCGATGTTATGCCGCCACTTTGCTTGTGGATGATCTGCTATATGAACCTCTTTTGTTCAAAATACATTCCTCTATCTGCCTATGTATCTATTTTGTAGATCGGCACCTGGAATTTTATGCTACTTTATCTCTCTTCTTAAATATAGATATCAGAGGGTTGGTTCAGTAACTACGACGCGGCGGATCAAACAAAGCTGTATATCTCGATATGGTCGTGATCTGGCATACTACACAGCTCAGAAATGTCCTTGCCAATACTACACCTCTATTATTCTGGATTCCTACGGGTGTGTAAGTACCAGCCGATCTCTGCTAGAGTCAGGAGCGATCTGTCAGTTGGATTGTTGATCGTCAGCCACAAGGTCCGCACAACCAGCAAAGCAATGTCTTGGCTTTCCACACGGTACTCTCCATGACACTTCAATCCGGTAAATAATCCCAAGCTTTATGGAAACAAAAAGAAAAAGCGCCTGGTTGATCACAGTGGACATGGTCGATCGCATTCTCGCGCTTGTCTTGGCACCGCAGAAGGTCCTCAGAAGTATCGAATGGTGGGATACGCTCATTTGAGTGCGAATATAAAAGCCAGAACTCATCCAAGATGCTTGAATCCACCACTTTTGCGATGCTAGGCAAATCGTCTCTTGTCGTTGCAACGTTCATTGTTGCCGTTCCTGCACTTGGCGCTAACCATGAACAAGGAACAGCAAAAGTGACAACATCCGACATAGTTCGAAGTGGCGAGTTAGCCAATGTTTATCTCGATTGGAATCATCGCCCACCAAGCTTGATCAAATCTGTGTATGCGCCCTGTGGTAGCGAGAGCTCTTCGACAAACGAGCAAATCATCGGACAATTCTCAATCAGCGAACATCCTCCACAACGACTGGCCTGGGCAGTCCCGGATGATGCACCAACACATCATTGTGTCTACATTTTCGGATCCGACAATCGAAATGGGACAGAAAGGCTCTTGGGCAAAAGCAATCCCGTCTCTGTGCAGAAAAAGCTCAAGAAACGATCCACCGCAGACGCCAATATTCCCTTGTTGAAAGACTTTGATGCACAGGGGGCTTGGTTTGATGGAGTAGCCAAAATCAAAAGCAAAGTGGAGAACAATGGAGGAGTGGCTTCAAAAAGCTCTCCCAAGAATACATCGATTGCAATTGTTGGAGGCGGTATCTCTGGGCTTGCAACGGGCTTGATGCTGGACAGCATTGGTGTACACAATTGGGAGATTATCGAAGCCAGCGACCGCGTCGGCGGCAGGTTCCGGACGAAGTATGTCGCGGGCACCCAAGAATGGGCCGAGATGGGACCGATGAGACTTCCACATTCTGTCACGTACAAGGATGATAACGAGACGCTTTTATATTCCGACCATCAGTTGACATTCCAGATGGCCAACATCTTGAATAACATGAACAAGAATGAGTCTCAGTGGAAAATTGACTTCATTCCTTGGATTCAACACAGCCCCAATGAGCTGTATGATCGAGGGACTCGCCGCCACCCAGATGGAAGAGTCCCAACACGCGCTGAGATTGAGGAGGACTCGAGCCTAGAGGACCCGCCCGCAATGACCAGCGCCGAATACAGCAATACCGAGAACCAGATGGACAAGATCCTCAAAGACAAAAAGACCTTGAAGTCTCTTCAAAAGGATATCTGGAGAGCCCATAAGACGGCCATGGACCAAGGGCTCGATGACTGGAGTGAACAGGCCATGATGCGCCATGTGTTCGAGGCCAGTAAAAACATTACGGACGAGATTTGGACATCATCAGACTACGATGTGTTCTGGGATGAACTACATCACAACTCGAATCTCGGCCTTGATGGAAGCAAAAACAGCATGGGTGAGACGGAATGGCTCTGCATCGATGGAGGGTTCAATCGCCTGTCAGACGCTTTTCTTCCTCACGTCCGTGACAGACTTACTCTCAATCGGAAGATCAGAAAACTAGAGTCAGTCCAAGGCGAGGATGGCAACACTCGTACTCGGTTGTCGTGGTATCCCAGCGTCTCGAATCGTACATTCGAATCCAAAGAGTACGACTACACAATCATGGCAGCGCCTTTCACCATGACCCGCTTCATGGACCTGCCCAAGTTCTCCTCTGTTCTAGATCGCGCAATCAGCGAGGCAGGTCTGCGATTCAAGTCCGCATGCAAAGTAGCCCTTCTCTTTTCCGAAAGATTCTGGGAGAAAGGCGACCGACCGATTTTCGGCGGCTACTCCAAACCATCAAGTGATTCAGTCGGTGCTCTCTACTACCCAGTCTATGGGCTCAATGAGTCCCGCCCCGGTCTGATCATGCACTACCGAGGTGGCGATTGGAGCGACCGGTTTGTCAGCTTCTCCGATGAAGAGCACGTCCAGACGGTGCTAGATTCGATTGTCAGTCTGCACGGTGAACAAGCGCGCGAGCTCTATACTGGCGACTATGAGCGTCTCTGTTGGCTTCAGGATGAACACACTGCAACTTCTTGGTGTCGACCGGATGTTGCACAGCATCAACTCTACATTCCGGCTTATCATCAGACGGAACATAACACCATTTTCATTGGAGAGCATACTGCTCCAACTCAGGCGTGGGTTAGCTCCTCCTTGCATTCCTCAGTCCGCGGCTCGGTTCAGCTTCTTCTGGAATTGGGCTTAGTGGATGAGGCTAAGGAGCTTAACAAGCAGTGGATGGGAAGATGGATTAAGTTGTAAGACTCAAGATATTACGGCTTTGTCATATCATACATCTCAAACATTTGATCCATCGAAGAAAGAATATTTGGTTCAGCATAAAAGTTGGTAAACAGTCTCAGGTACGAAAGTATATAGCGCTCAGGAGTTAGTTCAATTCAAGTCGACCTCATCAGCTAGCTGCCTGTATGTGTCTGGTTTTGGACCGCTCTCGACGTCGCTCATTACTGTATTGTAAATAATAGTTTCTAAATGTAGCTATTGAGAATGGAGGATTATAGATGTAAAAGTTACTTGTAAAAAGACCACTAAAAAACTTCACAAGGCCGCAAACACAGCCAACCATATGAAACGCTTCGTTTTGCCGGCTTTCCAAGGTCGGACCTACATACCTCCCTTAGCTATGCACTTATTAAGGTCTCTCTGTCATCTTAATTCAAAAGCAGGCATACCTATTCAGGTAGCTAATCCAATTTTAATCGAAATGTCAGAGATCCACGAGGGAAGGCAGATCTGGGAAAAACACAGTCTCTGGATGATGCTATGGGATGAAGGAGGAAGACTAGAAGGAGATCAGGGAGACAAACAGAGGATGGTCATCTGACCATCCAAACACGAAACCAACTCCCGAGCGCTATACACCTTCGCACTCAGGACAACCAGGTGACTTGGCTAAGTATTTCCCCCTCGGCGGATTCCTAAAATACATATCCTGTCTACCAAGGCACAATATCTCCAGTCTCTGTGACAAACTTTCCCGACACATTTGCTCTTGTAGCACTGTCAATGACTTTGAGCATCCCTTCCACGCTGTCTTCAACAGTCAATGGTGGATCATGAGGATATCCCAACTGCTTCGCAACAGAATATCCCGCGCGCGTTTGCACCCAGCCAGGATGCAAAGCAAACGCAACTAAGCCATCCGCCTCATTCTGGCTATGAAGAGCCTTGGTAAGCCAGTTGGAAGCTGCTTTACTGGGCCCATAAGCCCCACCGGGGAAAGGTTCCTGTTGACCAACCGAACCAACCGAGGAAGATATCACTGCTAGTTTTGGCGCAAAAGCAGATCTCTGCATCAGAGGCCAGAATGCTTGGAAGACAAGAAGCGGGGCAATGGTGTTGGTTTCAAATGATGCACGGAGATCTTCCGCTGGAGTTTCAACGGCTGGTATCATTGGCGTCGCGCATCCGGCATTGCAGATGAGCACATCTATGTGTGACACTGTACTGACAGCTGCGGAGAACGTCCGTATAATATTATCGGGGGGAATTGCGGTTGAAAAGTCCAATTCGATGATGTGAAGTATACTGTTTTCGCCCATCTTCACATCCTCGATTTCTGCTCTCAGGCTTGTGGCGGCGTCTGGACTGCGCACGGAGGCCACGACAGTAGTGGCAGAGCGCTCTAGGAGCCGTTTTGTCAGTCCAAGGCCGAGGCCTCTGTTGGCACCTGTCACAACATATACTGTGTTCACAGTTGAAGCCATGGGGAAGTGAAACTTGACGTGTTAGGTCAGAGGGGGAGAGAGAGGGACCAAAGTAATATGGCCCCCTCTCATACGATGCAACTTTCTTAGGGCTGTGTGTGAGATTCACCAATCAGGGCTCAATGCATTACACCAACACACCTGGGCAGTCAGCTTCTTACAAACTGCCCGGGTGAGCCTAGAAATGGGCCCCTGAGGTCACTTCTGAAGAAATAGCACTTGCATGTTGACAAGATTGGTATGGCTCTACGCCTCCACGCAGTCAAAGCCTATCGAAGCTCGACACCTCCAGATAACCCACGACCACTCACAGTCACCAACTGCCCCTAGGCGAAAGCACGTAGCCCGAGCCGTCCCCCTCCTTCTTCCGCTAAATTATTACTCGATAATTTTCAGGAGAAACCCAGCCAATTCGAGTGAGAGAACAGATCTGTGATATGTGACAACCCGCCCCGGCCCCCAAAAGAGGGGTTCAAACTCCACCGTTATATCTGGAAGTTGGAGGTTAGAGGTGTGATTCGGACGAATTTATTTAAACCCGAGCACATCCAGTCTCAAACAAAACAACCAGATGAGAGTACATCATGGTTCTCATTTTTGGTTTTCGCCTGTGGCGCGTTTGTGCACTAATTCTCGTCTTCCTGATCCTGACTATTTCTGGCGCTTCAACCATCGACAACGGTAGGCTGTTTATCATCAATGGCTCCAATTACTATGCCGGCGATGCGGTATCGAGGATATCATTCTCGGATCTTGATACGACTCATTTGGACGAAACCGTCCCCATGACGCTCATTCGGACAGAGGAAGCTCTGCTCACTACGACTAGTATCAAAGAAATCATTTCGAATTATTCCGTCACTGATGATGTCTTTCAGCTTGAATTTCTGAAGAGTGGGCAGATCTCTCTACTTGCAAAAAGTCTTTAATTGACCTCGCAGCAGTGGTTTTCTTGGTATACGACGGAGATAGCCAAGGCCAAACGGACGCTTCTGTTCATGAAGTTCTCCAGGAAATAGGTCATAATCGGATTATAGCCTCTGCAAACTATCAATCTACGCCGCAGATCGTACCCGCCAGGCTGCTCAATGATCTACCAAAGGGACCATACTTTTATTCACCGCGGACTGGAGAGATCTATCAAGCCTTTCGTCTCTATTCCGATCATCAGCTAGCATTTACTGAGGGTACCCTTATCGACGGGGCCGGCGGGTTCAAGCCTCTGCCTGCAATCACATCGGTGAGTAAAATTGTGATATGTCTCAAGAGACCTCTGCTGATCGGCTCCAGGGTGCAATGACGAAGAGTATCGCTGTACCATCAAGGCTGTATTATACACCAACTTCAACAAAACCACTGGCCGGGGTAGGTCCGGAAAAATAAATCACGGTGATCTAATTCAATATCTAACTAAAATATCAAGTTGCGTCTGGGCGTGAAAGATATCTTCCACATAAAGGGACTGCGGACCAGCGGGGGCAATCGGGCTTTCTACGATTTATATCCTCCGCGAAATACAACCGGCCCTGCACTTCAAAGACTCATAGATGCAGGGGCCATTGTCGTGGGTAAAATGGGCACCGTTCAATTTGCGAACGGTGATAATCCCACAGCCGATTGGGTTGATTTCCACTGTCCTTTCAACCCCCGAGTAGGTCGTCCCATCCGTTTCTAAAGAACTTCACTAATACCCACTTCAGGGTGATGGCTACCAAGCCCCCAGCGGTTCGTCGTCAGGATCTGCTGCCGGTATTGCCTCCTATGACTGGTTAGATATTGCCATAGGCAGCGACACCGGTGGCTCGATGCGCAATCCAGGCGGAATGCAGGGAATCTTTGCCAACCGCCCATCTACCGGAGCTGTATCTCTTGACGATGTTCTACCACTTTGTTATGCACTTGACACTGCCGGCGTTTTTGCTCGCAATGCCGCCACCTGGTCGAAGGTCATGCATGCCTGGTATCAGAACTTTACAGACTATACAGAATACCCAAAGAGGTTATTCTACCAGAACTCTTCTTTTCCTTACACTAACACAACAGCCGGTATGCTTTTCGAGGAACTAGTTGTGAAAGTGGAAGACTTTCTTGGCACGAAGAGGGAGTATGTTGACATTGCTTCGCAATGGGAGAAAAGTCGCCCTCCGGGAACACCCTCAACTTTAGACGGCTTACTAAAAAAAGTGAGCTCTCACATACCTGAAACGTATCTTCAGACGCTGATCGTCGATAGACATATGCTTTGTTAGTATCCGTCGACCAATATCGCTCCTTGGCATTGCCGTTCTACGCAGACTATGCAGCCCAGCATGACGGTCGCCGACCATTTGTGAACCCGGGTCCATTAGCAAGATGGGCTTGGGGTCAAAAGAATGGTGGCAATGCCGGATATGACGAATCCTTCAAGAACAAAACGATCTTCAAGGACTGGTGGGCAACAAATGGATACGGAAAATCAGACAGCAAGACTTGCTCTGAGGGTATATATATTTATCCTTATAGCATTGGTGAGACTCAGTATCGGAATGTCTATTCGAGGTGAGTCCATCACGCCAAACGAATGACATGCCGGACTGCTAACGTTGGCAGTGGCCCTTCTGACCCTCCGATGGGATTTGGTGATCCTCGCATTTCCAACATGGCCGACACTCCGGATCTGGTAGTTCCTGTGGGGGAGATTCCCTATAACTCTACTGTCTCTCTGAAGACGGAGTTTATGCCAGTCACGATGAGTTTTACCGCAGCCAGGGGCTGTGATCTGATGCTGGTCAATCTCATCGAGGATTTGGAAAAGGCCGGGATTTTGAGGCCAGTGAGCACGGGGCCGAGAATGTATCCAGAATAAGTCGGCGGAAAATCAGAGAGTGTATCTTCACAGATACATGGTTCAACTCTATAGGTAAGACATTTTACTCGGTGCGCTTCTTCTCTACAAACTTTCAGCTACGTGAAAATGATATCAATGAAGATACCTACCGAAAAGGAAAGCCTGGAGCTACACAGATTGGCGTAGCCATAGTCCCTTGTTCTCTTCTTTATAGATGGTGAAGAAGGGAACGCTCGATGGCAGTGCACTCTCTGGTACACGGGTCGATTCAGCAACAGCATCTAACAACTTACCAACTGCCGTAAAGAATAGTAGGGTATGGAGGGTAGTCCATGGAGTCAAACCAGAGGGGTGTAGGTGTGTGTGTGTTCAATCTGTATCTACCTGCTATATATATCCTCATGATGCTTATCTAGCGAAAATGCAAATGTGCAAATATCAGGATAGGGATCTGACAGTAGTGAGAACAGGACCTAGATCCCCACTACAATATATAGACACACTCGAGACAGCCAAGATCCTTCCCTTCTCGCCCTTTAATCTCGAGGTAGTATCTGCGCGTAGCCTCCCAGCCCAGCATATATACGTATGTACTGGACCGAAATCTATAAGGTGGGATTGAAATTAGTTTAATCGTGTGGTGCATATTCAAACTTGCACTGGGAAATAAATAGCATACCCGGATCGGCAACAGCTTCATATTGTACTAGGGGCATATTAAATCCACACATATATATACCGGCCCACAAACCACCCAGTGTTTATCTATGATTGTTATAAAACCCGTGCTAGTGGAGCTCCGAGTATGATGCTATCCAAAATCTACACAGAAGAAAGTGAATTTAAACCAGATATAGTATATCAGTCCGACCTTGGTGTTGATATCCGGCTGGAAGCATAAAGGAATATTCCATTCAACGTATTTGTGTAAGTATTATAATAGTACACAGCTCTTCAACAAACACGTCTCCGTGGCGCAATTGGTTAGCGCGTCTGACTGTTAATCAGGAGGTTGGAAGTTCGAGCCTTCCCGGGGACGTTTCTTTTTGTCCTTTTGTTTTTGCTCCGTGTCCACATCCACGTACCTTACCTACCCATCCAAATTAGATTCTCTTTCCTTATTTGCGTCATTGCCCTCATATTCAATTCATCCCTTGCCGTATCGGTTATTCCTGTTGCCTTTTTTTGTCAGCGGCATATCAATAAAATTGACCGCCTCCATCTCCGATGAGACTAAAATGGGGCTATGACTATCTCCGTTCGTACTGCGATGCAACCTCGAATGCAGTCGCCCGCAGGAAGAATACGGTAACGAGCGCCGAGTCTCGCGTGAGCAGAGTGTGGATCGGCTTCGCAGTCCTGGGCGTGCAGATCGCATGCAAATATAACCACGGAAAATGCGCCATGTCTCAGCCTGCCCGCATGCTTCTTAGTACCCCCCCACATTGATCCTCGATCTTATTGACTTGGTTTCTGAGCCGGAATTCCCTGAGAGTATCGGCTGATGAAGGGCCATAGATCAGGCTATATCCGATCTGGGCTGTGTTACCGAAATATCTCAGACCTGCACCGCATGCAGGCTGCCAGCAAAGAGGATACGGAGTCGAAAAATAGAACAATCTTGGATGGGAGGCCTGGTAGATCGAGACAATGTAGTATATAAACCCCGTTGAGCGGGAGCAGAAAGAAAACAACAAGCCATCAAAACAACCTGTCTATCTCACAACCTCATTCAATCATACCTCCTCCAAACCCTCCAAAATGAAGTCCACCATCGCATTCGCTTCTGCCTTCCTGGCAAGCCTTGTCGCTGCTGCTCCTGCCCCAACTCCAACTCCAACTCCAACTCCGGCTCCGGCTCCGGCTCCAGCTCAGGCCGCAGGACAAACAGTATCCGTGTCCTGGGATGCCGCGTACGATGTTGGTACCTCCTCTCTGGCCACCGTCACTTGTTCCGATGGACCTTATGGTCTCCTCCCTCGAGGCTTCACCGATTTCGCATCACTGCCAATCTTCCCTAATATTGGCGGTGCGCCAACCATTGCGGACGGAAACAGCCCCAACTGCGGCAAATGCTATGAGCTGCACTATTCGTTCGGCAACACCGACAAGACTATCAATGTCATTGGTATCGATTCCGCTCCAAGTGGCTTCAACATTGGACTGCAAGCCATGAATGCCTTGACCAATGGCCAGGCAGAACGCCTCGGTCGGATTGATGCCACTTATGTGCAAGTCGATGACAGCGTGTGCGGAATGTAAGGGATAGACATAATCTGCATGGGGGCATGACGATAGAGGAAAAAAGGAGCAGAATTATGCATAAGAATGATGAATCATGCGGGGAATGAAAATGAGGATTGGAGTGACATAAGGAGCATTCTGTTATTTGAGATTTGTCCAATTATGCACATAGATAGTCTTTTTTTTATATAGACAGAAGCATCAATCAAGCACCTGCAACATTTCTTCTACACGCCCAAGCTTATCCCGGGGTTTGCCCTTTTGTTGACCTCGCTCTCGCTCTGCGGCATCAATTCGTTGCCAATCTTGCCAGGACGTAGGGCGTAAACCACGGCGCTGGGCCTCGGACTTGACCCCCTCCCAGCCTAGACCGCTGCTATGATTGGGTGCATGAAGCAAGGACTTTGAACCATCATGCTTTGCCAGGTCTTGCATAATAGTATCTGCGGTGGTGAATGCATCGGTCATTGTGGAGGCAATTACACCCGTTGGGCCTCGCTTCACCCACCCAGCACAGTATAGGCCAGGTAAATTGGAGATGAGTGATCCATCCGGTAATTTTTGAGGCTCGCCCTTGTTTGACAGACTTGTTACACGGCCGAATCCGTCATTGGGAATAATACCGCGCTGTGCGTCAAAGTCGATGCCAAGATCTTCGAGCCCCGGAAGCGGAAGGGATTTGTAGCCCACGCTGCGGAAGAAGACACAGGCCGGCAGATTGACCTGGGCACGCTTCCCGCTCGAGAGGTGCTTGGGAAACACTTTGGAGCTGGGGCTATGCGGGTCGGATGGATCGAGCTCATTGCGCGAGAACTTTACATGAGAAAGATGGTATGGGTATTCTGGCGACCAGTGTAGTGAGTCAGGCGCAAGTAAGAAGTCTAGAGACCAGGACTTAGGGGACGTTTGAGGATCATTGGTTGATCCCTTAGCTAGGAGTTGCATTAATCGCTTCTGTGCCCGAGGTAACGCCGATACCACTTCTTCCGGTGGGAGAATATCCTTTCGGACAGGATCAAAGGATACACCTGGGAGTTGTAGCATTTCACGAAGTTCTTTGATGGTGAAAGCGGCCTGGTTTAAGGTAGTCAGTAACGTGTGTATAGATAGCTAGTCTTGTATAGCTCACCTGGAGAGGTCCTCGGCGTCCAACAACTCGCACCCGCTTGATTCGACTCGTGGAGAGCTTTTCCACAGCATAATCTGCGATATCTGTTTTTTTAAGAGTATTCACATCCGAAAGAAGAATTCGGGCAACATCGAGTGCAACGTTTCCCTGTCCGACAATAACGGCGCTCTCTCCGCTCAGGTCGGGATCGAGATCTCGGTGCTCAGGTAGGCCATTATACCAACCCACAAAGGCACGCGCAGAATGCACGCTATGCAAAGCTTTCTCCCCAGGAATTCCAAGCTCTTTATCTTTTGTGGCACCATACGCGAATAAGATGGCATCATAATGTGGCTTCAGGGCAGCGAGCGGCAGGTCATGTCCGAGATCGATATTACCGACGAAGTTGAAACGCGAGGACTCGGCCACTTCTGTGAATTTATCCTCGCAGTTCTATTATTATAACCATGAGCTTATTGCTACACACAATGTTGGATGTCGCCTCATGGCTGAATCGCAGTATACCATGACTTACCTTGACTTCGGGGTGGTCTGGGGCAACACCATATCTAGCTAGGCCGAATGGCACAGGCAATTTCTCGTACATATCAACTATCGCGTCTTGCTGTTTGGCTAAAAGACGATAGGCCGCATAGAATCCCGCCGGGCCGGAGCCGACAATAGCCACGCGAACGGGTCTATCAGTTTGCGCGACATGGCTGTTGAAGCGCTTGGACGTGAACTGTGATGCAAAGCTCTGGTGTCGCAGTGGAGGCCGGCGAGTAAGTCGCCCAGTGCATTGAGCACATCTAAAGGCTTGATCTAGGCGCATGGTGTATGCGGACCGAGAACCCGTGCAGGTCATCGGAGATAATGAGATAGTGCACGTGACGTTATCGGTTGCCCCGGGCGACAATCACATGTTTGCGGTTGTAGGCGCCCATCTGAGCACATCCCAGTAGCTGACAGTCGCATTCCAGATTCCTCAACATTCCTGTTCCTTTGCTTCGCGTGGATGCCACGAGAGGCCTTCAGTCGCTACCATGGGGAGATCGTCGCCTCCATTCCTCTATGAGCGCCCGTCCGCCTACAATTTCAAAGGTCCCACCGATCGCGGGTTCAACCCAAGAGCCGTGACAGAGGCGAGCTGGAGTCGTCCAGCAGAAAAGCCCAAGAAAAAAGGACCATTGGTGAACCTCAATCGCCACCCTGATACAGTATGTGCAATTCTTCGGGAATTTGTGTGGGGTTTCTGCTAATGGCGGATGTAGTGGGGTTCTTTTAATACGGTCAGCTCATTTACACCGTTGAGCCACAAGACAAAGAATCGAGTCAAGTATGCACGGGCAACGCAGCTAGCTCTTCGGGTACTTACCCTTTTGGGAGCCCTTGGTTCCCTATTTTGCTCTATCGTTATCAAAGGAGCTGCAGCGACTGTCATCTGGATCATTCGCACCGGCGTGAGTAGGGTTCACTCAATGAAAACTGTTTTCCGCTGACCACTATCGCAGCCCATAGTCGCGATCCTCCATACAATCTATGGAATCTACCATAATTCTAGATCTGCTCTCGCGCGACCCGCCGGTTCTCAAGCCAGCTATGGACTATTCGCTTCCATCCTGGATCTGGGACTCATTGCATTTTATGTGTTTACAGCGTTCATGGCGTTTGGTGAATGGAACTCCAACGCATATAACTGGAGTACTCTGTTCAACAACAGCGACATGATCATCAAGATTTCTGAAAGCACCTTCATCTTGGCTCTCGCAAATGGCGCAATGCATCTCGTGTCTCTTGCGATATCGATTTTCCTTGCTATTACCTTCCGGAAAATCTCTCGCCTGCCACCTGATATGAATCCACTTGAAGACAACCTAACTGCACGCCCGCGCAAGAGCCCCAAGGAAGCTGAAGTGGAAGAAAAACATCTTAGTCAATCAACTTTCAATTCCACTGCCGAGGACCCGCTCATCGGATCTCCTCGCAGTGTACCATTCATGCATACACGTGAACAGTCACTTGGTGGTGACTCCAATCGTGGGTCTATGGGCATGGTCGATGAGCATCGACATTCCCAACCCTTCTATCAACACCGCCTATCGCACTTGGAATCCCCGACAGAGCCTTCCAGCCCCGAGATGTTATTCCAACACCCCGTGAGTCAGCCCTATGACATCACATCACAGACACTTGTCCCGGAATATCGAAATGTTGCCTCGCATGCTCCTGAGATCATCAATGCTACTGCTCACACGCGGAATTTGTCGTCACGTACTGCCGATCGATCAGATACCGTCAGCCCCTTGTCTGGTAACTGGGTGGCATACTCTGAGCGGTCTCTATCGCCAACGGGGGATGAACAAGATGCAAATGAGAATACTCTCCGCCAGTCCTCTTCTGTTTACAGCCGCCAAACTAACAAGACTCCTACATCCACCGGTAATGGTATTCGAGACTGGTTTGCTTACGGTTCCAAGCCAGAGCCAAGCATCGGAAGTGCCATTCCAGAGGACGTCCGTGGAGAGTATGCGTCGCTTGCCATGCATGAATTCTACGGCCTTGATGACAATCATCGTGAACAAGATGTGGGCGATCAGCGCATGGATATCTTTCCCGATCCAGCAGAGCACAACGACTTGGACGATGAGCATGATGACTCGATTCCATTTAATCCGCTCATGCTCAACCCACCAACTCCGCAACCTATTCTGACTGCGCAGCCCGAGAATACCGATCCTGTGCGACGTATTGCTTTAAGTGACAATCCAAATCTATCTTACAACGAGAATGCACAGCCCATCTCAGTGCCCCACGAAAGCCCCATCCCTAGTTCGCCGAAGAGCCGATTCTATGGCGACCTAGACGTGGATGGCAAGCCTGGATTGGACACAACCCGCGAGCCAAGTGTTCAAATGGCCCGCAAGCCCACCAAGCTGATCAAGAAACGCAGCAGCAAGATGTCTGCATATGAGGCGCTTAAGAAAAATGACAGCGATGAGGAAGATGGAAACCTCTCAGCTAGGATGGCTGCTTCGCCTCGCGCGACTGAAAGTGATCGCAAGGGTCGTGTCGTGAGCAACACCGGCGCAGACACTGGCCGTCCAGGTGTGGCAGCTGGTGTTGGTGCCTCCTTGTCCTCATATGGGAGCTACATCGCCGGTCTGGGCGTTGGCCGCCGCCGCGATGTGAGTGGTAAAATTGCCGAAGAAGGGCGCAGCGATAACGTCCTCGATGAGCAGCCCACCCAGGAGAATATCAGCCAGGGACAGACTCCTAACGCTTCCTCCTCTCGGGCAGCTGGATGGGCTCGCTTTGCTGGACTTTGAATGTGATATCCATGATCTTTTATCTGCGGAGTTTATGGGTTGTTTTTATGAATGGCATGCAGCGTAATGCTTCTATTTGGGACTGCTTATATCCCCTTTCTGTTGGTTCTTTTGGAAATATGTGATCGGAATTGTTTTGATGTACTATGAATTTATCTGTGATGTATGTAGTTCTGAACCTCGAATGAATAATCTGATAATCTTTTTTCCTTCTACAAGAACACCAAAGAAGGGTTGAATATCTGAGTCTCTTCCTCAAGCTCGGTATTCTTGAGAGGATTTCTTTCTTTCTCCTTTATCGTCTGCCCGGAACAAGCCCAATTGATGCCCAGAGTCTCTCCCTGTATACTTCAAAGGCAGGAACGACAACCGAACCAAGATGGACTTACGAACTGAACAAAAACAATCTCTCTTCTACGCCATCCTGGATGTATCCCCTTGAGTACAGCAAGACAAATCGTACTACTGTAACGATCACATTGAAACGAGGCCGCCCGTCAACTCATCCCCTACCAGCCACAGTTGAACGCGAGAGATCAAACTCCCAGCGACACCCGATGTTCATAAGATGGGTATTAGGTATATATAGCTCTTCGCCTATACATGTATCTTCGATTCATCCATGGGTCCATTGTCACCACTCGACGGTTTGATCAGAACAGCTTCAATTGTCTCTCACTGATCTCTTGGTCTACAGTGAGTATTGCCAGGATTCCAGCTGGAATGTATCTTCTTCAATGCATGCTACCTATACATAAACTCGAAGACCAGCACAATCGGCCAGGAATCAAGGAATTTGCCAATCTGAAGCACGAGTAATCTCTAGATATCAAACCAAGGAATATTGGTCTTTACAGCCGTGATCGTGCCTTCCTCTACCTGCAGATAGGTGGATATACAAGCAGACTTCCATCCCATAGCAGCGTAGGTCTGTACAGAATGTCATACGAGTTACAATGGTACCCATGCCCGATACCATCGGATGCCAGTCATCTCTGGCTTGCCGCTTTTGTGGTCACAGGCGGAACATTGCCCTGGCTATCATCGTGTGTCTCATTGCTTGGGCAATCAAGTAGTTATCCCTTGAGCATACCTTTGTTCGCTTCAACCAGTTCGTGCTAATGAGAGATATGTGTGTGTGTATAGACACCACGCCCGCCAAGCACTCTTGAACCATCCTCAACGCGTCCGGATCGATGAATACCTCCGGGCGTTAGAGGACGAGGAGCAGAAGAGAAAGTGGTGGTTTTGAACGACCGGTGAGTGACTTGAAGGACACCTATGGGAAGTTTAGGTTTTCAATACCTATACTAAACAGGGTGTGTTCCATAAGATCCTGCCGTGTTTAAACAGACAAATGTCCAGACTGGCCCTGGCTTGGGCTTACCTCCCGCTGCCCATATCGCTGTCTCTAGAGCTTGTTCGCCTCACCCAGGGCAATCACCTGCTGCCCCAAGCCAACGACAAAGGTGCCAATGCTGCCAAGATCGCGAGCATCCTGATGGGGAAGAGGGATAAAGGAAGAAGGGATGTAGTGTCTTGGCCAAGGCACTAGCAAGAGGAAGAATTCGAACCCAATCGCTGAGTGAAAAAGAGCTATGCAAACATCAACAGCATATGGCGAATAGCGAAAAAAAGCTATTCCAAGCAATAACTCCAGGAAATCGACACGGAATTGATGCAGTGAGCAGCTATGCACATTGCTGAAATGAACCCGATGCCGAATCTACAGCTATGTCTATGGAGGGAGCAAATTCAAGATGGATCATCTCAGTTCTTGAGATTGCGACAAAGGGCAGTGAATTCAGTCTGGGCTGAGCGGAGACAGAAAAAGGAAGGGCTTTGGTTCTGAGGGAAAAGAGAGAGCTTTTCCTCCGACAGATCTTGTTGCTCGTCGTTCTTTGTTCAAAACACCTACCCTGGAACCGGCCAGGATGGCGTGGCTGGCTTGATTTGTCTTTTATCTGGTCGATTGACTTGTCTTCTACTTAGCCTGTTGGGTATTTTGGGTATTAGGGCTTTATGTTATTTGTTTTTTTTCTATATTGTTATAGCAACAGTCCTCGCCTGGGCTTGTTTCATGTTATTTGGTTATCCACACTGGAAGTTTCAGTTCCTAGATTCTCCTATTAGTATCTAGTCACCTCCAGGCGTGCCAGGAGAGATATCACCGAGTGCTGGTTGAACTGTATAAACGAACTTATGAAGGTACACCCTCATATTCCCATCCTTCAATGACACGCTTTCTGCGCCGAGAGTTCCGGCGGTTGGCATTACACTTGACAAAGAAAGTCAAGGCTGTGATAATAAGAATAATGATAGCCGCGATCGCGGAAACAAGTACAGTTTTGCGCTCAAGTTGCTGCGGGTCAGAGGCATAGGGACATTTTGCCTCATGGCCACCAGATACCCAGCAGGAAGTAACATCAATGGAATTGAACTTCAAATAGACCTCTCGCTGGACAGGATTTGTGGATCCAGGATCGATCGTTGTCTTCGGCAGAGAGAGAAGATGGTTGTAGAGGTACGTATTTTCAAGACCAGTGCGCGGGACTGCAAAACTTGATCCAGGTGGACAGGTCCCCGAGACGTTGCCGAAATATGTAGGAGAGTCAGATAGAACCCAGGAGAATGGCGAATTGCCGATTCGACAGGCGGCACGGCGCTCGTCGGTGCAGTTCGTGGACCGCCAGTGGCCATCGAGCGTTAGATCCATGATCGCACAGCGGTCATACTTAGGATCACCGTCGCCGCCGGCATACTCCGCGTCTTGTGGCTCACCAATAGCCCAAGCCCAAGAAGCCGAGAGGGAGAAATTGCGATAGTGCTCAACGTGCTCATCAGCAGTCTGACCGAAGAGGGTGGTGTTGAGTGTTGGCGAAAGACCACAGGCTGTTATTTCAGAGAGGACATTGGACAGAGAGGCCATAGTTTCATCGGTCAACAGACCATCAGGAACAGGAATGACATTCGACATTGCCCATGATGAGTTGGTTTGAGATACATCTGTGGCCTTGGGCTCATATCGACAACCCGATGTGAGAGTGCCGTTAGTTGTTGTGAAGGGCTTCAGATTAGAACCCAGATGCCCTGGAGGGAAAACCATATTTTTTTCCGTGGAAAAATCATAACCCGTCAGTTGGGAATCGATAGAGCCATATTCGACAAGCACTCGATCACGTTTCGCAAGTTGAATGTACTTTGAGGATGGCCAGCCATCTGGGGTACTCTGTTCGCCTGCTTCATTTTCATGAACGGTAAAGTACTCTGTGATAGGCATATAGCTCTGCTCGACTTGATACCATGACCTATTCAGATTGCTTCGGTCGGAAACAAGCTGCGCAGGGCTGTAGGTAAAGTCGGCTAGGGCCGTTCCGAAAATTGAGCCAGCGCGTTCTGTTTCAGATGGCATTTGGGTCCCTTTTATGGCAGAAGCGGGCTCATCTGGCGTAGATTCGCTTGCGGCGACATGAAGATTAAGGACAAGATAGGTCGTATACACGGTCAACTGGGAGTTTGTGTCCCGGAAATAACCCACAAGCACTTCCGACAAGGTGTCAGGACCAAGGCCATCGGTGCATCTATAGGAGCCCAGCTCATATAGGGTGTGTCCATGTGAATCGCTAGCGCTGGTAACAGATGCAGGGTCTGCGCTAGCGCCAGTGGTTGTGGGTTTCGCTGTAATCGTTGAGGTTTGCGAAGCCTTGTTCTCAGTAGAGGTCTCCGAGGAGATGGTCACATCAGGATCAACCGGAACAGACACCGGGCAGAAAGACCAGGCCCTACGATCAACCGACCAATATAGATCGACAACCAGCCGTCTGTACCCGATTGCTAGGAGGTTGGAAAAGCATTTCGCAGCGGACACTCGGTCATAGATCCGATTTCCGAAGCAGGCAGCTGATAGAGACACGGAGGGATTTGTTACAAAATTAAGTGGAATTTGACCGGCGACGTCTCGTTCACTCTATATCAATCTCAATTAGCACGCGCGGGGGACATTAACTGCGAAAACACTCACCAAAAGCACAGCCACCCAGGTCGCGTTTAACAGGGTGGCCGCAGAGTCATATTGGGTAGACATTGAGCTTAGACATAGAAATAACTGTAAGGCGCATTATGGGGTTTACATAGAAACGCGATGAGCATGCATATGATGCGAAGGGCAGAGTGAACCGCTTGGCCGGGGAAGTCGGTAGGGCGGACAAATCAGCTGAGTCAATCTGGCCACTTCTCTTTCTCTCACTCACACAGCTCCTCCCCAGCTTGTGCCTTTCGCTTCCTTTTCTCTTCTGTTTTAGTTGTTCTATCCAATTTCTATTTCAAAATGGCCGCGCCCGGCCAGCCCAGCCCTCAGCAGATGGCGGCCATGCAACAGCAGTTCGTCGCCGAAGCCGCCAAACGAGGGTTGACCCCCCAACAGTTCGCCGCACAGCAGCGTGAACAACTCACCGCTGATGCTGCCAAACTTGGCCTGACTACTGAGCAATATGTCGCGCAGTTGCGGATGCGAGCAATGCAAGCCCACCAGCAACAACAGCAACAGCAGCAGCAGCAACAACAGCAGCAGCCCCAGGCTGAACAACAGGGTCAAGCTACGCCAGAGGGACAACAACAGGCTCCGTCACCCGCACCCCATCAGCACCAACACCAACACCAAACCACACAACAGGTTCCTGTGAACCCTAATAACCCCCGGACCCAAAGGCATTGGCAGTGGCCAATTTCTTGCGGTCGCAGAACCTTAAACCACGCACATGTATCATGGACGGACAGCGCAAGGACATGTTCAAGGGTAAGCCAGCGATTACACCCCAAGTATCTCATGGAACAGGCAAATCTAACATGTTTTCTTTCAATTTAGTCAAGCGCGCAATCCGAGCCATTGAATCCCCCGCCTACGTCAAAGCCGCCTCAAAGAAGAACTCCCTCCTCCCCCAGTGACCGACCGCGCCTCCGCCGAGAATGTGTTCAAGCTTCTTCCCCTTTCTCTTTTGGCTCTCCGAGTGAGCAAGGTCGACCCTCACGAAGGCCACAACCATGCCAAACCTAAGAACCGCACCAAGGGTCTGTGGACCGTGAAGATCGAGCAGCACCAGGAGACCGATCCCATGATGCATTATGTGTGGCTGTACGACGGCCCTCAGTGGAAGCAAAAGGCCATGGCCGCTGCTGTGGTTGCGGGTATTTTTGCGGTCGTTCTGTTCCCGTTGTGGCCTATGTTTATGCGCCAGGGAGTGTGGTACCTGAGTGTTGGCATGATGGGACTGCTCGGTCTCTTCTTCGCCATGGCTATCTTCCGTTTGATTCTGTTCTGCGTTACTGTCTTCACTGTTGCCCCGGGTCTTTGGTTATTCCCCAATCTTTTCGAGGATGTTGGATTCTTTGACAGCTTCAAGCCTCTGTGGGGCTGGCAAGAGGTATGCTCCTCTCTCCTCTCTCCTCTCTGTTTCAGGCTAGGGCTAAACTAACTCCAATTCTATAGACCAAGAAGAGCAAAAAGTCCCGCAAATCCAAGGCCACGGCCTCTGCTCCCGCTCCAGTGACCCCAGCCCGCCCCTCCGCCGCTTCAGCAGAAGCTCCCTCGGCAACCACCTCCTCTGCCGAGCCTACCTCAACCCCATCCGCCGTCGCAGTGCGAAGAGATCTGAGCGCACGCGTGGAAGAGGAGGCCGAGTAGTGTTACTATGTTCTGAATGATATCCAAAGCTGACAGATGACAAATAGTCTGCGGCTGGTGCCTTTTCTTTTCTTTTCTGATTTACTTAGGTGCCTTGCATGGGATATTTCCGCCCCTTAAGATTTCTCTTATCCATTCCGGCGTTTTGGATCTTACTCCTATGAATCGATATCATCGCAAAGCCTTTCTTTCCCTGGGTCTCAGGGCTGTATGTAGTCACTACCATAGCCAAAAACTAGCCGTCTCTGTTTGCACTACAGTATACAGCATGGAATTGATGTAGACTTGTTCTGTTGAATGATGTAGATAGTAGACATAAAGAAAATCCGATGATGAACCGGGTGCAGCTCTATTTTATATGCCCAATGCAAATCCACGCTGGACCCTAGAAATTCCCCACGACTGGAGCAAGTGACAGAAAATAGATAGAAAAGACAGAATTGAGAAGAGATTAGGGAGCACAGAGGTTCCGATGCAAAAGGGAAAATATAATAAAAAAAACGGGGTATATACAAGAACAAATGCCCGAACGTGATATGCGAGACGAAGGGAGGTAATGGGGTAGTATAGACAGATGAAAGTTCTGCACAGAAAGGTGGATGTTGCCATTTGTGTGCAATAAGAGAATGAATATGACAGACCCTCGGATATGCAATAAATGCACAGGGTATTGGATGCCGAGGCCTCAAATGCCAGATGCAAAATGGTAAAGGAAATGGTATACGGAATGTATCTCAGGGTATTTTCATGGAAGATAGGATCGTAGCATGAAGGGAAAGTCAAGGGGCGTGAGGGGTATTGATATCAGGTGAGGGCAAGGTCATGTATGTGATGTTGAGTCACAGAGAGGGTCATTTAGACAAGGGAACCATTGACCAGTTTTGAATGGTGAGCATTTGGTGGTACATCGATTGGAGCATCGATACTGCTCCTCGGTAGATCGCCTACGTGATCCCGTACTGGCTGGGATCCGTAAAAGCGTTGCGTTGGGGACGTCGAAGACCAGGGAGATAGCGTCTGCGGAGTGGTCGTGGTCGTCGTGGTAGGAGTTATGATGTGGGCGCTAGGAAGGGGGAAAGCAGGGATGGAAGAGGGAAGTTTAGGGAGTGGACATTGAGGAGGTGGAGCAGATGGAGGCCCAATTGTTAAACCAAGGCCCGGCATGCTTTTGCGACGCAGCCCATTCGAAGGACCTTGATTGTCGGGGTCCACAGCAGAGACTCTGTGGTGCAGTGTTGGGTCTGGTGACAGAGGAACGATCGGGGCTGGAATGCCGCAGCTGGTTTTGGGACATGTGCCGGAACGAGCAAGCTGGCTAAGAGGGCGGGAAGAAGCCCTGGGATCGGGTAAAGGTCTCGTAGGAGGTGCTGTTGTGGGCACACGGGAGAACTTTTGGGTGGTCTGGGCTGAACGAACGGTCTTGGTCAGAACATCCTCGGAATTTGTCGCCCGCAGTACGCGTTTGGGTTCTGATGAATCTCCATAGCGCGAGCTGCTGGCGCTGAATGTCGGAGAGTGCGGAGGAGATGCAAAGTTCGCCATGTTTGGGTCGGTCTCCCGACGTGCAAACGCATTGGTTGATGAAGGAGGAGAAACGTGAGAGATAGGGATCGGTCCAGATCTCGGGACAAATTTCTTACTAAACGAGGGAACACTAAAATTTGGTGCCGGGGGTGAAGCACAACGGATGATAGCCTCGGGAACATTGGCCGGTGGATGAGTTGGTTGTTGATCCTCGGTGAAATCAGCGATGGGGGGAGGCTGAGGTGGCGAGGACGTATACAATGACTGCCGTTTCCCATGGCTAGAGGCGGGCAGGTTGCGCGTGTGGATTCGGTCGAGCTCTTCTGGCAGAGGTTCTTCAGATCTGAACACACCGTTCCCCAAGGGCGGAGAGTTGGGAATATTCGAGGAGGTGAACGACGAGGAGCGCATGTCAGAACCATTGGTAGGATTTGTGGCCTCAGTCCGACTAGTTGACACCGATCCGGACCGAGATTCAATTATCGAGCGACGATTGACCGACACATATGAGCTGCGACGAGATTGCCATGTCGTAGCACTGACAGACTGACCATCCTCCTCCTCGGTAGGTGATTGGAGGGTTTGGGGCTGAAGGAATAGGCTGGAGATGCGATGGGGATCTTTCTTCACCATCTGTCGAACGCTCGATTTATTCCGCAACTGAGGCATTGTGTCATCGTCATCCGAGTGCTTCTCTTCCGTGATCTTGCGTCCCCCTCGTTTCTCGATCTCCGTTCTAATCGCCGCTAACCAAGCTATCATAGCCTCGGGGTTATCAAATACGAGAAGGAAATTCCGCGAAAACCGCCGGGGATTAGACTTGTGGAAGCCAAAACGCGAGAACCGAGGCTTGGGGGCCTCTGGCACGATGGAATCATCAGCCGTCGGATTGGAAGAGACCTGGACCACCCAATGTCTCCCAGGAATCGCGTCACTCGCAAACGCAACAGAATTAGGACCTAGCAGCAACATCCTCTCCGGAAGACGGTCATGCTTTCCCTCGCCTGTATATTGAAGGATGTAGCCAGCCGTTGTGAGGACATATATTTTCTGCGTCCATTCTACCTTGTTGATGGTGCCCGAAAGTGTCCGAAGATGCTTCTTTTGTTTTTGTTCCTTCTTCCTGCGAGCGGCATCCGCTGCGTCATTCTGCTCCAGGGGGTTGATGTGATTCTCGTCGGTAGAGCTTCTTGCAGTCGTAGCATGGAGGTGTAAGATGTAATTAGGTGAGATATTAGGTGCCGTCAGACATTCATGCTTGGTGGATTGAGGATAGGCCTGGAACAATGGGGGAGGCTTCCATCCATACTGTTCCTGGGACGCTGAGTTGGGATCCGGTTTTGGGCGGGGGACCTTTGAGGTTCGAGATCGTTGCTCCGTTGGGGAGGTAATGGTGGCATTTGTATCTATTGTGCTCGGGCTCATGAGCGAAGGTGACATAGGGGCTCCGGAAAGAATGGCTGTTTGAGGCTCCGACGGCTGTGCTTCTACAATCTCCTCCAACTTGGGCTCGGGAGCCGCGCGCGACGCCTTGTCGCGATGGAAAAGGTTGCGCAGAGTTGTTTTGGACGATTGGCGTTTAACCGGTTGAAGCGGAACCGGACCTTCTGAGCCATTGGTACTGGGGTACTCAGTTGGCCGGGGGCGTTGTAAACGGGATTTGGATGGGGCATCTGGTCGACTGAAGTTCGTCTGCAACGGCGCCAGTCGATGCCCTCTGCGCTCGCCAATTGATGCCTGGGCATCTGGATCCATTGTCGCAAGGAGCGTATGCGCTCACGGAGAGCTGTCAGGGCAAAACAAAGCAGAAAAAGGAGCGACAAGGTTTGATTACAAAGGGCAATGATCGTCGGAATGACAGGCGGACGTGGGCAACGACTTTTCCGACGTCATCGCAGGTCAAATCAATTTCTCAGTCTCTCAATTTCTCAATTTCACGGAAGCGAGAAAGGACTCTTTTACCGTGTGAAGACGTTCATCCGAAAAAAAAAAAGACCCTGCCAGGATTTCAAGGGGAAATTTGCATTGAGACTAGTCGCAACTGCCGGTGGGGGGATCTACTGGTGATAGTGTGCGTCCACGGGGGGGCCAGACCGGGGATAAGACACAATTTGTGACAGAGAATATGACCAAAATTAAGGCGAATACGGAGTACTCCGTAGTCCCCCAGGCATTATTAGCCCGGTGAAAATAGAAGAAAAACTCCACCTTTCGCCCCAAATTCGAGAGGCCCGGGGAGATCCAACGATACATCAGAGCATTAGACCGGACCACATTTCAATCCCTGACCAGGATCAACCGCACCCATCAGGCCAGCGCCCTGGTCACAATGCTGCGCCATCGCAACATCTTTTTGTGTGAACCCCCGTGGACGATGGGTCGTCCAGTGCACGTCGACGGAGCCAATCCGCTACATCGCGTTAGCCTTAATTTCCTTTTTTTCTTGGGTCCAGGCACCGAGATTCGATTTGCTAATTTGGAACTTACCACCGTCATAGTGGGATGATGTTTCTTGGACGCGCTCTCGGCCGCCACCATATTAACAAACGCCTTTAATAGATTGTCAGCTTGGCCAATTGCGGTATAGGCAGATGCAGCCCCATTCCAGAGATGACCAGAAAATCACTCACAACGGCCTTAAAATAACTCTTAAAGTGGAATGTCTTGGTGACCCCCATCCCATCTCCATCCTGCGACCAACCCTGCTGCAGTAGACTCTCGGCGTCGCGAGCCAGCTGCTGCGCATCCTCGCCCTCGGCGAACTGAAACGCGGTGGATGCCATTCTCGGGAAGCGTCCGAGGGGGAATACAGGTGAATGTAGACGCGTGGATAGTCCTGGGCGAGGTTGGACGCTAGAGATGCGTCTCACACAGAGACGCATAGGAGTCAAGCTGTTCATTTTCTATTGGTCCGAGGAGTTGGAAGGAAGAGAAAGCGGTGTTTTTGTTCCTGAGGGCGCACGGGCCAAGGGTCTTATCGGTCTGGTCTTAAATTGCTTCTTATTCTCTTCCTCTACCCCTACAACATTCATATAGCGTTGGTTTCTGATTGATGAACCGATCGGACTAAATCGCAATCGATTGGAAATCCCAGATTCAAGCGGGGCGTTGAATCCTGAATCCATCCACTTGGCCTGAGATGGCCATCTGATATAGATTGCCCGAAACCCACAATGGAAATGGATATCCATGGAGTCTTGATCATACCGGGGAATTCCAGGTAGTTTCCAACAGAATCCGCCTGGGATATATTACTGAGCGGAGGCATTCGCAGGGACCTCGTCCGCACCACAGAGTGTATGCTTGCATGTACCAAGACTCCTATGAGCCTGCAGGGCCTACATGGTACATATGCACATGGAGCATGAGAATATTGCAGATCCAATCCGGGTGAGGTGATATTAAACTAGAATTAACATTTGACCCTAGTTCACAGTGTCTGGGTTACTTCCGAGACAGACGCCCCGAGCCACAAGCCATCGATGCGACCCAAGCTCGAGGCCTAGCAGTCTAAAAGGGAGTAGCGTTTCCTGACCGGGTAGTCAAATCATTGACCCTTCATCACATTGACTCCATGCTTTATACGGACCGGAAGCGGCCGGGGACAACCCCAGATTCTCCGAAGAATACCACATCGTCTCGAGCTTGTTCTGGGGGTCGGGTCCCATCAAAGACCCGGTGTCGTACTAGCGTGCTACTGCATACTACTGCATACCCAGCATAGAGCTCGAGATCGCCACAGACCTCGTGCTCTGGAGATGCCTCCCCATTCTCAACGGTAGATCATTGCTTGTCTAGGAAAATAATAACCAAACCCCTGTCATTTTGACTCTACTGTAGACTCGCCATAATAACAGCCATGGAGCAATGTGACTAGCCAATAATAATGGTATCATTCATAGCTGGTATCGCTGAGTCGCGACAACGCTTAGCATACATAACCCCCCTCAGATCATAGATCTCGTCTTTCAAGTTAAAGCAAGCGCGATAAAAAAGAGAATTAGTGTATAGGCCTCCTTTTCCATCGCAATCCAAATCCCCCCTTGTATTGAGAGCGCGCAGGGACAAAAAGCCACAGCCCGGAGGTGGGATATCCACCGAGCATTGGGAGCTATAATTAAAGTGAGCTACGCACAGCGCAGGGCTCGTGCGATTGAAAACATGCAGAGGGAAGAAATGTGAAAGTGCTCATGAATTCATACAGCGATTCCAGCCCGATGGCTGTCCCCAATGAAGTTGAGTATCCACAGCAAAGATCGGAGAACGATCAAGCATTGACATTGATGCTGTTGCGGCGCGAGTTGACTTGAGAGTTGACTCGTGAGTTGCCTCGACTGCCGAATCCTGGGCGGATGCGGAGGTCCTGTTGAGAGCGTGCATATGAGTTCGCGCGAGATGCCTGGGGAATCTTTGATCCTCGTCGGCTCTCCGACTGTATTTGGTTTCGGGCATCCTCAAGCTGCTGCGCGAATGGAGAACGCTTGCGTAGTGCCGGACCCTTCCAGTAGATGATATAGACCGCAACAACAAGTGGTACCGAGATGCAGACTGGAAGAATATTAGAAATCTTGGAGAATAAGTCGAAGACAGAGTGGACTTACAGAGGATAGTTGAGGCATTTTCAAGATGGTACTTGCCACCGATATCTGTCAAACATTGTCAGTGTGAGGTTGCAAAAATAAGATATGATTCCTGAGGTCAACAGGACTACTTACTTGTGTAGAATGGCGTAGCGGGAATGGTAAGCACACCAGCAAGGAAGTCTCGAGACCATCCGTTACCGCCAGTTGCAGAAGCAGAGTATGGTCCGTAGGCGCAAATCATATAGTCGATAGTGGCCATGTAAATTGCGTAATTCGCAATGCCGATGATAGCGGAAAAGATCATAGATCCAATCCAGTGACATTGAGGCAAGCTGGTCCAGGCGAATCCGATCAGGCCAATGGGTAGGCAGGGAGCAGTATACAGCAACCACCACAAGCGCGACTCGTACTGAGCCCGTTCGCTTTCTGGATTTTCGCGTCGCTCTCTGATATTGCGTTTGATGACCGGGAAGAAGGAGAACCAAGCGATGAAGTATCCGACGACGATTGGAATGAAAGCCAGACCCTTTTGCCATGTATTGAAGCCCCATTGGCCGTACACAAGGGAAAGCGACTGGATGAACATGAAAATGAGGGCGTCGCTGAAACCACTCAACAACGACAGTACCAATACAATGGGCTCAGTCAGGAACATCTTGAAAGGGCGGATCCAAGTAGCCATGAGCTCACGAGGAGGGAAACGCTGGCGGAAAGATATGCCCTCAGTGGGACCGTAGATATGAGGGTTCTCGCCGGACTGGCGCATCTTTTTCGCAATTTTGTCCATCATCACGGTTGTTCTGGTTTCTGGGACGAAGAGGAAATGGGCAATTTGCACGAAACCACCGAAGATCAACTGGATCCAGATGTTCCATCGCCACGGCAGGAAAGCTTCGACGAAGCCACCAACCACCGGACCAAGCACGGAGCCGCCAACAGACGAGAACACGACGGCGGCCACGGCGTATTGTTGGGAATCGGGCTCCCACAAATCGGCAATCATTCCCAGGGTAACCGAGCCACCCGCGGATGAGAGACCACCGAGGGCACGACCGACCATGATGGAGGCGAAGTTGGGTGCCAGAGCCACAGGAAGCTGCCAGATATTGACGAGGAACAGAGATGCCTGGAGAATGGGTTTGCGACCCAGCTCCTCACTCCATGGTGCCCAAAGTTCACAACCAAAGGCGTAAAGAACCAAGAAGATCATCGCACCACACCGCGCAGCTTGCATGGAAACATTAAACTCCTCCGAGATTCCAGAGGCTGCGTTCGAATACAACGATGTGTTGAAGTTCATAGAGGTTTGCACAAGAAAGATGACGGTGATGATGGTCCACTTCTTGGTTTCACTGAACGAGTATCCCAGTTGATCGTAGCACATGTCCTCAGTGAGCTCCACTTGACCCGGAGCCGAGGGCGACGGCGAGGCGTCCTCCAGCTGATCATCCTCCAATTTTTCAGTGGCAGCATTTACCACAGCTTGGGCGTGGGCTGCTTCTGCAGCCAGCACAGGGTCCCTCATACCGGGCTTCTCGGAGTGGATCGCCATTGTTGATTCCAGTGACGTAGAGCGGGAAGTATAGTATAGGTAAACTGGCAACAAGACCAGCAAGAGTAAAAGAAAAACCCCACAAACTGAGGATGGTAGAGTGTGGAGAGATCAATATAAAGGAAACGGGGAAAAAAGAGACCACGGGGGACAGGCAGATTAAATACGGAAACGGTGAAAAAGGCAAGTGCCCGATGCAAGCAAGAGCCAAGGAACCCTGTTTTGTACAGTTTGCGTACACTCCCAGTTCCAAGGTTTTTACCTTTCGCATTACCTAGGTACAATTCATTCGGTCGTCCATGATGTATTACGGTACTATACTGTACCTCGTGTTACCCCCATACTCTCCAGATGTCTGGCGGGATGCCGATACCGTGATACCCACTTCTTTTCTCTTCCCCAGACTTTCTCTCTCTCTTGGCCACATCAGATCTACAATGCACCTCCTATGCCTTCTTCTTGTGCGTACCTGATTACCATTACAGAAAACATAAACCGTTGGGGATTCCGGTCTCCTGGTGCCCCTAGGGCAGAGTGGAACCGGATTAGGAAATCCACACGGATTGGGGTAAGACCCACCTTGGAGAACGATGACCGTGGTATTTGCCCCCAGTCTCTGGAGCAATGGCCTTCCCCGGAGACAATACGCTCTGGGCCGATCGGAATGTCCCGTTTCGGGTTGATTTCGCCATGCAACATCAAGTCTACATTAGCCTACGGGGTACCAAGTACAACATGAAGGAGATCGGGACGTCAAATCCATGTGCCCCGCTAGGCAAGGACTCGGGATTATTGCCGACCGTGTACCGGGCCGCATGGTTCTCCATAAAGATTATACGCGAAACAAAGGCCCATCTCAAAATAACGAGTGATTGACAACACCGGGGAAAAAACGCCCATGGGTCGTATCGATATTGACGGGTTCCTGTTCAAACAAGCCATTGCCAAGTCTACTTGGCTGAGCGTGACGTCAAGACACACAAATTAACCAGCGAAGTTGAGATCTTAGAGCACCTGGGCAGGTACATACTGCGGCTAAAATGTACTAAACTCACCATGGCGTGTTCCATTGCGGGCGTGGCGTTCAGACGATCGTCCCAGCGCCGAGGCCACCACTCTTGTTCTGACGCTCGGGGTATGCTTACCCTGCTCGTGAGACTGGTTTTTTTTTTGTTACTTCCATTCACTGGTCAGCCTTGAACGTCGGGCCGATCATCGAATCCTTCGATCTGCAAACAACATCCGATTCGGCGCTTGCCCACTCTTGATTTCCAGAACGCTGAGCCGAAGGCTCTCGATGACTTGTCGTTCACACGGCCGAGGGAAGACCTGATCAGAAATCCCTTGCAGCACGTCTTTGCTGCTATAGGCAGTATGTAGTTCTTTCCGTTGCCCATTGGGGGAAAAGGCCAGAAACAAAGTTTCTCAAGTCACATCCCCCAAGGGGGGACCGGGCTTACAACACACATTGTCCGCAAACAGCCACGATCGCGGGCGCACGTCCCTGGGACCCGGATTGGAGATGCGCCCTTACATTCCTGCACATGGCAATTCATATCGTATCTGAAGCGCCACGCGATTCTTTGCGATTTTTGCTGATCTTTGCGGCGATCCCCGAAACATTCTTGATGCTCATCCATGTACAAGGGTGTACAGCCGGAAGCCGCTTTCTAGATGTACACACACGACTCAAAACATCCAACGAATGTTAATTTGGCGCCACCCGGAGACGCCGGCGAACTCTTTACTGTAAGTTTGCCATACGAGTACCCAGGGGTACAGGGGGAAGTTGCTCATGGGGCTCGACCTTGGTACTTCGAGTAGTATAACCCATGTTCCGGAAGAATCCTATAAGCCCCGAGAAGGGAAGAATGCATACTAAGCCACTCGGGGTGTAAAGAGATCTAGAGCGGCTGTGATGAGGATGTGACGGTATGTACTCCTGCCCGAGAGTATTCTATCTGTTCTCCTTCCCAACAAAAAAGAAAAAGACTGTACCAGTTTAATAGCCTCAGACATGAGTTTACAAACAAAATTGGATCATGTGATCCAACCCCGCGAGAAGGACACTGAGTCAGCAGGGCGCCTCACTGGGGCTGACGTACGATGTAGATTAGAGCTTCCATCATCACCATAGTCTTTGACATTCAACTTTTTGTACATGAAAATGCCACCAGATTTGAATTCTCTTCCTCCATCTCGCTCGTCTTCAATATCATCCTCGATCGCGCAACGCAACATGGCTGCTACTACCGGGACTGGCCCGGCGCCCGTGAACCCCAATACTGCTTCACCAAGGACCTCCCGTGGCTCGAGCATAGGAGGGAGACTATCGGTATCTGAGCGCCGTCGGTCCACGGCCGGCCTGAATCTAAATCCGAACGAGATGCAAGGCACCGGTCCGGGACATAACGGCGAGTACCCTGCTTCAGACCACCGCAGCTCTATCGGACATGCATTCCGCACCGCCAGCCCATCTAGCCACGGTGGGAGCCCTATCTTTGCAACAGCAGATCCCCATCATCAGCGGGCACCCTCGCTGGGAGAATTGCACCAAGAGCTGGAGCAAGAACAGGAAGCACAAGTGGTGAGTGGATCGTCATCTACAGACGCTGGATTACTCTAAGCTGACCAACTCGGGTTAAACACAGAACCGATTGCTTCAAATGATCCGTAGCCAACAGGCTCAGTTACATCAATACCAGCAACAACAGAACCCGCAGTCAACAGCGGCAATCGATGACACAACACCGGCATCGGAACGGTCAGCATTCTTTCCACCGGTCCCTGCGGCACCGCCAGCCGGCAACAGATTATCGATCTCGTCCTCGTTCTCAAACCGAAGACCGTCGAGACCCTCTAGTCAGGCAGCATCGCCGAATCTGCGGCCATTAGACTCGCGCGGACCAGAAGGCGTGGAACCATTCCCGGGATTGCGGGATAATCTCTCTCGGCGTGGCAGTCGAGATGAGAGTGCATTTTACCAGGCCGAAGCTAGTTCTTTAAGCCGAGAAAATACCCTTCTTCGGCAGCGAATTCGGGAACTAGGTAAGAGCTCCTTGTTTTAGCGTTCATTGATTCTGCGGAGTAACCCCACCCGCGAGGTGGGGATCTATTCAAGCGCGTGTACTAACTTTGTCTGCAGAGAGACAAATCGGAGAACTGTCGGCTGCCCAGAGTGCACCTTCTGCGACAACTGCTTCGGGCATGGCGTCTGGACAAGCGGAGGCCGAACCCGCGGATCTGCCTGCCATCGCTTCAACCCGAGATGGCAAAGACTGAAAGGCCCATCCCCCACGAGCCTTGAGCCGTTGAAGTAACCCCACGGGGCGATTATTGACACATCAGAGAATAATTCGCATGTCGTCCTAGTTGTTCGTTGCTCTATCGATGCATTACCGTGACGGAAATTAACCACAAAAAAACCCCCCTTGAGCCCTAAGCAACAAATGTTGCGTGATTTAACAATATTGGCGTCTAGACTTTTGTTAAGGGTCATCGAGTCTTCATTACTCTGGCTGATATTCCATGTTTCGGGGCCAGATGCGGGTGCATCCATCGTTCTTTTATGGGAATCTGTAGTGTGAATCCTTGCTGCTTGACCAGAGCTGCCGTCCTAACAATGTGACTATGCGTGGAGGAGTTGTGGTAGGCTGTTCCAAGCTTGCTCTCACTGATTACTAGCAAATTCTCCCCGGGCACTGTCGAGGTCCATACCCAGGCAACGGGCAGCCTTGAATTGATGTAGAAATACATATTTTGATCCGTTGATACATACTCCTTGACAGTACATGGTGATTTTTCCTTCATAACGTTATACTCCGTAAATGAATCGCTAATTCAGTGGCTCGATCCTTTGGGGTCCACTTGTAAGGTTTACAGTGCAATTTGCCAAAATGTCTCCAACTTAGATTAGGATAACCTTATAGGCAAAGAAAAACGGCAAAATAGCCATAGCTTCATAGTTTCAATCTCGCCGTCCAGTGTAGCAAGCCCTTTTGTGCAAATTTCATATTCACCAAAAACAGAAAGAAATCAAAAACCCAAGAACTATCCTAAAACCATGATAACAGTCAAAGCAGAGGATGAAAATGGACGGTTTCATTCACTAGACATGTCTCAATCTGCCAATCCATTTTAGTAACAGTCAGTATGATCTCAACTGTATGAACAACAAGAAGTATCATAAAAGGCCCTGCCACATCAGTGAGCAATCGCAAAAAGGCCAAGGGAATTTGACAGGCCATGCATAAATGCAACCGGGGCAATCGGCGGATAGTAGCCAGCTCTGGCCATCATAAACTGCAATAGTATAAGGTGATTCAGTACAATCATAGGTACCACCGGTCTGGTCTGGCAAGAACTACCGACAACAGCTCTTGCAGAGATCCCAGTAATGGCCAGTCCAGAAGAAAGGAGTAGGATTGGAGTTACATAATGAGCAGTAATATCCATGGATGGATATATGGGAACAGTATAGAGGTATACAGATGAGGATAGAACGATCTGATACTATACAAATTGCATCGACCTCAGCTAAGCTTCAGCGAGATGATATTTTAATATAAACTGCATTTGCGGTGTACTGGGCACAGCTCATCATGCTGCAGTGGACATGGCACTGCTGTAATCAAGTCCCCAAGTCTACCGAGGAGGAGGAGGATGAGGAGGAGGAGGAGGAAGCATAATTAGCACTTGATATCCAGATGTCCTAGAGATCTTTAGATGCAATTACAGAATTATTTTTCATACAATTCTTACTATATCTTCCATATTGTCCTAGCCAAATATCAGTTAGAGCCGTTGAACCCTCGAGGCGAAGAGATACCTAATAAGGCCAATCGTCCAGAAACACACTACACTTTCGCTACAATGGATCCGTGGATACAGTCCTGGCAAGGTATCTGATTGGTGCCATCTTGATTTAAGGTTCAGAGTGGAGCACATAATCTGGAGTAAAATCACCTGATGAAAGCACATGATACACCCAGGGGACGGTAAATGAAGTCCTTCCAACAAAAAAGATAGCTGCAACGGTAAAGTCGTTGACAACTTGACCCCCTGCACAGGCGGTAGTCCACGTATCTCCTGTGACATGGGTTTAAGGGAACTCAGATATTCAACGAGGTCTGTAAGGGCCCCTATGAGTTTCCCCGGACTATTTACACGGTACCTATATGTGTACGTCGACATAACTCTAAAATCATGTAATCCTGACACTATCATTTACCCTTCGACGCAATTTGATTTAAAAGGGAAACACGTTTCTTGAAGCTCGCATGATCTCATCCAAGCTTGGGTAGAGACTAACATAATAGTTGGAATGGTAGCATCATCATCCTACAAGAGGACGCGTTACTAGGCCATACCAGACCGTGAGCATACCATCATGCTCAATGTGACTATTTCAAATTACAGACGACTGATTGATAAAGTCGCGGTGAAGCCTGTGTGCACGGTCAACAGGCTAATCACGAGGTTGCCATCTCGGTGCATCTAACGAATGCCGATGATCATTTTGGAAAAGAAGTCATTCATCTTGTTCTATATTCATTTGAGATCCCTGGCAGCTCGTGGATATCACAGATGTCTGGTCTATCCAACCACTTGGTATGAGCGTTACTCAATCCCGGGATTTATGTGCCGACAATGCGGTGCCAAAGGAAATGCTTCAACGGAGTATCCAATTGATCCTAGTATCCTTGGCATTTCTACACGAGAACAACATTGGCCACAGTAGTAGGTAAGCTCTAACAGTCACTGAATTGATATGAATTAACAGACTCCAAGGAATCGATGATACATCTACCCTCTCACAGATTGAAGAAGACGAATCTCAAAAACCAGCTAGAAAGGTCCTAAATGACCGTCAGATCTACCTCTCTTGACCAATGCCTGTAACAAAAGCATTACCCATCCTTTCTGAGCAAGATGAGGCCAAGATCGTGAAACCCCAAACGAAAAGGTGTCATAACGCCTGCTATCTACCGCGCTCCAGAGGTAATCCTAGATCTAGAATCGAACAACAACAATTGGAATCTGGTCAATTGGTGTCACGGTCCGTTCTATCCGGCTCTATTCATCGACAGAAGCCCAAATGTCCAGCGATATTGGAATAGACAGGATAAAGTCCCATCTCCCTCTGTTAACTGACTATTAAGAAAGAACAGCCAAACTGGACAGGATCTGTGCCTATAACAGCGTAGTCATTCGAAACATTGTGGCAAGAATAAAGCGCTATTTCTCAATTTCTCGCGCCGAACTTTGTGCTGGCTTCGGCCGAAGGACTCGTCTATGATGATTTTTTTAATACAAGCACTGAAAGCATGGAGAATCATGAGAGGGTAATCTAATTTATCCCGATTCAATAGCGTGCCTATTTCTGCAAAGGTCATTGTGATCTGTAAAAATGTACATTCATATCCCATCTCTGCCGGCCTATAATTCTAAAGAAATAGAAGAGAAAAGCAAGGGATGAATCAAGTTGATGTACAAATCATAAAATGAGAAATGTAGATACATTCCAAGAAAATCAAAGATATATTTATCTATCGAGCGCTGAAGGAAACAGAAATCCAAAAGCACCAAAGGAAACAAAAACCGGGTATATGCAGGGACACATTTACAGCTTCGGCTTCTCAGCCTGGGCAACCAGGTCGGGCATGAGGAGGTCACGAAGCTCAGTGGCAGCCTCGTTGAGGTAGTGGCTCATGCGATCGGCACCGAGGCGCTTGCAGACGATGTTGAAGTTAAGGCTGGGAGAGAAAAAAGGATTAGCATGTGTATAGGAAAAATAATTGGAGAGATATAAAGCAAGGCATACCTGTTTTCGTTGATCATGTAGGCAATTCCGAATCCATCGTCAATGACCTGGCTCCATCCGTATCCGTTGAAGTACTCGGAGCTCAGCTGGGAGGTGGAGAGGTACCAAGAGCCGGAGTAGGTGTATGCGGGATCCTGGTAGAGCTCGGGCACCTTCTCGCCGGGCTGGAGAAGCTTCTTCAGACCGAACAGGTGACGGTCGACACCGTGGCCGGAGCTGGCCTCCTGGGTGTACTTGGTGTGCTGGGCGAGGGCGGCGCGGAACAGCTTGACGACCTCCTCGCGGGGGGTGTTGTGGTCCTGGTGGGCCTTGCAGAAGGCGACGCTCTCATCGGAGACAGTGCGGGTGGTCTCGGTGCGGCCTTCGGCGTACTTACGGGTGGAAGCGGACTCGTAGGTGGGGCGGTTCTTGCCGTACATCTTGAAGTAGGCCAGCTGGATGGTCATCTGGACGAAGGCATCGGGGCTGCACTTGAACTTCTTGATCAGACCCTTGCCGTAGCCCTGGTAGGCCTGGACGACCAGCTCGTGAGCGCCGATCTGCTTGCGGTGGTACTGGGCCGCGAAGTCGATGGCCTCGTTGGCGGCATCATTCAGCTTGAAGTTGATGGGCTTGGGGTCGGCGAGCTGGGAGCGCACAGACTTGGCGGAAAGATCGATCTTCTTGTTGAAGATGACGTTGTTGACGTGGTCATTCAGACGGTGGGTGGGGGTGCCATCCATCATGCTGTGCTCGCCAGTGAAACCAGCGGTACCGTTGTCGTTGATGATGAACTGCAAAGGCTTATCGAACCAGCGGTTAGCGCCGTCACCGTGCCAGTACTGCACGCAGCGCTCGGCCGCAGTGACAGGTCTGGCATCGTCCAAGCAAACGACGAAGCCGGCAGACTCAATCTCCTGCAAGGCGGCCTCGTTGGAAGGATCATAATCGACGAGGGTCTTGCGGGCAGCAGTCCAGTGATCACGGTCGGCAGCAGTCAACACACCAACCGGGCGGGCGGGCTGTGCGATCTCGTAGATGCGCTCGAACTGCTTCTCCAACTCGGAGACGTTGAGCTGCTGGCCGTCGACGATGAGAGGGATCTTGAAGAACTGGTTCTTGCGGATAGCCACGATGTGCTGGTTCTCGGCAGCAGCGTACTTGCGGGGGAAATCTTGGCCCTCGGCGGGGATACGGCAGCAGTTGAACATGTACTCGTAGGAGCTCATGGCCTGAGGCTCCTTGCGGAGGTATTCGGGTTCCAGGGAACCATCATCAACCTGGGCCTTGAACTCGAGTGCAGCAGTGGTAATAGCGGCAGCACGCTTAGCGGGGTTGCGGCGCTCGCGGTCATCCCGGTAGGAGTAGAAGTAGGAGACGTAAGGGACCACAGGGTCACGGTAGCCCAGGTAGGCGGCCTGGTTCCACCATTCGGAGAGCCAGTTCTTAATCTTGGGGTCGGCAGCACGAGCCAAGAGACGCTTCTGGAGAGATTCACCCTGGCCACCAGGGCGGATGAACTCCTCAACGGCGCTCTTGGTGCGCTGATACTCGGACTCGGAAACAACCGCGTGCACGGACTTGAGGTAACGACGGCTGGTCTCTTCTAGGGTAGGAACGGGGAGTTTAGGGAGAGAATCTTCGAAACGGAGCATGTTGCCCTTGGAGAGATCCTCCTTGTATCCTGGTCTTTCTGTCAGCGATCTCATTCCTCCACATTGCGGTGCGGATGGACGAGGGATAGCCCGCGTTGCGCCAGAGGCATGTGACACTCACCCTCAGGGACTGAAGATGCGGCGCGGCGGGTAGCCATTGTGAGAGTCTGTATACGAGTCAATGGATTGATTCCAAGATTTCAGGAAATGAGCATAATTGGCGAGAACTCACTGAGCGGGCGAGAAGAGGGTTGGTCGGGAGCCGTTGCCTGGACAGGGTGGAGAGACGGCTTTTAGCAGAAGCAGTGAACATGCCTCTGGTGTGTAGAAAACAGAAATTTGGGGTATAAGAAGAAGAAAAAGGTTGAGTGAACGTGAAGCTTCAAGGAGACGTAATAAGAACCTTGGAAGAGACCGGGGCAGAAGCCTCGGCTGGCGGGGAAGCCGGTAAAACGACGGTACCGGGGCACTTCAGCTGAGCGTCGGGGGCCGGGTGGTTTCCCACGGATATTAAGCTATTCAAGCGGAAAATACCGAGGCAGGGTTGGAGATTCTTCAAGCCCTTACCCGTTCCTTGACTCTTTCTCTTTTCTTCAGAGTCTCTGCGTTCTTTATACAGAATCTCTCCCAGGTTACCAAGTATATATTACGGAAATACGCATACCAGACCCACCGTTCTGAGCCTCGGTCCATTTTCAACGATGCACTTGATCGGTCACAAGGAGGCAGATCAGGGGGCATTGTCATTCGATTGTCTAGTTCAAATAGAGCACGGCGTATCTTTGGTGGGATATAGGGATATGGCACTATATAGACACCCAAGAGCCTCCGAAAGGGCTTCATTTACTCCGGTTCTCCGGGCGATCACTGAATGCGGGGAGACTGGGAGGTACTAGGCAAGTATATGCAGGAGACTGTCGAATGAGAGCCTCCAAAACCGCAGTGGAAGAGACCAATATGAGAACATGGATGTCGAGTTAGATTATGTATATGGGAAATAGATAGGCCCCCTCCCTTTCATCCGTTCCCGTTGACCCGGCCACGAATAAAAATGCCCGATATCTCAGTCAGATGGTAAATAGACAGCCATCCAACGCCACGGTCCAGAATACAAAAAAAAAAGGAAATAAAATAAGAGGAATAAAAAACAAGATCAAGTCATAGAGTTTCAGTATCATGTAGATCAAAGTAAGTTCCACAAGTCAGATAGGCAAATAGTCATGGTAAGCTAAATAACAGGCATCATGAGACTGGCTGCACGGCTGCCGCTTGGTCCTGACCATCGATGGGTCGGGACACTTGAACTCCACCGTTGCGGAGCTCGTCCATCTTCGCCATGGCAGGCCCAGTACAGATGCGACCGGTCTGCATGAGCGTGCGGAGACGTTTGCGACGGGCCTCGCCGCTGCGTTCTTCGCCGCGACCGACACCCTCGTCCACCCAGTCCACGGCATGGATTTTGAAACTCATGCCATCGTGACGACCATCCCATTTGCGGGATTTCAGGCCAAACATCAGGGTAGTGTCGTATTGAGCGATACGGGGGAGAACCAGCAGAGTGATGTGCAGGTCCTTGTCGGCGGGAGGTATCGGCGGAAGACGGGGGCCCTTGGCAGGGGTATCAGCCTGAGTGCCCTCGGAAGTGGTCTCGGGCGGTGGAGGCGCGTGCTGATAGGTATCTTTAATCTCGAGATCGAGCATCGACTCGTCCACGTCGTCACCCCATGCACCGCGGATGAAGCCGGAGTGAATGGCAGCGGCGACGGGGTCCGAGTCGTCTGTATAGACGCCAGTGCCCCATAGGGCACGTCGGGCACAAATTTCCTCCCGATGAGAATGATCGATTCGGAAGCGCGGAACGCGAACAGTAAAGGTGCAATTCTCGCGTTTCTCGAAGCGGGGTAGAGGTTGGGGGGTTGTGGTATATCCAAACTTGGAGCTTTCCGTGGAAGAATTGGCAGTGGGAGTACCCACTCGAGGCGTGTAGAGCGTCGAGCCGAGATGCTGTCGAGGAAGATGGGCAACGCTGGACAACAGCGGCTCCAGATTCACGGTGGTACGAGGCTCGCGAATTGGAGATGCAGCTGGAATGGCAGCTGGTCGAGGTGGATGGTGATGATGGTGATGGTGATGTTGATGTTGATGGTGGTGGTGTCCGGCAGAGGGATCTGCTGGGGATATTCGGTGGAAGAAATTCGTAGGACGTTGAAGGGAACTCAGAGTAGCTGCGTCTTCATCTGCCTTATGACGGTGGTGGTGGTGGCTGGAAGAATGTTAGCATCCGGATATTATGAACTGTATTGATTAAATAGAACATACTGATGGTGATGGTGGTGGGAATGCCGAGAGCGACGGGCATTACGTGCTGATAGTATGCCGCGAGTGTCATTGGCCTCGATTTCCATCTGCTCTTCGTCTCGTGACTTTCTCGACCGTCTGCCGTTTGTGGAGGATGGCCGAGGAACCTTGGATGCATCATCCGTGCCATCCCCATTTATCGAGCGACCAGTGAGGCTATCGCGTTTAAACGGACTTGTGCCCAACGGCGTGGAAGGGCCGCTGCCACCAGTAGCTGCAGTTACGCCACCGACACCACTTCCAATGCCGGAGAATACGCGCCCCAGTTCATTCTTGATCGCTGGCTCTCCAGCAGGACCGATGAATGGAGCTTGAGCGCCTTGGACGGCTTGAGGAAGCGGCGAGGCACGGCCGCCACGCTTACCATCCGCGCCCACAGCAAGAAGGCTGCGGTGATGGAGTAGCTCGTCACTTCCCTTGCGTCGTCCCTCATCAGCCAGCGCTGCCAGGCCAGATGATGCAGCAGCGGTTGATGCGGTGATAGCTGGGGTTGAGCCCAAACGAGGGGGTTGGGTTTGGTGCCTCAGATATGGATCGTGAGGCGGGGGGTTGGTTGATTGTTTCGTGACTGCAGAGAGACTTGCGTTTGTCTGTTCCCGCCAGATTGCGACCCCAATGATTTAGTGTAACTTTGAATGGCCCCGAACCCGAAGGCCGATCCATGCTCTGGCGCAAGGAGGCGCTTGCTTTCCGGCGACGGAGGTTGAGAGCGACCGTGATCCCAAGTAGAGCCACTCTGAGGACGTTCAATGGGTTCGCGTTCACCGTAGTGAGAACCGTAGCGATATGACCCAGGCTGGGACGCCTTAGGATCGGGCCCATGAGTTGACGCACGCTCTCGATCCCGCTGTGCAGTTTCCTCGGAGCGACGCTCACCAAATATGTTTCCAAACCGACCATGCTGTGGCTCCTGAGCACCGTACGACCCAGATGCAGGCCGAGGGCCAGGCTCAAAGGCGCGATCTGCCGCCCCTCCACCTGGCTGAGAGATCGGACTGTAGCCAGGGGGCCGTGTGGGTGCGTCAGCATGTGGGGGTTGGCTGCTGGGCCGAGCGATCGGTCCGTTGAGACTCATGCGACGAGGTTCGCTGAACGGTGGTTCAGCCGTGGAGATTCGAGGCGAAGGATGCGTCGAGTGCGGCTTTTCAGGATACTGTGAAAGCGCCGAGCGTGTCAAGCCCCCGAATACTGATTGCTCGCCGCTCAAAAGGCTCGAACCTCCTCCACCAGACCCCGACCGGTATGTACGTGCGCCTTGGGGTTTGGAGAACGGTTTCTCTGGAGTATGTGAGCGGCGCAATACAGAGTTGTCGAGCGGCGAGGGTCTTGCCGGGGCAGTCGGCGGAGACATAGCCGCAGATGATGATGACGGCGGCGCGTTACCGAATATCGATGATGCGGGTGGTCGCGAAAAGAAAGGCGCAGTTTCTCGCGCAGGCTCTCGCGGATCGGATCCTAACATAGCAGAAATAGACATACTACTGCCGGGTCGGTGCGCCTGGCTGCTAGGTACATCACGCGACATCAGAGAACCTGCAGACGCGTGGGCTGATTGGGCTCGCGAGGAATAGGAGTATGGAGGGGACGGGGGTGGCATTTGGCGACTGCCAAACGCGGGAGGTGCGGACTGTTCGCTCGGACCTATCATACGGGACAAGGTTAGCAAGTGGTTGTGGTGATAGCCAAAAGATTCCACGATGACCGCGCATGTCCCGATCGGATGAGTGACGCATTCAATGTGTCGCGACAAGGACGGTTGCACGGGCTCTCGGGCCCAAATCGGGTGCTCACCAGGTATGCCGGAACTTCCACTGCTGCCCTGGGAAGTACGACGCGCTGGTTCGGGTTGTGAGGGCGTGTGATTCATAACGGAAGCACCCAGGATCCCTGTGAACGAGTGAGCAATGGTTCAGAAGGGAAAGCAAGGGCCAGAACGAGGAGAACCCGTGACTCCGGAAGCTCTCACGCTAGTCCAAATAGGGTAGGGGCTCCTCTGGCCACCCTATGCCAGATCTGGACTAGCGCTCCCGAGCTGTCGTCCAGTCGATCTGCGCCACCGGGGAAAATCCATCAGGGGCAGTGTGTTTGGGCAAGAGAAAAGGGAGTTTTCGGGTGGATTTCACGTGTCGCGTGGTCTTGATCAACCGATACAGCCGTGCCCCAGATACAGGATTTCCTCGGATCGCGCAGGGGGGGAAATAGCAGTAGCAAAGTGGAGGCGGCCAGCCACGGCACAAGTCCGATCCTTGGAATCTGCAATCTGGGGCATCCGGAACCAGGCCACGCGAGGGAAGTAAACACAAGAAACATCAATAAATAGAAAAAAAAGCTGCCTACCTTCCCTGTATCGAACAGCCTGTGGCTGGGAATTATTCCTGCGATGTGTTTGTTCATGGCTCCTCGTCTCCAAACTCCCGTGGCGACGGTGTGATTGTGTCGGGCCGTTCCTCGAGGAAAAGTATGCGCTGGGGGCGTCTCCGCGTTGAGAAGCATGTGACGTCCGCGAAGCGGCTGTTTGGTAGATCTGCGAGGGGGAAGAGGTCGTGGTCGAAGAGGGGGGATGGTACGGGCGATGGTTGTCGGTCTCGAGTTGACCACGGGACTCGTGAGAAAAGGGCGCGAACTGTCGTGGTTGATCAGAGCGAGATTCTTGCGAGGCCCCCAGAGGCGATGGCCGTGGCGGATATGAGTGCTGTAGCCGTCGGTAGTCCATGATGCTCTCCAAAAAAAAGGCGTTGGGCAGCAATTAGAGGAAAATGGAGATTTGACGAAGAAGGGTATAATAGAGGAAAGAAAACAGAATGGCGGTGGAACGTATGCAAGTCCAGATGAAAAGACCAGAAAAAGGCCAGAGCTGAGGGCGCAGGATCAGCGGTTGATCGCGCGACCCGACGGAGATAGTGCTCACAAGACGGCAATGGGAGCGTGCAGCAATAGGGCAGCAGTGAGGTGGAAATATCAACTCAGATTACACTTCCGCCAGGGTCACAGAGATTTTGGTTTTCCTGAGTTGGGGGAAAAGAGAGAAAAAAACGGTGAGTGATGACGGTGTCTTCCTTTTAGCGCGACGGGGCAGGGCCAAGACTTGATCGTGCATGCGGGGATTGTGTACAGGAGAGTAGATGCACTTCTACATGGCATCCGATGTGCATTTACCTGCAGAAGGTGTGGGAAATAGCAAAAATAAACACCGTGCTGGATTCTAAATCCGATCTTTTCCAGGTTCAATGTCCAGGATCCCCATCGGTTGACACACTCTGTCACCGTGAGTACGACCAGTTCCTATGGGCTTCTAGGCCGGCTTGGAGATATGCATATGCAGGACATGTGCCAACGAGAGGGAAAAAATTTGTACCCCACTAGATTAATGGGCCTTTGGGCATCATTCGCTTAACGCCCAGTTAATATATACCTTCTAGATCTAATCCCTATACAAGAATATATGTACCTCGGTCTTTGGGTACAATGCAGATGCACAGAGCCTACGCCCCCGCCAAAACAATGAGAGAATATGATAAAAAAAAACCCCACGCTAACCATCACAGCAAACACAATATTTAACTCTGGACCGTGGAACTTCACCTCGAGTTCAAATGCAATCGACGCTTCCACTTCATGCGACTCTTGGCCAAGGCGCGCTGAGTGCGCTCGAGTGGGTAGTTGACGGGAGACTCACCGCCAGTGAAGATAAAGAAGTCATAGAGGAAAGCGCCCATGAAACCACCACTCAGCGCTCCTGCCCAAGGCCCGTAGAACCAGTATGGGTCAGTGAACAAGGTGTTGGGAAAGCCAACCGCGAGAAGCGCTAGCCGAGGCCCAAAGTCCCGACTCGGGTTGAACGCCGCCCCGGTCTGATAAGCAAAGCACATAGTCAAACAAGTAATCACCAATCCAATGATCAACGAGTTCATACCGGCTCCAGCGGGTGCATTTTGGTCATCACCTAGAGCGAGGACGGTAACGACCAGAAAGGCGGTGCCGATAAACTCGTTGAAGAACGCCGTCGCCGAACCAACCCACACCTCCCGTGAATTGGTCACAAAGCTGTTGATGATGTTGGTATCCGGATTGAGGAATAGATAGTGCTGAATGGATTCATAGTAAATTCCATACGCGGCAAGTCCAGCAAGGAACGCGGCGAGGAATTGGGCGGCGAAGTATTCGGGCATTTTGCGTTTGGGGAAACCACGGAAGAACCACAGCACCATGGTCACGACCGGGTTGAGATGGGCTCCGGAGACACCACCACAAATATAAATGCCGGTCATAGTCGACAACCCCCAGGCCCACGCGGTGGTGTTGGGGTTACCCTGGTTAGCGATGGTGACCGACAAGTCAACACAGAAACCCATAGTGAGCTGCACAAACACACCCAGGGCTTCGGCAAAAGCTTCGCGGTGATGTGTACGGATGACAGACCAGGTCGTATGGTTGTTGTGGACTTCGTCCTCGACTAATTCCTGCACAAGCGGGTGCAGGTCCTCCGGGTAACTCGCCTTCTCCAATTCAGGAACATCCAATAACACGTCCAATCTAGCCCCCATGTCGTCACCATCTGCCAGATTGGCAGTCGAGGTCGGCTCCATCGCTGGCTCAACATTCTCCTGGGAATCACCCTCATGCAAAGTCGACAGTTGATCTGGCTGGTCCCAATTCGAAGGTCTTACACGAACCGACGAGCTGCGCGAGATACGCGAAGTCTGTCTCGCAGAGGGGCCATCACCAGCGAGAATCTTGTTCATGAAGTTATTCTCACGTTGTAAACGAGCATCCGCGACCTGCGCGGCCATCTTGCGCGGATCGGTCGTCTTATCGATTCGACCCTGTTCGATATCGTTGGCGTCCACATCGAGTCCAAGTCTCTGCGAGTTTTCCGTGGGCCGCTGCGCATTTGCCAGGTTCTGCAACAGCTCTTCCTTGGTCGGGACCATGCCCGGCCGCACCACACGGGGCAGCGGCTTGGCCAGAGACCAGACCGGTCTGGCATTGGAGGCCTGTTCATATGAAGGGTTCAAATCCGAGTAGCCTGGTTGCACAAAGGGCTCCTGAGCTAACCGCACCTGGGGCGTTTCATCTAGACCACCTAGAGTGAACTTGCCCTGTGTGCGCTGGGCTATAGTCGTGCGGGCGGCTGTACTGGGAATTGCGCTGATACCGCTGCGTCTTGAGGCAGTCGAACCACGCCGGCGAGCAGTAGTTGTGGCCTCATTAACCCCAGACATAATTCGTGTCGGTGCGATGAGATCCGCATCGCTAACAGCTCGGGCTCGGTTCGGCGATTGTGGTGGTTGAGTAGCATCGGACTATCAAACATGAGGCGATTAGAATGTGGTATTATCGCGGGTTTGTTTGCACTCACTCTCGCCCTTTCACGGCCATTCTGCCCTTCCATACTGACTATGGATTACCCGGGGGGATCTACCCTTGACGATCTTCAAAAGACAGGATAAAGATCCACTGCCCAAAAAAAAAAAAAAAAACGGGTATGTAATGAACAAAAATCCAACAGAGATCGGGAAAAAATCAACCATGACCGGTGGAGAGAACCATTTATTGAAAATCACATTCGCCCTCGAGCGATAGGAGGTGACCCAGTTACGCAACGACCAGAGGATCTTCATCGAGCTCCTCAATTGGCGATATGGGCAAGTGGAGCAGATCCCAGCATATCAGCAGCCGACGATCGGTAAAGTGTCTCAGGGTGAGATCTCATTTGGCAGTCCCTGTCCTGGTCCACTGTGTAAACTCCGCAAAAGCTTGCCCATTGAACCGTTGCGTTCCGGTATTCGCTATGATCTGTCGAGTGTTTCTTTGCCGTGATAACCGCTTGAGGTTGAATTTGTCAAGTGGGCCGTATCTGTGCATTTAGAGCAGGGGAAAGCTTGGTGTCGAGGTCTATCGTGGTGTACAGTGCAGGGTCTTGACGCTTGGCCAATGAGCGTGGTTCCCCGTTACAATTCTCTCGATCCTGGGATTCCTAGTTGACCTGGTCGACTTGGGACAGTGGGCTCTCACAGAGTTTTCCCAAAAGCAAATTGAATTCCCTTTTTCCATTTTAATCCCATGTTTCCATTTTAATTCCGTGGCCATTTCCATCTCTGCTGCCGGGATTGCCGTACGGAGTAGATCCATCGCCATTTCCGTCGACATCCGTTCATTGGACTTGGGCTATATATTTTTATCTTTTCGTCTCTCCTTTTTCAATATTTAATTTGCCCAAATTGCCGAGTCCGCTGGTATCGGCCTCTACCGTGGTAGACCGGTTCGCCACGCTTTTTCTCCATTGCCCAGCACTCCAGTCAAACCCATGCTCAACTACGTACAACAGACAACAGACATGCAGTGTGTACTCCGCACATCGTCTATGTTGGCGATCTGACATCACGCATTCACGGGAGGCTGCAAGCGACGAGACCGACGTTTTTGATAGACGCCAAGAAAGTGGATCCCCCCTGGAGACATGCCAAGCTACACCTTCCAAAAGACCTCGGATCATCGTCGACAGGCGGATTATGAGGGAAAAAGAAAAGGGAAACTCAAATCGGGGATCGCAGAAGTCAACAACCCTTATGCTATACAGATCGGCGCGAGATGTCGGAGACCATCCTGCGTCAGATCACCCGTCGTGACCCGACCTTCCGGCAAAACGGACCAAAAGACATCGGAATAAGAAGGATGGATACAGTCATTCTCGGACAATTCCTCCCCGGTAACCACGACAGTCACAGCGCGCCGAACAACATCCTGCCCATTCCAATGAGACAGATACCCCCGCTGCCGGAGAGTGGCGAGTTGTGCAATGAGGTGAGGGTAGAATTCGGGAAGCGGTGTCTTGGCATCAAGCATCAAAAGGAACGTCTGGTCCGGCGTTTCGGAATGCGCAGAATCATCCCCAGCGTCGAACTTCGCCAGAAGAGGGTTGAGACCGAATCGCTGCAGGAAGGCTTCGGTCTCGGGTCCCGCAACAGCGTTCCCGATCTGCAGCTCGCCGTTGTGCATCCAAACGGCCGTTCGGAGGCCTTCGCATCCCCCGTTCAGAGAGGACTCCAGTGCATGTGGTCGCGTGTCTAGTATAGGGAAGGTACAAGCACCATGCCCAGTGTGGATGGGGGTGTGCGGTGTGGATTCATGAGGTAGGAGCGTCGTTTTACTATTGGTTGGGAGCAACCGGAGGCACTGGAATGCGGCTCTGGGGAAAGAAAGGGGTCAGACTGGGGATACCTAAAGGTAGGCGATGTTGCGATAATACTCACAGACACGCGATGATAAGACATCCAGCGCGAAGGAAAACGGCCTTCCGCTTTCCAAGCGATTCGTCAAGGTAAGCTGACAACCCCGGGATACACTCTGTCGGATAAGATCGTAGGGGGTGATCATCAAGTAGCCATGGATCATATTCAATCTTAGTGTTCGATTCCAGGTCCAATAGAGCCTCCTTTGAGACTTCCATGGCAGCCTTCTCGTCCGATGGATCAATCGCTCCCATGGCGATCTGCAAGGGTGAAACCTCCTAGGCGTGATCTAGCTTGTATGGTCCAAGGGCAAACCAAGCTGCAGCGGGCAGAGTGCTCAAGAATACGGAGTGCGAGGCACATGGTATATGAGTTCCGATCTCCAACGAGACATCGCGCAGTTGTGCAGTGAATTGACCAGCACGCAATCATGATTGGCGATTGCATGGCGTCGGTGATCGTCTCACGTCTCACACGCACAGCCTTCAAATCAACGAATTACACATGGAGATGATTCGTATTCACAAGACATCTTTGAATGCATAGATCCACCTTGCAAGCCCGGTTCAAACTGACAAGCATCTCCTCCACTTCGTGTTTTTGACGCCAAGATGCCAAGACCGGTCCACTCATTGACGTTGTGCTTCTTCGATCTGAGCTCATGGATGTTCGGATGCCAAGTTACTCTAGTTCTCGCTACAGATATTTCCAACGTACATCTATGATACAATGAACATCCAGGATTAGGAGTGGTTTAAAGAAGAGGAAAGCCGGACTCAACTAGCGCAGTTTGCGGGCATCGGTTGGAATAACACGACCGAAACAATACATAACCAATGATACAAAATTCATCTGATCGCAAACGTGATATCACATATAAGACTGGAGGTCATCTGGGTTGCATGGTGGATCACATCTTTCAGCCCTATAATTCTCTTTTCCACAGTCCAACGAGAGCAAAAGCCCATCGCATGCCAGCTCTTTCGCGTCAGCCACTCTGATCGACCTTCTCTCGATTCCGAGGCATTCTTGCTGCCAAAGGTTCACAAATATTGTCACCTCTCGGAGCTCCGAGACAACGTTGCGTGGAGAGTTGAGAGTATCTTTAACAAAAACATGCGGTAGGATAATGGATTATTTGACACTGGGGTCTTGCCCCAGCACTTGGCTGCGACAGCGAGACAAGCGATTTTACCTTTCCAAGACGATGTCAACATGTCCATACCCGAGTCCTAGCGATTGTCACTCAGAAAAGCCAGACCACATTGTAAGCCCATAGTGGTGCATGTATGTCATCAATAACAAGCACAGATTTTCGAGTTTGACTGCAAGGCAAGTTGCGTCACTGGCTCTCAGCCAATTCGTCAACCTTGGAGTTGACCAACCTTCGTCATCATCTTTTAATACCCACCGTAGTCAATTGTATGATTTGTTCATCGATGGGAAACGTATTGGACTCCAGTCTCATCGCAATCTTATACCAATTCTGTAATTGAAGCAAAGTCATAAAATCACCAATCTCCTCGTCATTGACGATGGTTCCCCTAGAGCCCTTGATCTCCCTATCATCCTTCGCGGCTGGTAAGATTGCCCATCTTTGGTTGAATATGCCGAGATGGGAGATTCGACCGATTCATCATTGCTATCATATTTTGCGGGTTGTCGGGCCACTCGGATTTGGGATTGGAAGGCAAGTCCCATGTGCACATTCAACCATCATTCTCTGACCGTATCATGGATTAGAATTCATGGATTGAGCTCCTATGTGTCAGGCGATAAGCCTTACTTTGTTTGATCATTGCGTCGAGCATAACTCCTGACCTCATTGAGGGCGAAGAGTTGTCAGAGCCGACACGGAACCGGAATTGTGTAAGATCTGATGTATACGAAGGATGTTCTTTGGGCGGCTGGGCAAAGTGGAAAAAAAGAAAAAGAAAAGAAAAGCATAAGACAAGTGTCTGTAGAGTGTCTGTAGAAGTGACTTTGGAAGGAACGTCGTAGTCTCCTTTGAAGAAGGTGCTAGCCTCCAGGCTGTCAGATTCGAATCCATGTACTCCGTAGGCATCGTTGACATGGAGGTGTCAGCTCCGCTTGATGCTGATCTCAAGGTCAACAAGGCCGAGGGGCCTAGAAAATGACATTCGATATTGCGGAGTATCTTTGTATCTCTTGACTCATAGAGCAGGTACAGAGACCTAGATATAGGTAGTTGATATTTGAAAGAAGATGATGAAAAGAGGGCGACCAGTCAAGGAAGAATGTTGATAGGAAAACTACACATAGGGATAGGAAATGTCTACTATTCATACAAGGTAGACTTGAAAAATCCGACTAAATTCAGATGATATGGACATTGGTCTATGGAACCCTTGAGTACGAGAAGTTCAAGAAGCCGCTTGATGAGCGATAATCTTCTCCGCCATAGCTGGCAAAGTATCCTCCATCACATCCATTTCTCCAAATAGTTCCGACAAGGACTCCTTCTCCCACACAGAGCAGTATGCTCCCTTGAATCTACGAAGTAGAAATGTCAGTAACCGCCCACCACAAATCAGGGTGATACACATACCCAGCCCTTCTCGCCGCAGAGACATCCCACATATGCGCCGCCGCAAACCAAGGCGTCTTCCCATCATTCTCCGACTTCAACTTCTCCAACAAGGGACGATAAGCCGCCAAGTCTGGCTTACCGACACCGACGTCATCACAGGAGAGCAAGTTCTCCGCAGGAAGCTCCACTCCCGCCTGCTTGAAATAGCCCCCAACCCGGGTGATGTCGGCCGCTGTGAACGCCCACACCGTGAATCCAGCATCACGGAGCTTCTGGACACACTCTGCAGCCCCAGGACGGAACTCAAGAAGTTGGTATTCCTCCATGATATACTCCAGATCTTCGGGGGAAGCCCAGGCTCGCGGCTCAGCGATACCGGCCATCCAGAGTATGCGGTAGAAAAGACCGCGGAAGACTTCACCAAATGGGGCGTAGCTTTGAGCGAGACTGAGATTGGTATACTCACGCTCGGCTACCTCCATCCAAGCATATCCTAGTAGACGAGGCTTGATCCCCTCTGCTCGCAATCGGTCTCCTAGACGGGCATCAATGGCATCGAAAACATGGTCATAGGCCACGAGGGTGCCGATGATATCAAAGACGACGTGCTTAGAGGACATTGCTCTATCTTGGAATTGGCGTTGCTTATCAAGGATTTGGAGAAGGCGTCTTCTTCAACAATTGAGAGTTTTGTCTATGCCCCTTGGCTGTAGAAGGGAAAAGTAGTATTTAGTCTTGGGATGAGGCAACAGGAAAGCAAGGAAGCTGGTGAAGTCAATAGTTGCCGGTGAGTCACCGATGCTCATCTATTGTATTCACCCCAAGGCCAAGAGCGTGTGAATTACATGTACCCCGCTCTCGTTGAGCGGGGGAAAGCTCGGCCGGTTTGCAGGTTGGAGGTGACAATGAGAGCTCGCAATAGGCAGATATCTGGCACTATGCGAATGATTCGCAGCGACTCAACCGTGTGTCTCCACTGGTTTCCCGGTGCACGTCCTGATTATTTCCAGGGGACGGGATGTGACAATTACATGAAACCTGCAAATTGATATGCATCTGTCATCAAATATTGCTCGCCTGCACAGGTGAAAGACCGAGCTATTTCGTTTCTATTGTCCAGGTAGTAGCTCCAACGAACCTTGCGACTGGCATATGAACAAATGAGATTTTGATATGTGGGAGTACAACAAAGGAAATAATTTGGTCTTACCAAATGCTACAGCGTCACTAGTTCCCAGTACTCAGGTCCAAGAGACTGTAATATCCTCTTTGATCTGAATCCTCGAGTTCGACGATCTCACATCATCCCTGCTATTTTTCCCACGCCAGAAGTTCAATGGCCAGCCGGGGAAGCTGGTCAGTTGAACCTCATCCCCTTGAGACTCATTCTCCTGATCTTCAGACATAGAATCCTTTGAGCCATGGATCTGAGAGCCTCCTGTTTCGTAATATCCATCCTTCTTCTTGGTGGCCGACCTTTTAATCCCCAGGGCGGTCCACCAGCGGCGAAATAGCGGCGAAAAGGTAGGTAGACAGGCACAGAGAATTCCAATGAAAGGCTCAACACAGGACCAGACAAATACCGGGGCGATAGTCCAGGACGGGTCGTTAGAGCGTATGTGTTTGTGCAAGAAAACAACGCGCACAATACCGGCGACACAGACACTATGTTGATATCTCTGATCAGTATAACCTCAAATGACACCAAGAGACATCAACTCACAAGCTACCGAGCAGCAAAATACTGGTGACAGCCACCCGCTGCGTCTTGGGCATTTGTAGTTTCCAAATAACCGGAGCCGGGACACACAGAATCATCACATCAATCAAGACGGCAGCAATGCCATTGATGAAGAAGAATTCAGGAACGTCTATACACTTCCCTTCAACCATCGGATCGGTATATTGGTGCCAGAAATAGGACACTGGACGACACGCAACGGCAATGGTGATGACCACGGCGAAGAAGTAACCCAAGATGATAGCCATGGCGAAGTACAGGGACCGATGAAGGTTGAAAATGCGACGGTAGAACATCATGATGGACGATTTGGTCAAAGTGACCGTGGTCGAATAAATGAACATATGAGCGAAAAGCAGCTTCCAGAGCGCGATGAATTCGGAATCGGTGAGCGATTGTTGGTGCCATCCATTTTTATACTGAACACCTTCGCCGAGAGTTAGTAAGGCTGCAATGTCGGACGGGAGATCCCACCTCTACTCACTGATGATCACACATATACCGGAGCCGTAAGCGAAGAACTAGAAGATTGGTCAACAGCGCGATCAAAGTACACTGGTCTTTGCCCGACTCACCAATGCAGCAAAGATCAGAAGATCATCAAGACCGAAATTTGTCTGAGATGTCTTGACACGTATATAGATGCGCAGGAGAACCGCCAGGGTTCCAATGACCATCAAGGTAATGGCCGCACCAAGCATCTCAGGTGTTTGGTTTTCAGCGAGATTCACACCACGAGGCGGATACCCAGAATCCCCAGGAATTGACATGATAGACAGGGAGGACATGCCTCGTAAACCATGTCTACAAGTTGGTATGTCAATCAGGAAACTCCGCAATTCACGGGCAGTACACTCCCTAAATATTCCATTCCTGTCTCAATATCGAAGGATCCATATTGTGTTGAGAACCATGCCTGAGGCAGGATTCTCTCATCCGCAGGATTATCAACGCTACGCCCTTTTTGTCTTTTCTGCCGAAAAGCCCACCTTTGGGGGCCAAATTGAGGACTCCGATCCTCGGCACACAAAGGGGCATAAATAGCAGGAAAAGGCAGATATTATCTAGATCTTCAGACAATTCAATACTTCTATAAGAGATCCTATTCCCAGTATCATTTGAACCCATTATTGAAACCCTACATGCTGTATCATACCTCTGTATCTTCAATAGGTTATAAGCCCGGCTGTCTCCAATAGCCGGAATACCTAAATTGCGTAGTATAGTCCATTTACTATATTTGCTAGTAAATATTTGCTTACCCCTATACACCTTTTCATCTAATCTTTGCCTAGACCTATATATATAGGTCCTCACCCTAGGATCTCTCTCTTCTTCTTACATATATCTTACCTCTTATTTTATACCTTACCTTTTATACCTATACCTCTCGATCTCTCGTAGATCTACCTATTTTTTTATCAATTTCATTATAACCCCTATCACCCGACGGTCCTAGCGAGACAGAGGGGTATCTAGTGCACCTAGTACACCCTATATACCCTACGAACCCTCCGACTCCGACGCCGACCGACTAGACGAATTAGGGTCCGATAATAACTATAGTAGCGCCTTAGGCGAGGGTAGCGATAACGAAGGAGGAAATAATAGTCCTATAGCTCCCGCTAGCACTAGAAATATAGACCCCGGCTAGGGCCTATAACGTCTAAACCCCGCGGATTAACTAGCTAGAGAACTTAAGTCGACCGAGTATCTCTATACCTAGTAGCCCTAAGGACTAACTAGGTAGCTCGTAGCGGGTAGACCCCCCGCTAAAGTCTCCGAGTCTATCGAGACTAATATATAAGTCCTATTAATATAGATTAATAACCTAAACCGATTTAATCGAGATAGCTCTATATTCTCGCTACGTAACCGCTACGCTACCCTAAAGAATAATACCCGAGAAGAGAAAGAAAACGTCCTTCGATACCTTAGTTTCACTAAGGACCTCGGGAAAATATTTAAAAGAAAAGAAGAATATAAAGGACTAAAACTTATAGGATTAAATAATTACCGTACCTAGGCCGCTAATATATAGTAAATACTAAACTAAAACCTTCTCGAATAAGTTATCGACGGTAAGGTAGGATTATTACCCCTTTCGCACGAGAAGCACTATATACTAAATATATAGAAGGGAGTAGCCTAGCTTACTATCCTAAATACTATATATCTAGACTTAGCGAAAAATATTATACCGCCGAGCCCTCTAGAACCCGAGCGTATCTAGTAGGAATTATAAAATTAATACGATATAAAGGATACTTTTACCGCCGAATAAAGCGCTATTATAATAAAAGCACTATACGTATCCCGCGTCCGTAACGTCGGAACCCTAATCGAGGTATTTAAGACTATATAGATTAATAAAACTATTATACGTCCCCTAATCGAGAGTCTACTAATTAAGCTATAAGAAATAGACGAACTCGAAAAATATATAGAACTTATAGTATACCTCGATAGCCTAGAATAGCACCCGTAGAAGCTTAACTACGATAAAATAGTTAGTAGGTTAACTAACTAGCTAGACTAATACCTTTTCGATCGCCTATACGGCGAACTATAAAGAGAAGAAGATAACCTCGCCGCCGGTAAAAAGGCAGCTATAAGGACCTTATCTATAGAAACTAGTAAACCTATAAAACTACGAGGACCCTATATATAACGAGGACCTCTAGGATTAGTATATACCTTCTATAAAAAGAAGGGGTACCCCGCTAAGAAATACTAGCTAAAAACCCTAATTTAGTACCTAAACGGACTACGGAAACCCTAATTATATAGGTCGAATATAGTTACGAGGTATAAAACTTCTTAACTAGTATCTTAATTAATAACTAGATCTACGATATAGCCTACGACGAATATATAATTAGCTCGCTAGATTATTTTATACTAGGCACTACGAAACTATTAACTACTACGATCAAAATAGCCCTAATAAACTAGCCGGTCTAAGGTATAATTAAGGATATTAAGATTATAGTTAACGACGGGACTAAGTAAGGGAGAGATCTTATTCTTACTAGGACTATATATCTCCCTAAACTCCGTAGTAACCTTATCTCGTAGCCTAGGCTCGCTAACTATAGGATTATAGTGATATATAGAGATAAGGTTATTTTCCGGAAACTAGACGGTAGTATTCTTATAAAAGGACTACGAAAGGGCAAAAATTAGATACTAAATGTTCGCCACGTATACCGATACTAGACCCTAGATCTAGAAATATTAGTTTTAACGATAGTATAGGAAGTAGGGGGCGTTAGATACCTAAAAACTTAGGCTAATACTCCTATTTCCGCTAAAAAAACTGCCTACGGATACCTAATTTCTTAGGCTAATAATATAGAGGTCATCCTAAGTGTTAGGACCGGCGTGCTAGCGGGTCCTAGTAGATAATATAGAACTAGAGTGAAGGAATAGTAGGGTACTAGTATATTTATAAACTAATCGCTAAAGAGCTAAGTTCCCCTAGTAGTCTCTATATAGATAACCTTTAGCGGGTCACGGGACTAGGTCACCTAACCCGGTAGGACTTAGTCTCCCTAGTGCGGTCTCTAGCGGGGGGTTATACTACCCCTACTAGGTCACGGGTTCTAGGTCACTAGACTAGGCGGGATCTAGCCTATAAGGCACTCTCCTAGTAGAGGGTCGTAATATTTTCCCCCTCCTTAAAGAGCTACGTCCTCGTAGCTAAGGGTCGGGGTTAAGAGTCTCTTATAGTCGAGATAGGAAGGGTTCGAAAATAGTATATATATCTAGCTATCTAAAAGAGGGTAATTTATCTTTATAGTGGAAGGTGTAGATAGACTCAGAGCTTTAAGCGTTATCTCTCTTCGTCGCGTATAATCTAAGTTCTTTATACATTTTTCACTTATCTCTCTTCGAGTTATAGCTTTCTTCTTTCTACACTTCCTTATCCTTTCGCTTTTTCTTCTCGTAGCTTTTCGTCGCTTTACTTTTCTTCTTATAGCTTTTCGTCGTCTCGCTTTTCTTACTATAGGTTATTTCGACTTATTATAATAGCTCCCTTTCCTCCGGTCGCGAGTGCGATATATACCTCTATTAATAATTACGCCCCTCCGGCTATCGTCTCCCCTACTAACCCTATAAGTGCGTAGTATCGGCGTTATATAGACCGTCTTAGATATAACCCGGGGTATATATATATCCCTCCGCCTAGCGGGATTAATATTAATACTCCCCGGTATAACTATTATACGAGGAAGCGGTAGTCTTATATAATAGTAAGTGTAGGCCTCCGCTCGTATTAGCGGTTATTAACGTTCCTTAGGTCGATTCTAGGCTCGACGCTTAAGCTAATACTTATATCTTAGCGCCCCGTACTACCCCCGCGTAGAATATATCGTTCCTTACGATTATATAGGGGTTTCGAGGTACGCGGAACACTTTAACTCGAGATATCTATATAGGTATAGTTACACCTTTCGGTCCTCCTCGCGTTACGCCCCCTCTACCTCCCCTACCCCCTCCGCCCCCTTTAGCGTAGGTTTTATTAATAAGTCGGGTTATAGGTTAGCTTCGGGCGCCTCCTCGGGCTAGGTTACGTATATAGCGGTAAGGATATAGGCGTATCTCGGAGGTTACTCGTCTAGTATAGGTAGTTATTACGTTATATCCTTAGAGAGTGTTAGCTATATTACTTTTCGTCTTATTTTTCGGCGATAAACTCCTATATATCCTTATTATACGTCTATAGTCTCTTTAGGATATTTTTCGTCCGCTCCTTATCTTTATTAGTATTCTAGATCCTCCCCTAACCTATCTATAGTATATACTTACGTAGCTAGTTATTTTCTAGGGGTCCGTTCGGTAGTTAGCTATCGGGTTCGGCGTTCTTAAGCCTACTCCGGTCCTTCTAACCTTCCCGGAACGTATCTAGTAGTAGATCTTAGGTTATATTAACTTCTTCTTTACGGATCTTCCTTAGTGTATTATACACTCTAGCTATTCTTTCTTCTTATTATAGTAGCTCTCGAATATTAGTATATCTTCTACGTTTTCTCTCGGCTCCTAAGTATTTTCCTTATACCTATATCCTCTCTATTTAATAAGGTATTTAGCGCCCTTACGGTTATCGGTAAGGATCTTCTCGATCTCCTATTTAGGTTAGTTATCTACTAGTATAGGATCGGGCCGCTCTTAAGTTTTTAGCGGATCTCCGTAGTATAGCTCTAGTATTAAAGTATATTACGTAGGGTAGATCTTACGGTATCTCGGCGTAAGGATTAGCTAGTATACTTATTATCCTACTATACCTACTATCGCGAAGGGTCCTATATAGCGGTTATCTAGCTTTTTATACGGTCGTCCTAAGTTAATATACTTATTTCTTAGTATAACCTATTATCCGATTACGAAAGACTTCTCTATATATTTCCTATCGTAGGCTCGCTTTATTATAGTTTTCGACTCTTCTAGGCGCTTCCTTAGTATTTCTCGTATCTTTAGTATTTCCTCTACGCGGCTTTCGGCGTCGTCGTAGGTTTCTATCTTCCTATCTAGCACTAACGTTCTTAGTTCCGGTTAGAATCCTAGTAATACTTCGGCCGGGGATATTTTTAGTACGCTATAGGTAGTAGTATTATAGACGATCTATACGAGGGGGATCTATCTTATTTAGTCGTCCTAGCACTAACTTACTATATTACGTAGGTAATACTTAATACTCTAGTTTTATCTCTCCGTCTACCCGTCGGTTTATAGATAATAGGCTATTAATAGTCTATATCTTATAGCG